GTTTTCAATTCCAAATGCTAAGATCATCAAAATCATCGGAAAGTGAATGAAGCTCCCCAAAAATTTTAGTAAACTTTCCTTCTTTAAAAATAATGGTGACTTGAAGATATTACAGCGGACCAACAACCAAGTTACAATACCTTCCCCCTAACAACTCAAAACACAGCCATGTTTCCCAAATTTTATAAAAACCAATGAACTCGCCTGTAATTTCCTCCTTGTTAAAAGCGTCGTAAACTTTAAAAAATTTAACAATGAATAATTCATCCAAAAGGGGTGAAAAACAACATGCCCTTACATCGAAATCATCCCGTTAACATTTTGCCCTCTTCGTATTGAAAAAATTCCCCCGGATTAAAAAATTTGAAACGGTTGTTTTGTTTCTTTATCGGTTTGTTTGATGGGGCATGAGATCTTACTTTAGGATAAATTTAAATTTGGGTGTAATTTTTTTTGATTTACTGGAATTTCTGCAAGATTAAACCCTCCAGTTGCATTGTATCCCAAATGAGTCGACCTTTTAGACAAATTGCGTCCATGACTAACGAAAAGGGGTGTCAATAACCTTTTCTTTTTTTGGTTTTTAAATCAAACAGACCATCATTCAGCATTAAAATGTTCTGGTTCTGTCTATCTTCGGGGGGTAAAATTTTTAATATCGATTAACATTAAGCCATTCCACCTCTGAATTTTTTTTTATTAAATTTTTTCCGTAAAACCCCTGATTGATAATATTGCCGAATTAGGGTTGTAGGGCTTTGCAAAGCCAAATAGGTCTTATTTTGGGAGGTTTTAACAATACATGTGCATCCCGAAAAAGTTTGAAAACAAAACCTTCCCAAAAAAATTTACCACAGATGGCCATTATTTTTACAGTTTTAAAATTTTTTTAAATTTATTTTTTGCATGGTGATATCTTTTCCGTGTAGTCCATCAACTTGGCTTTTATTAATGTCACTGATAGAATGACCTTGTTTCGCCATGATGGAAGGGAAGAATTTGGGTGTTGAAATTGTTCTTTTTGAGCACTTTCCCCTTTTTTTTTTTTGTTTTCCCTTCTTTTTTTGATCTTCCAAAATTTCGAGTCAAAAATTGTTTTTTTTTTCATTGATCAACGGGAAATCTAAATTGCATATTTTTTAAATTTGGAACATAAGAAAGGCCCTGTCTTTTTTATTATCAACAGGGGTATTCAACAATTTGACTCCTTCTCTCCTTCATCTAATTTTGGTCGTTTGACCGAAGATGTCATCTCCTTCAAAACCATTATGTCTACTAGGCTTTTTTTGAGAAAAAAAGGGCCCTCCCCATAAAAAACAACTACCACCTTTGGGGTTTTTTTACAACAAAAAATGGTCCCCCCACACAAAAGTTCTCGGGGCTTTTTGGGTCCTGGAAACCAACCCACCTGGTTAAATAAACTTTTTATTTTTTCATCTGGTAAATAAACATTTGACTGGGTTAAAAAAGACTTTTTTTTTAATTTTTTTTAATATTTTTTTTTAAAAAAACAACAAAAATATTTTTTTTTTCCCACACAAATGAATTTTGGTTTTTTTTTTTTCATTTTTTTTTTTAAATTTATTTTTTTTTTAAAATTTTTTTAAAATAAATTTTTTTATTTATTTTTGTTTTAACACAAAAAAATTTTTCCCCCCCACTGACATTTATTTTTTTATTTAATTTTTTTTTTTTTTATCTAAAATAATAATAAAATTTCTAAAAAAAAAATAAAAAAAGCCTGACTGAAACTGTAGTAAAAAAAATATTCTTTTTTTAAAAATCAATATTTTTTTTATTTATTTTATATTTATTTTATATTTATTTTAATTTATTTTATATTTATTTTTATTTTTTTTATATTTATTTTATATTTATTTTATATTTATTTTTAAATTTTTTTTAATTTATTTTAATTTTTTTACATTTTATTTTATTTTATATTTATTTTATATTTTTTTAAAATTTTTTTTAAATTTTTTATTAAATTTTTTATTTATTTTTTTTATTTTTTTATTTTTTTTTATTTTTTTTTTTTATTTATTTTTTTTTTTATTTTTATTTAATTTTTATATTTTTTATCATTTTTTCTATTTTTTTTTATTTTTTTTATTTTATATCTATTTTTATCTATTTTTATCTATTTTTATCTATTTTTATCTATTTTTTTTTTTATTTTTTTTCTATTTTTTTTATTTTTTATCTATTTTTTTTTTTTTTTTTTTTTTATCTATTTTATTCATTTTAAGTCTTACAGTAAAACCCCCACTTTTTTTAAAAAATAATATCCCTAAAACCCCAAGTTTTTTTTAATCATTTTCCTCAATTCACAAGCACATACCACAAAAAAAATTGTGTAATTTACATCACAAAGATAAAAAATAGAATCTGAATTTCCGTTGACTGCCCTTTTAAATCCGTGTCCAATACTAAATAAATTCCTTGGGATTATTATAGAAAATAGATAATATATATATAAAAATATAATGAAAATTTTTTTCAAAAGTTCAAAAATTTTTTTACCTTTCAACAAAGTAAATGGTTTTTATGTTGATTGGGTGTGTTATATAGATCTTTTATCTTTTTTTTATTGTTAAAATTATGAAAAAATATAATATATTTGAAAAAAAATAAAATTTTTTTGGTTAAATAATAGATGAAATAATATTTAATTTCTAGTTTCACAAAAAATAGACATTTTAAACTATTTATCAAACATAACAATAAAATTTTCCCTAAAACAATGATTACTAATATAACAAAATTATTGAGAATTAGACTTAAAAATACATTTTACCACAGTGCATATTTCTTTCCTCAGCCAATAAAAACTCTTTGAAAACAAAAAAAATGCGCCTTCACCTTTTTTTTTTCTTTCTACACATACTTTTTTTTTTTTTTTTTAAAACAATTCGCCTTATAAGATATGGAAATTTTAGAAAATACATAAATCTTTTTTTTTTTTCAGAAAATAATATTAACAACTTAAAATTTTTATGTTAATGCAAGTTTCGCAACAAATAATGCCAGTTGGGGAAACTATGGGTTTATAATATGTTTATTTTAGTTTAGCCGTTTGGTTTAAGCCCTTATGTGACTGTGGTTACCCCCCTTTAAATTTTTTACAAAGGGAATGTAATACAAACCCCCTAACTTTGGGGAAAAAAAAATAAAAAATTTTACCCTGCAAATTTTTTTTTCCCCTTTATATTTTAAGGAAGGGTTTTTTCCCCCAAATTTTTTAATTTTCTTTTTCCTTTTTTTTTTCTTCTTATTAACTGATCTTATATATTTCAATATATACTTTTCTGGATAAAATTTTCTTTTTCGACTTCCCGTGTCACAGTTCAACAGGTTATGGGGGCCTTGGCTTATATTAATCTTACCCCGAAAAACTCCTCTCAACTATCTGTCTGGGGTACCAAAAAATTTTTTTGGGTTTTGTGATAATAATGGTGTCCACTTTATGTCGAAGCTGGTATGTCAAACCCGCTGCTAATGAATCCCCGAAGACCTCACCGCCTCGCTTGATACCGTCGTCCTATTACCCAACAACATTTCTCCCAGTTTATCGAAAATGTTAAGTGTGGCCTTGGGCCGGGCCTTTTTTATCTTTATCAGGAAATAGTCAACTTCAACCCCCATGTCATCTCACTTTAGAAATCCCCCTATGCGGGAATTTATGTTTGGGCCAAAATTTGTTTCTTTTTTCCCTTCTTATGTTGCCATGGGGTTTCCCTCTCCAATCATTGTCGCTGATTCGGTTGTGGCCTTCAACCTTTTGGGCCCCAATGGGGCCCAATTGGCGCTTCATCAGTAAAGGGAACCGCTTTATAGTAAACAAAATCGAAACCTTGATATCAACCTTCATCCGGGCACTGATAAAAGGGAAGGTTTTAAACTGGGGCCCCCAGCTACTCTTTTACGAAGCGTTCGTTGCTTCATCAAAAAAGTACAATAACAAATCTAAGGGTGATGGTATTAAATGTTTCCGTTGTAAGAGGCGTGGTCATACTTCCAACAATTGTCGTATCAGCAGGAAGGAGTTCAGGCTGCTCGCCTGTTGAACGCTGTTTAGAATCAACTGTAGAAATATTATCCTAGAAACTATATTGAAATATATAGATAAAACAGTTATATAAGAAAGAAAGAAAAAGGAAAAGAAAAATTATAAAGGATTGGGAAAAACTGTAAATATCAAGGAAAGAAAAATTTGCAGTGGTGAAGATTTTGTTTGGGTTAATCCCAAAGTTGGTGGAGTTTATTGCTTCAACTTTGCTTAACAGAATAAGGAGGGTAACCACAGTCACATAAGGGGGCTTAAACTAATGCGGCTAAAACTAAAATAAACATAGGTTATCAACCATAGTTTTGCAAACTCGTCATTATCAACTGCACTAGTCTGCGACAACATTGCATGCTCAACACCTCCCCTTGTCGCAGAATCACCTACTGCCTTCATACCAGTAGTCCTCTCAATGTCTCAAGCTGCGATGAGATTCTTAGTAAACATATCTGCCAACATCACTTGAGTATCAAGATGCCACCAGATGAATCCACTCCACTGCGAATATAGTGACCGGACAACTGGTACCGAACGTAATATGCTTGGTACGTGTTGAGCGGCACAATGTTGTCGCAGACTAGTGCGATTGATAATGCACGTGAGTTTGGGTGGAAACTATGGTTGACAATCTATGTTTTATTTTGATTTAGCCGCATTAGGTTTAAGCCCTTATGTGACGTGGTTGCCTGTAATTTATTTAGGGTGAAGTGTAATACAAACCCACTCAGCTTTGGGACAAACTAAATGAAAAATTTTCACCACTGCAAATTTTTCTTTCCATGAGTATATAAGGAAGGTTTTTCTTCCCCAACTTTATAATTTTTCTTTTCCTTTTTCTTTCTTCTTATATAACTGTTTTATCTTATATATTTCAATATATACTTTTCTTGGATAATATTTTTCTATTATTATCGCGGCTTCCCATTATCATTCAATGATTATGAATACTTCGGCTTATATTAATCTTACTTCCTCTGAAAACTCCACTCCTCAACTATCATGTCTGGGCTACCAAAATTCTTTGGTCTTCGTGCCTGCGCAGAACAATGGTGTCCATCTTTATGTCGAAGCTGGTACTGTCAATCCGGCTGCTAATGAATCCCTCGAAGACCTCACCGCCTCGCTTGATACCGTCGTCCATATTCATCATCTCAACAATATTTCTCCTGGAGTTGATCGAACATATTGTAATTAACTGGCCATTAGAGGCCGTGACCTCTGGCTTTATCTTCATCAGGTATAGTCAACTTCAACCCGCCGATGTCATCTCTCTCTTGTAAATCCCTCTATGCTGGCAATATTGTTGGTCAAAGTTTGTTTCTTCTGTTCGTTCTTATGTTGCTACATAGCGTTCCATCACCAATCATTGTCACCTGATTCGGTTTGTGGCCTTCAACGCTTTGGCCTCAATGGGTCCCAATTGTGAGCGCTTCATCAGTACGCCTTGAACTGCGGCAGTAACAAATGCGGCTTAACCTTGATATCAACAACTTCATCCGGAACACTGATAGATGGGCCAGGATTGTTGAAGATTACCTGGACCTCCTTCTCTTTCGACTGAAGCGTTCGTTGCTTCATCAAAGAAGTCCTAATAACAAATCTAAGGGTGATGGTATTAAATGTTTCCGTTGTAAGAGCGTGGTCATACGCCAACAATTGTCATGTCTCTTGGGAAGAGGTTCAGGCTGCTCGCGCCAGAGATAATGGGATGACAAGAAGGAATCTAAGAGCTAAAACCTCAAAGAGGTTGGTTTTATGAGACTATTGATGAACGCTGCGGTTAGTTGATGATGATCCATTGTGAGTTCCTTTTTGTGTCGGGACATCTGTTGTTTCTGAAAAGTTTGTTGTAGTTGCTCCGGGTCGTTTGATGGTTGGAATCGAACTTTTGATTCTTCTAGACCGTGTGTCGGCGATGAAGATTGTTTTTGTTAGTCAAGTTTCTGAGTATTGTTTCAAACTCAGAACTTGATGATGATTCGGATTGGTAAACGCGGGCATTTGGTTCCACTGGTAGTTGTTTTATTTCTGAACCGTATGTCGGTTCTACTGTTATTTGTTGGAGTCTGAACCGTGTGTCAGTTCAGCTCTATTGTTTGATTCTGAATCGTTGGTCGATTCGGATATTGTTCCTTTGATTCTGAACCGTTGGTCGGTTCTTCTTTTATTCTTGTTCTGATTCTAAGCCGTTGGTCGGTTCTGATGATGATATTGATCTTACCTTCTTTTGATTTTGGTGGATTCAATTGCTGAAGACCTTCTCCACTTATTGTTAAACCAATTGTTACACCAAAATCCCGTTTTTCTCATTCTTTTACTTATCTTTTGTTACCATCATGTTGTTTCCTTGATTTTTGGTGTCGTCTGGCATCCTTCTTCAATCTGGATTTAAGTCATTCAGTACATCACACGTTTTTGTTTGCTGAATCTACTACTTCTGCTGAGGCCAACAGTTGTTGGGTCTGATTCTTTGACTTTTGCTCATGATACCATTTTCCAGTCACATTTGCAATAACATCTCATATTTTTTCTTCTCTTCGTCCACTTCCGGCTACCATTCGTGGTCTTGGTTCTTAACTGCCTGCTGGGGTTGTCTTGTTGTCGTTGATCTTCTTGGTAAAGATGACCAGCCTTGTGACCGCGTTGTTCTTCGAGATGTTTTATATGTTCTAAGATTCCTCGCAATTTATTTGCTGCTCGTCCACTGCGCGCTGGTGGTTGTAGTTCATTCAAGACCGCCATGCATATTTCTGTGAAAACTCAGAGTCCACGCCATTGCCATGGGTGACTTGCTTTTGTCGTTTTAGGGATGTTTGCCTTCAAGCCAGTCCGTGGTGTTTGCTGTTGGAGTCGTCTGCCAATCTTTACGGCTGAAGCGACTTAGTTATGATGTGGACGTTCTCAAGAAATTATCTAAGTCACTTTCTGTGTCAAAGCCTACTCTGTTTGAGGTTGTTGAATGATGTAAGTGTGACGCTTGCGCTTGGTGGCAAGCCACAGCATTGCATTAGTGACACAGAAAAAGCTAGTCGTCCTTTGGAATTATTTGTTTCTGATTTTGGCAGGCAGTCTCAATGCATACATGAATTCATCGTTATGTCTTAACCATTATGGATTATTATTCCAGGTACTCTTATGTGGAGTTGTTGGTTAGGAAAAGTGATGCAAGTCTGCCATTCGTAATAACTTTGTACTGGAGTGTGAATCTTATTTTCTGGTGATTCTGCTGGTGATCGAGTTGCATATTTTCATTCTGATAATGGCGGCGAATACATTTCCAAAGACCTGGAGCAGTTCTTTGTGTCTAAGGGTATCAAGCATATTATACAGTTCCTCATACTCCTCAAAAAAATGGTGTTGCTGAGCGATTGAATCGCACATTATTTGAGAAAGCCAAGTCTATGCTTTTATATGCTCATGCTCCTGAATACTTATGGGGTGAAGCTGTCAAGTCTGCTAATTATATTAGAACCGTCTTCCTAGTCGTACCACTGGTGGTGTTGCACCTCTTCAACTTTGGACTGGTAAACCTCCTAGTTATCACCATATGAAAGTATTTGGTTGTCAAGCTACAGTTGTTCTTCCTGGTGCTAAAAGAGAATCTAAGTTAAGTTCAAATACTGAAGCTGGTGTTTTGTTGGGTATTCTTTGGATCGTACAGCTTATCGAGTTCTTCTTGATTCAAGCATTGTTGAAGCCAGGAGTGTTTACTTTGATGAGCCCAAGTTTCCATTTATGAAAAGTGATAAGGACTTGTCTATTAATGGTACACTGGTGTTGGGTTTAGTGTTGGTTCTGGTTCAGGGTCCATGTCAGGACCTTGTTTTGATTCTAAGGGGACTGGTTTAGGATCTAATGTTAGGGTTAATTCTATTGCTAGTTCTGATTTAAGTTCTGGTTCTAGTTTTGGGTCTCATAGATCTTTACCAGCATCCTCATCTGGTTCTGGTTCTGGTTCTGGTTCTGGTTCTGGTTCTATTGTGCTACCGTCTCCGTCTCCGTCTTCTTCTCCGTCTCATTCTCCGTCGCCGCCTCCTCTTCTTCTTCTTCTATTATTGTTCATAAGCCTCGTTCTGTTCGTCGCATTTTGTCTACACCTTCTGCTCCTCTTGAGTCTCCTACTCTTCCTTCTATTGCTTCAGTTCCATCTCTTCCTAGTTCTCCTATTCTTCCACCTTCAGATCATGATGTCTCTATCTCTCCTGACTCTAGTCCATTATTTCTTCTTCGGAATATATTCCTTCACAATTAGACTTATCTGAAGCTGGTCCATCTATTAATGAATCTGATATTTCAGGTGATTCTGGGATCTCGCAACGAGGGGTGATATTGGGTTTCAACCGTCTATCATTGCTTCGTCTCCCATTCCACCACCTTCTGTTGAATTGGAAGTAGTGCCATAGTCAAGAATCTCCTTCGTCTGATCTTGTTAATTCTCTTGACCAAGCTGGTGTTAGTGTTGTCACTAAGGATGATACTCAAGCTGTTTTGCCTAAATCTCGATCTCGTGTTGTTGCTGTTCGTTTACCTTCTATAACTCCTGCCAAACGCCCGAGTTCTGATGACATTGTTTCACCTCCTTCTAAACACCTTTGTGAAAATTCTTGAAACAATCTCCAGTGTCTGCAACACCTGCAAAACGTCCAGCTGAAGAAGAGTGTATTTTATCGTCGTCTCAAATCTCTCCGCTTTGAGTATGATGATGTGGCTTTACTTGTTTTACAGATCCTAGTAGTTTTGAAGAAGCTATGTCTAGTGAAGAAGCTGAGTTTTGGCTTGAAGCCTGTGTTATTGAAATGTCGTCTCTTAAACGCAATGGTACTTGGGAATTGGTTGATCTCCCACCTGGTCGCAAGGCTATCAATAGCAAATGGGTGTTTAAAGTTAAGCGCAAAGCTGACGGTTCAATTGAACGTTACAAAGCTCGTCTGTGTGTATTGGATTTTCGCAAGTTGAAGGTATTGATTATACTGAAACTTTTGCTCCTGTTGTTCGTTACGAGACTGTGAGGATTGTTCTTGCTATTGCTGCTCAGTTTGGGTTCCAGGTTCATCATATGGATGTCGAGACTGCATTTCTTAATGGTGATCTCAAAGAAGATATTTATATGAGACAACCTAAAGGCTTTGTTGTCAAAGGTCAGGAATCTAAAGTGTGTCATTTGAAGAAGTCTTTGTATGGTTTAAAGCAAGCTCCTTTGTGTTGGAATGAGAAGATTCATGGTGCTCTTGTCAAACTTGGGTTTATTCGTAATGAAAGTGACTACGGGTGTATACCAAAGGATCTGGGTCTACCATGGCATTATTGCACTGTATGTTGATGATTTACTTATTTCTGGCAATTCTTCTGAAGTCATTGCCAAAACCAAGTCTCTTTGTCATCTATGTTTAAGATGAAAGACTTGGGCCCAGTCGAGCAGTTCCTTGGCATGAGAGTTAAGCAGTCACCTTACCATATTACTGTGGATGTTTCGCGTTATATTTTGATATGTTGGAAGAGTTTGGTATGCAGAACTGTTCAAGTGTCAAGACTCCTTTACCCACTCGTGATCTTTCTGATTTTTCCGAGTCTGACTCTGCTACCGATGCCTCCATGTATCGCGTATTATTGGTAAGCTGATTTATGCTGCTAATTGTGCTCGTCCTGATCTTGCTGTTGCTGTTAGCTTTCTTTGTCGATATATGCAGAGTCCTAAGTCTATTCATATGGAAGCTGCTAAGCATACTCTTCGTTATCTTAAGGTACTGCTGAACTTGGTCTTGAATATCGAGCTCAGAAAGTCTACAAGCTTGTTGGTTATAGTGATGCCGACTATGCACAGGACAAGCAGGACCGTAAGTCATTTACTGGGTATGTTTTCATTCTGTCTGGTGGTCCCATTACTTGGGCTTGTCGAAAGCAAGTTAGTCCTGCATCGTCCAGCGTCGAGTCTGAGTACATGTCATTGTCTGATGCGTCTAAGGAATGCTTCTGGATTAATCAGTTGTTGTCCCTTTGCAAGATTCCTGTTCCGTTGCCAGTGACTATGTTTGAGGACAATCAGGGATGTATTGCTTTGGCTCAGAACCCAGTGTTTCATCGTCGCACCAAGCATATTGATGTTCGGTATCATGTTGTGCGTCACTATATTCGCAGTGGAGTGATTCATCTGGAGTATCTTGATACTCAAGTGATGTTGGCAGATATGTTTACTAAGAATCTTGGTCGTGTGAAGTTTGAGACATTGAGGGGACTACTTGGTATGAAGGCAGTAGGTGATTCTGCGACAAGGGAGGTGTTGAGCATGCAATGTTGTCGCAGACTAGTGCAGTTGATAATGCACGTGAGTTTGGGTGGGAAACTATGGTTGACAATCTATGTTTATTTTAGTTTTAGCCGCATTAGGTTTAAGCCCTTATGTGACTGTGGTTACCCTCCTTAATTTGTTACAAAGTTGAAGTGTAATACAAACCCACTCAACTTTGGGACAAATAATGAAAAATTTTCACCACTGCAAATTTTTCTTTTCTGGTATTGGAAGGTTTCTTCCCAGCTTTATTTTCTTTTCTTTTTTTCTCCATATGACTTCTATTAATTTCAAATACTTTCTTGGATAATATTTCTATTATTACTGACTTCCCTGTCACATTCACTTTGGCCTTCGGCTTATATAATTTCTTCCTCTGAAAAATCCTTCTCTCAATATCATGTCTGGCTACCAAATTCTTTTGGTTTCGTCTATAATAGTGTCCACTTGTCGAACTGGTACTGTCATCGCATATAATAATCCCTCGAAGACTCACCCTCGATACCTGTCATGATGTCTCCAAAATTTTTCCTGGGTTGTCGACTATGTAATATGTGCCATTAGTAGCCGTACCTCTGGCTTTATCTCATAGGTTATAGTCAGCTTAACCCGCCGATGTCATCCTTAAAATTCTATGCTGGAAATGTATGTTGGCCAAAGTTTGTTTCTTCTGTTCGTACTTAGTTGCTGGCTTCACTACCAATACATTGTCGCTGATTCGGTTAGTCCTTCAACGCTTTAGCTAATGGTCCCATGCAGCGCTCACAGTTGAGCACGCTTTGATAGTAACAATGTCTGACAACCTTGATATCAACAACTTCATCCGGAACACTGATAAATGGGCCAAGTTGTTGAAGATCTGGACCTCCAGCTACTCTTTCACTGAACTTCGTTGTTCATCAAGAATTACAATAACAAATCTAGGTGATGGTATTAAATGCTTCCGTTGTAAGAGGCGTGGTCATATTCAACAATTGTCATGTCTCTTGGGAAGAGAGTTCAGGCTCTCGAAGATAATAGGATGACAAGGAATCTGGGGTAACCTCAAGAGGTTGGTTTGCTTGAGACTATTGATGAATTTTACTGAGATAGTTGATGATGATCCATTTGTGAGTTCCGCTTTGTGTCGAGACATCTGTTGTTTCTGAGTTTGAAGTAACAGTTGCTCTGAGTCGTTTGATGATTTGGAATCGAACTTTTGATTCTTCTGAGCCGATGTCATCACTGAAGATTATTGTTATTGTCAAGTTTTGCGATTGTTCAAACCTCAGAACTTGATATTGATTCAGTTGGTAAACCGTTTGTTGGTTCCACTGATGATTCTTGTTTATTCTGAACCGTATGTGGTTCCTACTGTGATTTGTTTGGAGTCCGAACCGTGTGCAGTTCAGCTCCTATTTGTTGATTCTGAATCGTTGGTCGATTCGGATATTTTCCTTTGATTCTGAACCGTTGGTCGGTTCTTCTTTATTTCTTGTTCTGATTCTAAAACGTTGACTGTTTTGACGGGAGTCAGTGTAATAATAGATAAAATTATCCAAGAAAAGTATATATTGAAATATATAAGATAAAACGGTTATATAAGAAGAAAGAAAAGGAAAAGAAAAATTATAAAAGTTGGGAAGAAACCTTCCTTATATACCCAAGGAAAAGAAAAATTTGCAGTGGTGAAAATTTTTCATTTGGTTTGTCCCAAAGTTGAGTGGGTTTGTATTACACTTCAACTTTGTAACAAATTAGAGGTAACCACAGTCATATAAGGCTTAAACCTAATGCGGCTAAACTAAAATAACATAGATTGTCAACCATAGTTTCCCCCAAACTCACGTCCATTATCAACTGCACTAGTCTGCGACAACATTGCATGCTCAACACCTCCCCTTGTCGCAGAATCACCTACTGCCTTCATACCAAGTAGTCCCTCATGTCTCAAACTTCACACGACCAAGATTCTTAGTGAACATATCTGCCAACATCACTTGAGTATCAAGATACTCCAGATGAATTACTCCACTGCGAATATAGTGACGCACAACATGATAACGAACATCAATATGCTTGGTGCGACGATGAACACTGGGTTCTGAGCCATGCAATACATCCCTGATTGTCCTCAAACATAGTCACTGGCAACGGAACAGGAATCTTGCAAAGGACAACAACTGATTAATCCAGAAGCATTCCTTAGACGCATCAGCATGACATGTACTCAGACTCGACGCTGGACGATGCAGGACTAACTTGCTTTCGCAAGCCCAAGTAATGGGACCACCAGACAGAATAAAACATACCCAGTAAAGGACTTACGGTCCTGCTTGTCCTGTGCATAATCGGCATCACTATAGCCAACAAGCTTGTAGACTTTCTGAGCTCGATATTCAAGACCAAGTTCAGCAGTACCCTTAAGATAACGAAGAGTATGCTTAGCAGCTTCCATATGAATAGACTTGATTCTGCATATATCGACGAAAGCTAACAGCAACAAGATCAGGACGAGCACAATTAGCGCATAAATCAGCTTACCAATAATCTGCGATACATGGAGGCATCGGTAGCAGAGTCAGACTCGGAAAAATCAGAAAGATCCGAGTGGGTAAAGAGTCTTGACACTTGAACAGTTCTGCATACCAAACTCCTCCTAACATGTCAAAATATAACGTGAAACATCCACAGTAATATGGTAGGTGACTGCTTAACTCTCAGGCCAAGGAACTGCTCGACTGGGCCCAAGTCTTTCATCTTAAACATAGATGACAAAGAAGACTTGGTTTTGCAATGACCTCAGAAGAATTGCCAGAAATAAGTAAATCATCAATACAGTGCAATAATGACCATGGTAGACCCAGATCCTTTGGTATACACACCGTAGTCACTTTCATTACGAATAAACCCAAGTTTGACAAGAGCACCATGAATCTTCTCATTCCAACACAAAGGGCTTGCTTTAAACCATATAAAGACTTCTTCAAATGACACACTTTAGATTCCTGACCTTGACAACAAAGCCTTTAGGTTGTCTCATATAAATATCTTCTTTGAGATCACCATTAAAATGCAGTCTCGACATCCATATGATGAACCTGGAACCCAAACTGAGCAGCAATAGCAAGAACAATCCTCACAGTCTCGTAACGAACAACAGGAGCAAAAGTTTCAGTATAATCAATACCTTCAACTTGCGAAAATCCAATACACGAGACGAGCTTTGTAACGCAATTGAACGTCAGCTTTCGCTTAACTTTAAACACCATTTGCTATTGATAGCTTGCGACCAGGTGGGATCAACCAATTCCCAAGTACCATTGCGTTTAAGAGACGACATTTCAATAACACAGGCTTCAAGCCAAAACTCAGCTTCTTCACTAGACATAGCTTCTTCAAAACTACTAGGATCTGTAAAACAAGTAAAGCCACATCATCATACTCAAAGCGGAGAGATTTGAACGATAGAAATACACTCTTCTTCACTGACGTTTTGCAGGTGTTGCAGACACTGGAGATTGTTTCAAAGAATTTTCACAAGGTGTTTAGAAGGAGGTGAAACAATGTCATCAGAACTCGGGCGTTTGGCAGGAGTTATAGAAGGTAAACGAACAGCAACAACACGAGATCGAGATTTAGGCAAAACAGCTTGAGTATCATCCTTAGTGACAACACTAACACCAGCTTGGTCAAGAGAATTAACAAGATCAGGCGCAGAGGAGATTCTTGACTAAGTGGCACTACTTCAATTCAACAGAAGGTGGTGGAATGGGAGACGAAGCAATGATAGACGGTTGAAACCCAATATCACCCCTCGTTGCGAGATCCCAGAATCACCTGAAATATCAGATTCATTAATCCAGCTTCAGATAAGTCTAATTGTGAAGGAATATATTCCGAAGAAGAAACAATAGGACTAGAGTCAGAAGATATAGAGACATCATGATCTGAAGGTGGAAGAATAGGAGAACTAGGAAGAGATGGAACTAGAAAGAAGGAAGGTAGGAAGAGTAGGGAGACTCGAAGAGGGCAGAAGGTGTAGACAAAATGCGACGAACAGAACGAGCTTATGAACAATAATGAAGAAGAAGAAGAAGGAGGGCGACGGAGAATGAGACGAGAAGAAGACAGAGACGGAGACGGTAAGCACAAATAGAACCAGAACCAGAACCAGAACCAGAACCAGATGAGGGATGCTGGTAAAGATCTATGAGACCCAAACTAGAACCAGAACTTGAATCAGAACTAGCAATAGAATTAACCCTAACATTAGATCCTAAACCAGTCCCCTTAGATCAAAACAAGGTCCCTGACATGGACCCTGAACCAGAACCAACACTAAACCCAACACCAGTACCATTAATAGACAAGTCTTTATCACTTTTCATGAATGGAAATTTGGACTCATCAAAGTAAACACTCCTGGCTTCAACAATGCTTGAATCAAGAAGAACTCGATAAGCTGTACGATCCAAAGAATACCCAACAAAACACCAGCTTCAGCATTTGAACTTAACTTAGATTCTCTTTTAGCACCAGGAAGAACAACTGAGCTTGACAACCAAATACTTTCATATGGTGATAACTAGGAGGTTTACCAGTCCAAAGTTGAAGAGGTGCAACACCACCAGTGGTACGACTAGGAAGACGGTTCCTAATATAATTAGCAGACTTGACAGCTTCACCCCATAATATTCAGGAGCATGAGCATATAAAGCTGACTTGGTTTTTCAAATAATGTGCGATTCAATCGCTCAGCAACACCATTTTGCTGAGTATGAGGAACTGTATAAGTATGCTTGATACCCTTAGACACAAAGAACTGCTCCAGGTCTTTGGAAATGTATTCGCCGCCATTATCAGAATGAAAATATGCAACTCGATCACCGCAGAATCACCAGAAAAATAAGATTCACACCTAGCAATAAAGTTACGAATGGCAAGACTTGCATCACTTTTCCCTAACCAACAACTCAACATAAGAGTACCTGGAATAATAATCCATAATGGTTAAGACATAACGATGACCCACAGGGTAGCGACATGAGGACCGCTCAAATCGAAACAAATAATCAAAGGACGACTAGCTTTTTCTGTGGTACCATTAATGCAATGCTGTGCTTGCCACTCCAAGCAAGCGTCACACTTATGACTATCCACAACCTCAAAATGGTGAGGCTTGACAGAAAGTGACTTAGATAATTTCTTGAGAACGTCCACACTGGCGTGACCAAGTCGCTTGTGCCAAAGATTGGCAGACGACTCAACAGCAAACACCTCATGAACTGGCTTGAAGGCAAACAACTCGAAACGACAAAGTACAAGTCACCCATGGCAATGGCGTGGACTCGAGTTTGCCATTTTCAACAGCAGAAATATGGTTAAGGTCTTGAATGAACCGACAACCACCAGCAGTAGCTCGACGAGCAGCAAATAAATTGGGAATCTTAGGAACATATAAAACATCTCGAAGAACAACGCGGTCCAAGGCTGGTCATCTTTACCAAGAAGATCAACGACAATGTCGCCAACCCCTCAGCAGTAGCAGAACCAAGACCACGAATGGTAGCCGAAGTGGGACGAAGAGAAGAAAAATATGAGATGTTATTGCAAATGTGACTGGTAGCACCGGTATCATGGATAAAGTCAAAGAATCAGACCCAACAACTAAGTTGGCCTCAGCAGAAGTAGTAGATTCAGCAACAAAAACGTGATGGACTGAATGACTTAAATCCAAGATTGAAGAAGGATGCCAGACGACAATTAAAATCAAGGAAAACAACATGATGGTAACAAAAGATAAGTAAAGAATGGAGAAAAACGGGATTTTGGGTAACAATAGGTTTAACAATAGGCGGAGAAGGTTCAGTAATTGAATCCCCAAAAATCAAAGAAGGTAAGACAATATCATCCAGAACCGACAACGGTTTAGAATCAGAACAAAATAAAGAACCGACCAACGGTTCAGAATCAGGAAAATATCGAATCAGAACAAAATGCGGGAAAGGAATTTTTTGGGGAAAAAATAAAAGGTTGGGCCCCCTTGAAAAAACCCCCCCTTTTTTTTAAAAAACCCCCCCAAAAAGAATTTTGCTTTCCCCCCAAAGGGGTTCCCTTTTTTCGGAAAACCCCACCGGCCATTTTTAAAATTCAGAAAGTTCGGTTTGAAAAAAATTTTCCCCCCCCCCCCCCCCCCCCCCCCCCCCCCCCCCCCCCCCCCCCCCCCCCCCCCCCCCCCCCCCCCCCCCCCCCCCCAAAAAAAAAAAAAAAAAAAAAAAAAAAAAAAAAAAAAAAAAAAAAAAAAAAAAAAAAAAAAAAAAAAAAAAAAAAAAAAAAAAAAAAAAAAAAAAAAAAAAAAAAAAAAAAAAAAAAAAAAAAAAAAAAAAAAAAAAAAAAAAAAAAAAACCTCAAACACCAAAAGGAGAATAAAACAGAAAAAAAGACCCACAACTTAGAATAAAAAGGAATAAATTGAATCACCAAAACAAATCAACAAATAGGATAAAAAAGGTTGCCCCAAACAACAACAGTAGAACCCGAAACGGTTCAAATTAAACAAAATCAAAGGAACCCAACCGGTTTCCCAAATAATAAATAATTGGGTTTAAAAAACTCAAATTGACTAACAAAAAATTTTACCCCCGACAAATCCCAGAAAATCAAAAAGTTCGGACCAAAATCTAAAGATGGAGCAATTTTCCCAAACTTTCAGAAAACAAAAATTTCTGGACAAAAAAGCAACTAAAAATTGGATCATCATCAACACCCAAAAAATTTAAAAGTCTAGCAAACCCAAAACCCCTTTTTGAGGTTTTGTTCTTAGACCTTTTCATCCAACGGCAGGCTGCCTCTTCCCAAGAGACAGACAATTGCAAGTAGACCAGCCCTTACAAGGGGAAAAAAAATATTTAGATTTTTATTCTTTTGATGAAGAAACGAACGTTCAAAGTCGAAAAGTGCTGGAGGTAAATTCAAACAACTTGGGCCCATTTATCGTTGGAGAAGGTTAATAAAGGGGCGTTTGGTTTTTACTATAAAGGGGAAGGGATTGGGGCGTAAAATTAACATTAGGCAAAGGGAACCACAAAAAATCAGGGACAATATTTATGGAACGCCAGTGAAAAACAAAGAAAAAGAAGAACAAACTTTGGACCAAAAATATTCCACATAAGGTTTTCAAAAGGGTAACAGGGGGTTGAATTGCCCCTAACTCCAAAAAAACCAGGGGTCAGGCCCTAATGGACATCATTAAAAAAATTTATCAACTCAAAAATTTGTTGAATGCTCAGGACGACTACAACAGGGGGGGAGGTTTTCGGGGGGATCAAGCGGATTACAAAAACGCCGACATAAAATAAACCCCCATTATTCTGACAAGACCAAAAGAATTTTTACCCAGAATATAGTTAGAAATTTTGAGGAAAGAGATTTTTGCCAATGCGGCCCAAACCTTTGAACTTGAAGGAAGGAAATAAAGAAAAATTATCCAAAAAATTAAAATTTGTATTGAAAAAACTTTATAAGAAAAAAGAAAAAGGAAAAGAAAAATTAAAAAATTAAAAACCTTATTTACCTGGGAAAAAAAAATTTGAGGGGTGAAAATTTTCTTTTATTTGCCCAAAAGTTGGGATGGGTTTGATTACATTCAAACCGTAACAAATTGGAGGGAACCCAGTCAATAAGGGGCTTAAACCCCCAATGCGGCAAAATAAAAAACATGTTGTCAACCTGTTTCCCACCCAAATCACTCCATTATCAATCAAAAATTTGGGGAAAACTTTGGGCACCCCCAAAAAACCGGGGTCTTCGATATGATATTGCTTTACCTTCCTTTTTTTTGGTGACAAAAAACCTTTCCCACTTTTTGTTAAAAAATTTTAAAAAAATTTTTTCCCCAATTCTTTACTTTACTTTGACCATCATGTTTTTTCCGATTTTTTTTTATTGGATCCTTTTAAGGAAAGATTATAAATTTTTGGGAACCCTTCGTGACCAATTAGTTTTGGTTGATTCTTTGTTTTATCCAAACCGGTGGTTTTGCAAAACACTCAATTTTTTCTTTCCTGTCCCTTTTGGCCCATGGGGTTTCTTGGTTTCACCTGGGGGGTTTACACCCGGGATTTCAAAAGGCCCAGCCTGGACCCTTTTCTTCAGATGTTTTATATGTTCCTAAGATTCCTCGAATTTATTTGTCCCTGTCGAGCTACTGCTGGTGGTTGGGTTCATTCAAGACCTTAACCATATTTCTGCTGTTAAAATGGAAAACTCGAGTCCACCCCATGCAGGGGACTTGTACTTTGTCTTTCCGAGTTGTTTTGCCTTCCAAGCCAGTCCATGAGGTGTTTGTTGTTGACGTCTGCCAATTTTTTGGCAAAAGCGATTTTACGCCAGTGTGGACTTTCCCGAAATTATCTAAGCACTTTCGTAAAGTTTACTCATTTTGAGGTTGTGGATAGTCATAAGTAGGGGGTGGAAAGCCACACATTATTAATGGTACCACAGGTTTATGTCCTTGGAATTATTTTTTTGTTTTGGAGTGGCCCTCATGCCCTCCCCCCTGTGGGTCATCGTTATGTCTTAACCAAGGATTATTATTCCAGGTACCTTATGTGGAGTTGTTGGTTGAAAAGGATGCAACCCCTTGGCCCGTAACTTTTATTGCTAGGGGGAATCTTTTTTTTCTGGTGATTCTGCTTGATCGAGTTGCATATTTTCATTCTGATAATGGGGGAATACTTTCCAAAGACCGGGAGATTTTTTGTGCTAAGGGTATAAAATACTTATACAGTTCCTCATATTAAAAAAGGTTTGAGGATTGAATCGAAATTTATTTGAGAAAGCCGCATGCTTTTATATCTATGCCCCCAAACAGGGGGTGAAGTGTAAAGTCTGCTAATTATATTGGGAAACCCGTTTTCCCTAGTCGTACCACTGGTGGTGTTGCCCCTCTTCAACTTTGGAGGAAAAACCTCCAGTTATCACCATAAAAAGTTTTTGGGTTGTCAAGCTACAGTTGTTCTTCCTGGGCAAAAGAGAACGGTAAGTTCAAATTAAGTGGTTTTTTTTGTTGGGTTTTCTTGGATCACAGCTTATCGATTCTTCTTGATTCAAGCATTTTTGGGCCAGGAGGTTTACTTTGATGAGTCCAAGCCATTTATAAAAAAGTGAAAAGGATTTGTTATTAATGGTACGGTGTTGGGTTTAGTTTGGTTCTGGTTCAGGGTCCATGTCAGGACCTTGTTTTGTTTTAAAGGGGGACTGGTTTAGATCTAATGTTAGGTTAATTTATTGCTAGTTCTGATTTAAGTTCTGGTTCTGTTTTGGGGTCTCATAGATCTTTACCAGCATCCTCATCGGGCTGGTTCTGGTTCTTTTTGGGTTTGGTTTTTTTTGTTTTTCCGTCTCCGTCCCCGTCTTTTTTCTCCGTCTCACTGTCGCCGCCTCCTTCTTCTTCTTCTTCATTATTGTTCATAAGTTTTTCCTGTTCTGCATTTTGTCTACACCTTCTGCCCTCTTGAGTCTCCACTCTTCCTTTTATTGCTTCAGTTCCATTTTTCCTAGTTCTCCCCATTCTTCCACCTTCAGATCATGATGCTCTATCTCCTGACTCAGTCCATTTTTCTTTTTCGAATATATTCCCACAATTAGACTTATCTGAAGCTGGTCCATCTATTAATGAATCTGATATTTTGGTGATTCTGGGATCTCGCAACGAGGGGGGGGATATTGGTTTTAAACTGTCTATCATTGCTTCGCTCCCCTTCCACCACCTTCTGTTGAATTAAGAGTGCCACTTTGTCAAGAATCTCCTTTGTCGATCTTGTTAATTCTCTTTACCAAGCTGGTGTTAGTGTTGTCACTGGGGTGATACTCGCTGTTTTGCCAAATCTCGATCTCGTGTTGTTGTGTTCGTTTACCCTTTTATAACTCCTGCCCGCCCGAGTTCTGATGAATTGTTTCACCTCCTCTAAACACCTTTGTGAAAATTCTTGAAACAACCCAGGTCTGCAACACCTGCAAAACGTCCAGCTGAAGAAGAGGGATTTCTTTTCGTCGTCTCAAATCTTTCCCCTTTGGGATGATGTGGCTTTACTTTTTTTTTACAGATCCTTTGTTTTTAAAAAGCAGTCTAGTGAAGAAGCTGAGTTTTGGCTTAAGCCGTGTTATTGAAATGTCGTTTTTCCAATGGTACTTGGGGAAATTTGGGTTTATCTCCCACCTGGTCGCAAGGAAAAAACAAAGGTTTTAAAGTTAAACGCAAAACGAGGTTCAATTGAACGTTACAAAGCCGTCCCCGTGGGATTGATTTTTGAAGTTGAAGGGGTTTTATTATACTGAAACTTTGCTCCTTTTTTCGTTAGAGACTGTGAGGATTGTTCTGCTATTGCTCCAGTTTGGGTTTCCCGGTTCATATGGATGTCGAGACTGTTTCTTTTAAAGGTGATCCAAAGAAGATATTTATAGAGACAACCTAAAGGCTTTGTTGTCAAAAGGGCAGGAATCTAAAGTGTCATTTGAAGAAGTCTTTTTATGGTTTAAAGCAAGCCCCTTTTGTTGGAAACGGGAAAATTCATGGTGCTCTTGTCAAAATTGGGTTTATTCAAGAAAATGACTACGGGTGTATACCAAAAGGGTCTGGGCTACCATGGTATTTTTGCACTGTATGTTGATGATTTACTTTTTTCTGGGAACTTCTGGGCCAAAACCGCTCGTCATCTATGTTTAAGATGAAAGACTTGGGGCCCGTCGAGCAGTTCCCTTTTGGGATGAGAGTTAAGCAGTCACCTTACCAATTTCTGTGGATGTTTCCGGGTTTTATTTTTTATATGTTGGGAAAAGTTTGGTATGGAATGTTCAAGTGTCAAAACTCCTTACCCACTCGTGATCTTTCTGATTTTTTCCCAGTCTGACTCGCAGATGCCTCCATGTATCGCAGATTATTGGGGTGATTTATTTAATTGTGCTCGTCCTGATCTTGCTGTTGCTGTTACTTCTTTGTCGATATATGCAGAGTCCAAATCTATTCATATGGAAGCTGCTAACATACTCTTTTGTTATCTTGGGTACCTTTAACTTGGCTGAATATCATGAAAGCACAAACTTGTTGGTTATAGTGATGGGCTATGCACAGGACAACAGGACCGTGTCTTTTCTGGGGTGTTTTCATTCTGTCTGGTGGTCCCATTTTGGGGTTGTCGAAAAAAGTTAGTCCTGATCGTCCAGGGCGAGTCTGAGTAATGTCATTGTCTGATGCGTCTAAGGAATGCTTTTGGGTTAATCAGTTGTTGTCCCTTTGCAAGATTCCCCTTCCCAGTGACTATGTTTGAGGACAATCAGGGGTGTATTGTTTGGCTCAAACCCAGTGTTTCATCGTCGACCAAGCATATTGATGTTCGGTATCAGTTGTCGTCACATATTCGCAGGGAGTGATTCATCTGGGGTATCTTGATACTCAAGTGATGTTGGCAGATATGTTTACAAGAATCTTGGTCGTGAAGTTTAAAATTAGGGGGGCTACTTGGTATGAAGGCAGTAGGTGATTCGGACAAGGAGGTGTTGAGATGAATGTTGTCGCAGACAGGGAGGATAATGCACGAGTTTGGGTGGGGAAAATATGGTTGAAACTATGTTTATTTTAGTTTTCCTAGGTTTAAGCCCTTATGTGACTGTGGTTACCCCCCTTAATTTTTTAAAAGTTGAAGGGTAAAAAAACCCCCTAACTTTTTGGGAAACCCAAAAAGAAAAATTTTCACCACCAAATTTTTTTTTTTCCTTGGGGGTTAAGGAAGGTTCTTCCCAACTTTTATAATTTTTCTTTCCTTTTCTTTTTTCTTTTATAACGTTTTTTCTTATATATTTCAATATATACTTTTTTTGGGTAATATTTTATTATTATCATGACTTCCCCTGTCACAGTTCAACATTTTATGGGGCCACTTCGGCAAAAAATTTTACCTTGAACTTAAAAAACATATGTCCTTACAAAAGTTTGATGATTGTACTTTTGAAAAAAAAAGGAATGCTCATAACCAAGTTACGCTTGCTTGAAAATCCGATGATGCTCCCAAAACAAGTTGAGCGTTATATGGAAGAAGCCGTGCTCCGCTTAAAACTTTAGGATTAATTAAGAGGAACCCATGATTCCCTTGCGAAAAGTTTGGAAGGTTGTCTTTGGGCCCAAATGATGTGCTTCTTACAAAAGCGCGCGTTACCCAAGGCTATGGTCTCCCTTTACGAACAAGCTTGACCCCTTAATACAAAAGAACCTTGATATCTCCTTTTCGAACAACTTAGGCCAAGGAAGAAAAATTGATCTGCTTCGAAAAAGCTTGGGTTCTAAAAAGTAAATAAAAATTAAGTATTTTATAATTAATTTTGTTGAGATGAATTTTAAAACCCACATTGTAAAGCCGGGGAGTTTGGGTGGGAAATAATGGTTTACAATCTAAAGTTTTCCCAAGGTTTAATTTGTGACTTGGATTTAATTTTTAAAAAGTTGAAGGTAAAACAAACCCCTTTTGGGAAAAATTTTTTTTCCCCTGAAATTTTTCTTTCCTGGGTTTTGGGGGTTTTTAACTTTTAAATTTTTTTTTTTTCTTCTTTTTGCCCCCCCCCCCCCCCCCCCCCCCCCCCCCCCCCCCCCCCCCCCCCCCCCCCCCCCCCCCCCCCCCCCCCCCCCCCCCCCCCCCCCCCCCCCCCCCCCCCCCCCCCCCCCCCCCCCCCCCCCCCCCGGGGGGGGGGGGGGGGGGGGGGGGGGGGGGGGGGGGGGGGGGGGGGGGGGGGGGGGGGGGGGGGGGGGGGGGGGGGGGGGGGGGGGGGGGGGGGGGTGGTTTTCCCGGCCGGGGGGGGGTTGAAGATTGGTTTTTTGGGGTTGGGTCAAAAAAGGTTTCCTTTGAGGGGTTTTTAAATTGTTTTCAAAAAACCCTCAAGGAAATTTTTTATTTTTTTTGGGGGGGGAAAATTTTTTTAACTTTTTTTTAAAAAAGAAGTTAAAACCCTTTTTTTCCAGTGGCTACCAAAATTCTTTTGGTCTTCGTGCTGAATAATGGTGTCCACCTTTATGTCGAAGCTGGTACTGTCAATCCAGCTGCCAATGAACTCCTCGAAGCCCCTCACCGCCTCGCTTGATACCGTCGTCCATGATGTCATCCTCAACAATATTTCTCCTGAGTTGATCGAACATGTTAATGATGGGCCTTAGAGGCCGTGACCTCTGGCTTTATCTTCATCAGGAGTATAGTCAACTTCAACCCGCCGATGTCATCTCACTTATGAAATCCTCTATGCTGGCAATATTGATGTTGGTCCCAAGTTTGTTTCTTCTGTTCGTTCTTATGTTGCTACCTGGCGTTCCATCTACCAATCATTGTCGCCTGATTCGGTCGTGGCCTTCAACGCTTTGGCTTCAATGGGTCCCATTTGGGAGCGCTTCATCCAGTACGCCTTGGAGCACCGCTTTGATAGTAACAACAATACTGACAACCTTGATATCAACAACTTCATCCGGAACACTGATAAATGGGCCAAGTTGTTGAAGATTACTGGACCTCCTGCTACTCTTTCGACTGAAGCGTTCGTTGCTTCATCAAAGAAGTACAATAACAAATCTAAGGGTGATGGTATCAAATGTCCTTGTAAGAGACGTGGTCATACTTCCAACAATTGTCATGTCTCTTGGGAAGAGGTTCAGGCTGCTCGCCAAGATAAAAAGGGGATGACAAGGAATCTAAGGAGGCTAAAACCTCAAGAGGTTGGTTTGCTGAGACTTTTGGGATGAATTTTCTGAGATAGTTGATGATGATCCATTTGTGAGTTCCGCTTTTGTGTCCGAGACATCTGTTGTTTCTGAAAAGTTTGGTAACAGTTGCCCCTGGAGTCGTTTGATGATTTGGAATCCGAACTTTTGATTCTTCTGAGCCGTGTGTCGGCGATGAAGATTGTTTTGTTGGTCAAGTTTCTGAGTATTGTTCAAACTCAGGACTTGATATTGATTCAGTTGGTAAACCGTTTGTTGGTTCCACTGATGATTCTTGTTTTAATTCTGAACCGTATGTCGGTTCTACTGTTGTTTGTTTGGAGTCTGAACCGTGTCAGTTCAGCTCCTATTTGTTTTGATTCTGAATCGTTGGTCGATTCGGATATTGTTCCTTTTGATTCTGAACCGTTGGTCGGTTCTTCTTTTATTTCTTGTTCTGATTCAAAAACCGTTGGTCGGTTCTGATGATGATATTGTCTTACCTTCTTTTGTTTTTTTGGTGGATTCAATTACTTAAACCCTTTTCTCCGCCTATTGTTAAACCTATTGTTACACCAAAATCCCGTTTTCTCCATTTTTTTACTTATCTTTTGTTACCATCATGTTGTTTTCCTTGATTTTAATTGTCGTCTGGCATCCTTCTTCAATTTTGGGATTTAAGTCATTCAGTCCATCACGTTTTTGTTGCTGAATCTACTACTTCTGCTGAGGCCAACTTAGTTGTTGGGTCTGATTCTTTGACTTTATCCATGATACTGGTGCTACTAGTCATATTTGCAATAACATCTCATATTTTTCTTCTCTCGTCCCACTTCGGCTACCATTCGTGGTCTTGGTTCTGCTACTGCTGAGGGGTTGGTGACATTGTCGTTGATCTTCTTGGTAAAGATGACCAGCCTTGTGACCGCGTTGTTCTTCGAGATGTTCTATATGTTCCTAAGATTCCTCGCAATTATTTGCTGCCGTCGAGCTACTGCTGGTGGTTGTCGGTTCATTCAAGACCTTAACCATTTTTCTGCTGTTGAAAATGGCAAAACTCGAGTCCACGCCATGCCATGGGTGACTTGTACTTTTGTCGTTTCCGAGTTGTTTTGCCTTCCAAGCCAGTCCATGAGGTGTTTGCTGTTGAGTCGTCTGCCAATCTTGTAATAAGCGACTTGGTCACGCCAGTGTGGACGTTCTCAAGAAATTATCTAAGTCACTTTCTGTCAAGCCTACTCATTTGAGATTGTGGATAGTCATAAGTGTGACGCTTGTTTGGGTGGCAAAGCCACAGCATTGCCATTTAATGGTACCACAGAAAAAGCTAGTCGTCCTTTGAGTTATTTGTTTCGATTTAAGTGGTCCTCATGTCGCTACCCCTGTGGGTCATCGTTATGTCTTTAACCATTATGGATTATTATTCCAGGTACTTCTTATGTGGAGTTGTTGGTTAGGAAAAGTGATGCAAGTCTTGCCATTCGTAACTTTATTGCTAGGTGTGAATCTTATTTTCTGGTGATTCTGCTGGTGATCGAGTTGCATATTTTCATTCTGATAATGGCGGCAAATACATTTCCAAAGACCTGGAGCAGTTCTTGTGTCTAAGGGTATCAAGCATACTTATACAGTTCCTCATACTCTCAACAAAATGGTGTTGCTGAGCGATTGAATCGCACATTATTTGAGAAAGCCAAGTCTATGCTTTTATATGCTCATGCTCCTGAATACTTATGGGGTGAAGCTGTCAGTCTGCTAATTATATTAGGAACCGTCTTCCTAGTCGTACCACTGGTGGTGTTGCACCTCTTCAACTTTGGACTGGTAAACCTCCTAGTTATCACCATATGAAAGTTTTTGGGTTGTCAAGCTACAGTTGTTCTTCCTGGTGCTAAAAGAGAATCTAAGTTAAGTTCAAATACTGAAGCTGGTGTTTTTGTTGGGTATTCTTTGATCGTACAGCTTATCGAGTTCTTCTTGATTCAAGCATTGTTGAAGCCAGGAGTGTTTACTTTGATGAGTCCAAGTTTCCATTTATGAAAAGTGATAAGGACTTGTCATTAATGGTACTGGTGTTGGGTTTAGTGTTGGTTCTGGTTCAGGGTCCATGTCAGACCTTGTTTTGATTCTAAGGGACTGGTTTAGGATCTAATGTTAGGTTAATTCTATTGCTAGTTCTGATTCAAGTTCTGGTTCTAGTTTTGGGTCTCATAGATCTTTACCAGCATCCTCATCTGGTTCTGGTTCTGGTTCTATTTGTGCTTTACCGTCTCCGTCTCCGTCTTCTTCTCCGTCCTCATTCCCGTCGCCTTCTTCTTCTTCTATTATTGTTCATAAGTCCTTTCGTTCTGTTCGTCGCATTTTGTCTACACCTTCTGCCTCTCTTGAGTCTCCTACTCTTCCTTCTATTGCTTCAGTTCCATCTCTTCCTAGTTCTCCTATTCTTCCACCTTCAGATCATGATGTCTCTATTTTCCTGACTCAAGTCCAATTGTTTCTTCTTCGAATATATTCCTTCACAATTAGACTTATCTGCTGGTCCATCTATTAATGAATCTGATATTTCAGGTGATTCTGGGATCTCGCAACGAGGGGTGATATTGGGTTTCAACCGTCTATCATTGCTTCGTCTCCCACTCCACCACCTTTGTTGAGTTGGAAGTAGTGCCACTTAGTCAAGAATCTCCTTCGTCTGATCTTGTTAATTCTCTTGACCAAGCTGGTGTTAGTGTTGTCCCCTAAGGATGATACTCAAGCTGTTTTGCCTAAATCTCGATCTCGTGTTGTTGCTGTTCGTTTACCTTCTATAACTCCTGCCAAACGTCCGAGTTCTGATGACATTGTTTCACCTCCTTCTAAACATTTTTGTGAAAATTCTTTGAAACAATCTCCAGTGTCTGCAACACCTGCAAAACGTCCAGCTGAAGAAGAGTGTATTTCTTATCGTCGTCTCAAATCTCTTCGTTTTGAGTATGATGATGTGGCTTTACTTGTTTTTACAGATCCTAGTAGTTTTGAAGAAGCTATGTCTAGTGAAGAAGCTTGAGTTTTGGCTTGAAGCCTGTGTTATTGAAATGTCGTCTCTAAACGCAATGGTACTTGGGAATTGGTTGATCTCCCACCTGGTCGCAAGGCTATCAATAGCAAATGGGTATTTAAAGTTAAGGCAAAGCTGACGGTTCAATTGAACGTTACAAAGCTCGTCTCGTTTTATTGGATTTTCGCAAGTTGAAGGTATTGATTATACTGAAACTTTTGCTCCGCTGTTCGTTACGAGACCTGTGAGGATTGTTCTCTATTGCTGCTCAGTTTGGGTTCCAGGTTCATCATATGGATGTCGAGACTGCATTTCTTTAAAGGTGATCCTAAAGAAGATATTTATATGAGACAACCTAAAGGCTTTGTTGTCAAAGGTCAGGAATCTAAAGTGTGTCATTTGAAGAAGTCTTTATATGGTTTAAAGCAAGCTCCTTTGTGTTGGAATGAGAAGATTCATGGTGCTCTTGTCAAACTTGGGTTTATTCGTAATGAAAGTGACTACGGTGTGTATACCAAAGGATCTGGGCCCACCATGGTTTATTTTCGCACTGTATGTTGATGATTTACTTATTTCTGGCAATTCTTCTGAAGTCATTGCCAAAACCAAGTCTCTTTGTCATCTATGTTTAAGATGAAAGACTTGGGCCCAGTCGACAGTTCCTTGGCATGAGAGTTAAGCAGTCACCTACCATATTACTGTGGATGTTTCGCGTTATATTTTGATATGTTGGAGGAGTTTTATGCAGAATTGTTCAAGTGTCAAGACTCCTTTACCCACTCGTGATCTTTCTGATTTTTCCGAGTCTGACTCTGCTACCGATGCCTCCATGTATCGCAGTATTATTGGTAAGCTGATTTATGCTGCTAATTGTGCTCGTCCTGATCTTGTGTTGCTGTTAGCTTTCTTTGTCGATATATGCAGAGTCCTAGTCTATTCATATGGAAGCTGCTAAGCATACTCTTCGTTATCTTAAGGGTACTGCTGAACTTGGTCTTGAATATCGAGCTCAGAAAGTCTACGCTTGTTGGCTATAGTGATGCCGACTATGCAAGGACAAGCAGGACCGTAAGTCCTTTACTGGGTATGTTTTCATTCTGTCTGGTGGTCCCATTACTTGGGCTTGTCGAAAGCAAGTTAGTCCTGCATCGTCCAGCGTCGAGTCTGAGTACATGTCATTGTCTGATGCGTCTAAGGAATGCTTCTGGATTAATCAGTTGTTGTCCCTTTGCAAGATTCCTGTTCCGCTGCTTCCAGTGACTATGTTTGAGGACAATCAGGATGTATTGCATTGGCTCAGAACCCAGTGTTTCATCGTCGCACCAAGCATATTGATGTTCGATATCATGCTGTGCGTCACTATATTCGCAGTGGAGTGATTCATCTGGAGTATCTTGATACCAAGTGATGTTGGCAGATATGTTCACTAAGAATCTTGGTCTGTGAAGTTTGAGACATTAAGGGGACTACTTGGTATGAAGGCAGTAGGTGATTCTGCGACAAGGGGAGGTGTTGAGCATGCAATGTTGTCGCAGACTAGTGCAGTTGATAATGCACGTGAGTTTGGGTGGGAAACTATGGTTGACAATCTATGTTTATTTTAGTTTTTGCCGCATTAGGTTTAAGCCCTTATGTGACTGTGGTTACCCTCCTTAATTTGTTACAAAGTTGAAGTGTAATTTCAACCCACCAACTTTGGGATTAACCAAATGAAAAATTTTCACCACTGCAAATTTTTCTTTCCCTCAGATATTTAAGGAAGGTTTCTTCCCCAACTTTTATAATTTTTCTTTTCCTTTTTCTTTCTTCTTATATAACTGTTTTATCTTATATATTTCAATATATACTTTTCTTGGATAATATTTTCTATTATTATCATGACTTCCCGTGTCACAGTTCAACAAATTTAAGGATTTTTTTAAAAAAATTTCAAAAATTTCAAAAATTCTAAATTTATTATATGCGGTGAATTAAACATTTAAATTTGCTTATTTAACCAGGTGGTTGTGCTTATTTAACCAGGTGTGTGTGCTTATTTAACCACTGAAAATATTAAATTTACCAGGTGTGTGTGTTAAATAAAAAAAAAAAATGTTTATTAAGCAATTTTTATAGTGGGGGAAAAAATAAATTTACCACGTCTATTTGTTTAGTAAACCACCACTTTACTAGGGGAAAAAGTGCGAAAAATCCCAAAGGTGAAATTTATTATATGCGGTGAATTAAACATTTAAATTTGCTTATTTAACCAGGTGGTTGTGCTTATTTAACCAGGTGTGTGTGCTTATTTGACCACAGAAAATATTAAATTTACCAGGTGGTTGTGCTTATTTAACCAGGTGTGTGTGCTTATTTAACCACTGAAAATATTAAATTTACCAGGTGTGTGTGTTAAATAAAAAAAAAAAATGTTTATTAAGCAATTTTTATAGTGGGGGAAAAAATAAATTTACCACGTCTATTTGTTTAGTAAACCACCACTTTACTAGGGGAAAAAGTGCGAAAAATCCCAAAGGTGTACAGTTTTAATTGGATTTTTAGGCCCTTGTAAAACTTTATTTAATTCGATATGTTTTTCTTTCGGAATCCCTTGCTTTACCAATGATTTTAGAGCTTTTTCATTGTTTTTTAAAATAAAATTAAACTCGTCTGAAGGAACCACCCTAGAAGGTTGGCAACTCGGTATGAAAGTAGCTTTTTTGTCCTTAGAAATTCTCCAATTATACTTTAATTAAAAGTTAGAAACTATATAAACTCAAAAAAAAACACATATATATATTATTCCACTCATAAGTGGAATAATAGTGGTAATTACCATTGTTGTGTGTAAATTTTTATGTTTATATTTATATTATTTATATTTTTTTGTTTTGTTTATATTTTTTTGTTTTGTTTATTAAAAATATAAACAAAAACAATCTTTTTTCATTATTATTAAAAGTAATTTATTTAATTATTTAATTATTTAATTATATATTTATAATATAAACAAATTTGTTTATTTTATTTAAATAAAATCAAGCTTTACATTTAAGAATATATATATATATTTTTTTATTTTTTTTTTTTTTTATTTTTTTATTTTTTATTTTTATTTTTTATTTTTTTTTTTTGAGCCAGCGGGTCTTCCCCTTTTTACCTCTTGTTGGGTTTGTGGTGCCAATGAATTCGAAAGAATTCTCTGGGGTGAAGACTTTTCGAGGAGCCATCCGTAGTCAGATAGGAGCTTAGTGTAACAGTAGCTTGGTTTGTCCTTTGTAGATAGCTCTAAGTCGTTTGTTCTTTTGAAAATTTTCTGTTTTGTCATTTTCCGCAGCATCGGTTGTACTGTGATCACTATAATCCAAATTTGGTGCATCCTCCTGATCTAAAGCCGGCGTTGAATTTTCATATGTTGGTTGCTCTGAGTCCGTGTCCAAGCACTCAGGACTTTGTGGGATTTCATCGCTAGACTCTAGAGAATCATAATCTTGGCCGTTTCTTTTGCCAGTTTTTCAGCTAAAACATCAGGTTTGGGTAATATTTCATCTTCTTCATCAAATGAATCATCGGAAATAATATATGAGGTTGATTTTTTTTTTGGAGAAGGTTCATTTAATGTCTTCTGAAAATTTTCCTTGTCAAGACGAAGAGAAATCATCTCTAAAATCTGGCGGGAAAAAATGAAACTCAAAAGTGACGAGCCCAAAGCTCCATTTAAACTTGTTTTCCGCCGAATTTTTCTTCCAGAATTAGAAATATCTGCTTCTGAAGATAGAGCTGATTGTGGATCATAGGCTAACGCTGCTTCAGTAATCACGGTAATTAGTTGGTAGGGACTCAAAATAATTTTGTCCTTATACAAAATGTAACGATCTTGATCAAGTGAAAATCAAGATTTTTGGGCATTTCTGTTTTAATTGAAAAGTGCTTATGTATTTCAGCATTCATAAAATACGATTTAATCTCAGGAAAAATAAAATAACCCCAAACTCTAAAAGACGTTGAAAATCCGCGTTATTTGTTCTATTGAGCAAGCCGACGGCTTTAATTCTCTGAGATGTCACTGTTGAAAAATGGAAATAGGATATGACATTCACCAATCCTTTCAAAAGAAAAATGGGAGTAGCACCCGCAATATTGTCAAGCTGAAGTAAATGAAGATAAAACTCATGAGGTAAAGGAAAACTCCCATTTCGATCTAAAGATTGTTTAAGCAGGCTACACTCAGAAGAATTTAAACATTGGAAGCTCTGGGAATAAATTAAGTCTGAGAATCCGTAGTCAACCAAGGAAACAAATTTGCACAAACGTTTGTAGCTAGCAAAGAGTTCAATAGAGTTGGAAAAGGTGGATGTCTCGATCAGTTCAGTTATTCCGGGGAAAATAGCACGTAATGATTTAGAACCAAGCTGTTTAATAGAGGATTTTAAGCGAGCATCTACCTCTAATGGATTCCCTAAAATTTTAGAATTCACATGCTTAAAAAGGGCATCAGATAACAGTCGAGAAACTAAAATAGACTGGACTGAATGGGAAAAAACCAAGCAAAAATTTGGACTGAATAAAACAGATCTGGGGACGAATGTGGAATACATCGCCATTTCATCGCTGGTGTCTGTGGAATAGACATTAGGAGTTGGTAAAGGTTGTAATGATGTAACATTGTTCAATTTTTGATAAGCATTTACGACTTGAATTGCGCGTCTGAACTGTACTAACACGTTGAAATGGAGAAGTAGGTTATGGGGAAAAACTTTCTTTATACTGTTATCAATAATTCCAAAAAGCGTCCAACACATATATAAACCAGAGAATTTCAAAGGATAGTAGGATGAGGCTTTGATCTGTGTTGGAATATATGTCATGGTACTATCGTGTATTTCAACATTATCCCATAATATTTTTTTTTCCCAATTACACTCTTTACATTGTTACATTATTCACTAGCAACTACTAGCCCATTACCATTGGAGTTACAATAATTGTTACAATCAAGACTCCCTATTGCTAAAGAAAATTTTTCAAGATGCTCTTTTAAATTTTCTTCATTACAGAAACCTTTCTTGTTTTCTTTCTCTTCTTTTTCTCGCTACTCTAAATTTACGCAAAACTGTTTTTTATTAAATACTCTTTCAGCTTTCAGCTTATCAATCGTATTTACTTATTAACTCTTGCTTTTAGTCTTCTCCGCTATGTCTAATCACGGAAACACTACAGGAGTCAATGAAGGACCCTCATCCTTCGAGTCAGCCAGCACTGGAAGTTCTGTTGCCCACTCAACATCTGAGACCCATTCAAAGAACAACGCCAGCTCTTATGAGACATTCGCCGATCTCCCTGTTCATCGTCAAATTGATCTCGCTGACCGTTCTGGATTTACCGTTAGACAATTAACCATTGCCAACATACCAGTTTGTTCCGAAGGATGTGAAGCTGAATTAAAAGTCTTAGCAGACTTGACAGCTTACATTAGAAACTCAAACTTCAAAGCTAGTCCTCCCCCATCTCAAAAATCTGAATGTTTTGTATTTCTTGGGTAACAAGTGTATCGGTCCCATAAGTAATCTCAAACAAAGGCAAAATTCGTTTCAGCAAATTTTTGTATATTCCAAAATTCTTTTCCAATGCAAGTCTCAAAGAGATTTTATTTGTTTGGTTTGTTTTCGAAGTTGTGGAGCAGAAAAAAGAATAAACTGAAACCTCCAAACAGTTCCTCCAAGAGATATGTAAAAAGCCCCAGTGATTGTAGTTGATAGGAGGTAAAAGAAGAAAGAAGTCAAGTTGTTTGTTGTTTTCATGTTCTTTAAAATTAAATTCAGCAAGTAAGCCAGAAAGGTTTTTGTAGACAAAGTCAACACTTTGCTCCGCAATTAATCCATCAGTTATTTTTGGCTGACAAATTATGCAAAATTGGCCGTATTCTTTATCAAAAACTTCGGTCATTTGAATGAAATGGTTTGAGCTAAGACCACAGTTGTGAAAATAATTATCTAGCAAATATAAAACGTCCGAAGAATCAAAAATACAGTGAGAGTTAGTTGTATCAGGTAAGACAAGGTCTAAATGATGCAACTCAAGGTGATTGTTCTCAGTATATAACGTCTCTGAAATTTCAGAGACTTTTGAGATGGGGGAGGACTAGCTTTGAAGTTTGAGTTTCTAATGTAAGCTGTCAAGTCTGCCAAGACTTTTAATTCAGCTTCACATCCTTCGGAACAAACTGGTATGTTGGCAATGGTTAATTGTCTAACGGTAAATCCAGAACGGTCAGCGAGATCAATTTGACGATGAACAGGGAGATCGGCGAATGTCTCATAAGAGCTGGCGTTGTTCTTTGAATGGGTCTCAGATGTTGAGTGGGCAACAGAACTTCCAGTGCTGGCTGACTCGAAGGATGAGGGTCCTTCATTGACTCCTGTAGTGTTTCCGTGATTAGACATAGCGGAGAAGACTAAAAGCAAGAGTTAATAAGTAAATACGATTGATAAGCTGAAAGCTGAAAGAGTATTTAATAAAAACAGTTTTGCGTAAATTTAGAGTATATATAAGAATTATATAAATGATAAAAATAATAAAATAATAAAATAATAAAAGTTCGCTATCATACCTAAAAGCAAGAGTTAATAAGTAAATACGATTGATAAGCTGAAAGCTGAAGGAGTATTTAATAAAAACAGTTTTGCGTAAATTTAGAGTAGCGAGAAAAAGAAGAGAAAGAAAACAGGAAAGGTTTCTGTAATGAAGAAAATTTAAAAAAGCATCTTGAAAAATTTTCTTTAGCAATAGGGAGTCTTGATTGTAACAATTATTGTAACTCCAATGGTAATGGGCTAGTAGTTGCTAGTGAATAATGTAACAATGTAAAGAGTGTAATTGGGAAAAAAAAATATTATGGGATAATGTTGAAATACACGATAGTACCATGACATATATTCCAACAGCCCCCCTGCAACAACAGCCCGTTATCAAGATTCAATCTCTTGATCTTTGCGTCGTCGAGTCTTCGAAAATGACTGCGGCGTAACGATGGAGGTATTATTTGACGAGACGAGCACTGCATCAAGTCCATTTCCCCTCAACTTGAGGACGGGTACTCATACCCAGAAGATTCCTCAAATATAAAACTGCGGCTTAGCCAGAGCTTTGGTAAAAATGTCGCCACATTATCTGCTGAAGCAACAGCTTCAAGACGGGTATCGCCGGCTTTCGACATGGTCTCTGGTGCCATGTACTTGGTATCAATATGTTTAGTCCGCTCGTGATGTTTGCTGTCCTTTATGAGATCCAGGACACCTTTGTTGTCCTCCATGATGACAGTCGTTGGTTGAGATTCACCGTTCTTCCAAAGATCTCGAAGTAAACTGCCTCACACGTGGCAGAGAAAGCGGCAATCAGCTCAGCCTCAGTTGTGGAAGTTGCTGTCAACTTCTGTTTGGCGACTTCAAGAGAAGGTTGAAGGACCGTGAGAGAATGCAAAGCCTGAGATAGACTTCCTGTCGGGATCGTTTGCCCAATCGGCATCTGACCAGCCTCTCAGAAGCCGCGGAGAGGCCCTGGTACATTTTTGTGATAGACAATTGCCAGGTCCTTGGTGCCTTTGAGGTAGCTCAGAACATGATATGCTCTATCCATATGAATAGCTCTAGGGTCACTCGCATACTGAGCAAGCTTGCCTGTAGCGTAGGCAATGTCCGGACGGGCCGTCTGTGCAGCAAACTGTAGCTTGCCAAGAATGCTGCGATACAGCGATTGGTTAGCTGACGAGCATCGAGGCCCTGTGGGAAATCAAGGCCATGTTTCTTGGCAACGGTATCGACTTAGCTGTTTGATTACTCAATTTGAAAACCTCAATCATGTCAGCAATATAATGTTCCAGATCCAGAGATATTGTCCTGTCGGAGTCCTGGACTCTGATTCCCAAGAATTTGTTAACACCACCTTCATCTTTGATGGCAAAGTAACCAGATAGGCCCTTGAAAAAACGCTCGAATTCTCCCGGTACATTTGACGCCGTTAAGATGTCGTCAACATAAAGACCTATAATACTGAAGTCTTTGCCATTAATCTTGTAAAGAGACAGGGTTCTTTTGGCAGCTTTGTAACCTAGTGCTTCCAACTTGTCAACAAGCTTCTTGTTCCAACACAGAGGGGCTTGCTTCAGTCCATATAAGCTTTTATTCAGCTTCCAGACCATGCCAGGAGGGGTATTATGTGTTGAACTGTGACACGGGAAGTCATGATAATAATAGAAAATATTATCCAAGAAAAGTATATATTGAAATATATAAGATAAAACAGTTATATAAGAAGAAAGAAAAAGGAAAAGAAAAAAATTTTAAAAATTGGGGAAGAAACCTTCCTTAAATATCCGAAGGGAAAGAAAAATTTGCAGTGGTGAAAATTTTCATTTATTTGTCCCAAAGTTGAGTGGGTTTGTATTACACTTCAACTTTGTAACAAATTAAGGAGGGTAACCACAGTCACATAAGGGCTTAAACCTAATGTGGCTGTAACTTAAAATAAACATAGGTTATCAACCATAGTTTCCCACCCAAACTCACGTGCATTATCAACTGCACTAGTCTGCGACAACATTGCATGCTCAACACCTCCCCCTTTTCGCAGAATCACCTACCGCCTTCATACCCGTAGTCCCTCAATGTCTCCCAAAATTCACACGACCAAGATTCTTAGTGAACATATCTGCCAACATCACTTGAGTATCAAGATACCCAGATGAATCACTCCACTGGAATATAGTGACGCACAACATGATAACGAACATCAATATGCTTGGTACGACGATGAAACACTGGGTTCTGAGCCAAAGCAATACATCCCTGATTGTCCTCAAACATAGTCACTGGCAACGGAACAGGAATCTTGCAAAGGGACAACAACTGATTAATCCAGAAGCATTCCTTAGACGCATCAGACAATGACATGTACTCAGACTCGACGCTGGACGATGCAGGACTAACTTGCTTTCGACAAGCCCAAGTAATGGGACCACCAGACAGAATGAAAACATACCCAGTAAATGACTTACGGTCCTGCTTGTCCTGTGCATAGTCGGCATCACTATAACCGACAAGCTTGTAGACTTTCTGAGCTCGATATTCAAGACCAAGTTCAGCAGTACCCTTAAGATAACGAAGAGTATGCTTAGCAGCTTCCATATGAATAGACTTAGGACTCTGCATATATCGACAAAGAAAGCTAACAGCAACAGCAAGATCAGGACGAGCACAATTAGCAGCATAAATCAGCTTACCAATAATACTGCGATACATGGAGGCATCGGTAACAGAGTCAGACTCGGAAAAATCAGAAAGATCACGAGTGGGTAAAGGAGTCTTGACACTTGAACAATTCTGCATACCAAACTCTTCCAACATATCAAAAATATAACGCGAAACATCCACAGTAATATGGTAAGGTGACTGCTTAACTCTCATGCCAAGGAACTGTTTCGACTGGGCCCAAGTCTTTCATCTTAAACATAGATGACAAAGAAGACTTGGTTTTGGCAATGACTTCAGAAGAATTGCCAGAAATAAGTAAATCATCAACATACAGTGCAATAATGACCATGGTAGACCCAGATCCTTTGGTATACACGCCGTAGTCACTTTCATTACGAATAAACCCAAGTTTGACAAGAGCACCATGAATCTTCTCATTCCAACACAAAGGAGCTTGCTTTAAACCATATAAAGACTTCTTCAAATGACACACTTTAGATTCCTGACCTTTGACAACAAAGCCTTTAGGTTTTTCCATAAAAATATCTTCTTTGAGATCACCATTAAGAAATGCAGTCTCGACATCCATATGATGAACCTGGAACCCAAACTGAGCAGCAATAGCAAGAACAACCTCACAGTCTCGTAACGAACAACGGGAGCAAAGTTTCATATAATCACACCTTCAACTTAGCGAAAATCCAATACACACGAGACGAGCTTTGTAACGTTCAATTGAACCGTCAGCTTTGCGCTTAACTTTAAATACCCATTTGCTATTGATAGCCTTGCGACCAGGTGGGAGATCAACCAATTCCCAAGTACCATTGCGTTTAAGAGACGACATTTCAATAACACAGGCTTCAAGCCAAAACTCAGCTTCTTCACTAGACATAGCTTCTTCAAAACTACTAGGATCTGTAAAAACAAGTAAAGCCACATCATCATACTCAAAGCGGAGAGATTTGAGACGACGATAAGAAATACATTCTTCTTCAGCTGGACGTTTTGCAGGTGTTGCAGACACTGGAGATTGTTTCAAAGAATTTTCACAAAGATGTTTAGAAGGAGGTGAAACAATGTCATCAGAACTCGGGCGTTTGGCAGGAGTTATAGAAGGTAAACGAACAGCAACAACACGAGATCGAGATTTAGGCAAAACAGCTTGAGTATCATCCTTAGTGACTGTTGGAATATATGTCATGGTACTATCGTGTATTTCAACATTATCCCATAATATTTTTTTTTTCCCAATTACACTCTCTACATTGTTACATTATTCACTAGCAACTACTAGCCCATTACCATTGGAGTTAATAATTGTTACAAGCAAGACTCCCTATTCAAAGAAAATTTTCAAGATGCTCTTTTAAATTTTCTTCATTACAGAAACCTTTCTTGTTTTCTTCTTCTTTTCTCGCTACTCTAAATTTACGCAAACTGTTTTATTAAATACTCTTTCAGCTTTCAGCTTATCAATCGTATTTACTTATTAACTTTGCTTTTAGGTATGATAGCGAACTTTATTATTTTATTATTTTATTATTTTTTATCATTTATATAATTCTTATATATACTCTAAATTTACGCAAACTGTTTTATTAAATACTCTTTCAGCTTTCAGCTTATCAATCGTATTTACTTATTAACTCTTGCTTTTAGTCTTCCCCCTATGTCTAATCACGGAAACACTACAGGAGTCAATGAAGGACCCCCATCCTTCGAGTCAGCCAGCACTGGAAGTTCTGTTGCCCACTCAACATCTGAGACCCATTCAAAGAACAACGCCAGCTCTTATGAGACATTCGCCGATCTCCTGTTCATCGTCAAATTGATCTCGCTGACCGTTCGGGATTTACCGTTAGACAATTAACCATTGCCAACATACCAGTTTGTTCCGAAGGATGTGAAGTTAAATTTAAAAAGTCTTAGCAGACTTGACAGCACATTAGAAACTCAAACTTCAAAGCTAGTCCTCCATCTCGGTTATGAGCTCCTTTGACGCTCCTCAAGCGCCAAATTTCAAACAATTTCTACAAAAGTGAATTGGATTTTGGATATACGGTCTTATTGGGCAAATTAACAGCTGCGGCCGGAGTTTTGGAACAACTATATCTATAAGCCAATTGTTGGCCATACTGCCCTTCAGCTTGGTTACGGTATCAGGTTGAGAGGCCCTGATGAACTATTTCAAGGTTTACATTTTAAAACCACGCCTGCAGCTAACCTGGCTGCAGCTGAACAGGCGGTGGACACGTCGCCGAGTTTCTAAAACTCCACCTATGGATTCGGCGTCTGTGCGGAAGAAGCCATGGGCCATTTGAACCTGGAAAGAATGGCTAGATCCTGAAATTTAGAGCCCGCTGACCTGGGGCGAGTGCTCTATTTACCAACGTCTTAATCATATTGGTTTGCGCATATCCCAGCCCTGAGCTTAACATTGTATTTGCGATGACGCAAGCTATCTCAGTAGGAGTTCCAGGTCCTAGTTATTTCGCCGGGCTTACCAGCAGTGAAATTAAACCAAAAAATACAAGCTACTGTTACTGAAGCTTCCAAGGGGCCTCTGTAGTGGAGCAATATTTTTTAACAACCCGGATGGCACCTTCACCGTGATCTATTAGCAGTGCTGAATAACAACAAGGTTTCAGCAGCTGCTGCGAAGATCCTCAGAGTCATCTGGGGATTACCAAGTTTGTCGACATTTCAAGTCAAGATCTGAGGATGGACCCCCGTGATTCAGTTGAAATCCAGCGCTAGTTGAAGCAATTTCTGCAGCCTTCGTAAAAGGTCGAAGAATTATTGACGGTTAAAAAATGGTGCAAAGCAGGAACCCAAGCAAGAACCCAAGCAGGAATCCAAGCGGGAAAACTTCGAAGAAGCTCCAGGGATACCAAGCAAGGAAAAGGGAAGCAGGTCCAAGGGCCCGGTGGCAACAAGAGGCGCAACAATGAAGACAAGCAACCCAAAAAGTCGAACTCTGATGGTCAAACAGAGTTGCTGCCTTGAAAGCTACCGAATATCTTGAGGTGGCTCGCGACGATGTTGAAACTCTTTGCCTGTGCTCGGCTATCCAAGACGTATTTGATAATGACGGCGGAAGCAGTGATTATTCGCCAGTTGCTTTTCTTCCACCTGCCAAACCAAATCGCCTCTGTGGGTGAAACAAATCTTCCAAATGTTCTGATTCTGAAATGCTACTGGTCACCTTATCTCAGACAACAGCTACTTTGTGTCGTATGAAAAATACAGCACCCAAACTATCAGCCCCTATGGGGCCGACATCGTGTTAGAAGGGAAGGTAAAATTCTGTTGTATTAAAGGTTTTGACGGTGGACCAATATTTCCATATTGCTGACGCACTTTATTTTCCGCTGGTCTAGCATTTGTTTTCTGATTCTGTCGGGCCCACGCACGATGTTTCTTTTCATACGGCCCCAAAGGGGGGATTGTCTGGCCTTTTTTGGTGAGGAAAGGTTGGTGGGGTTGGTGGTGCCAAAGATCCAAGTCTCACTTTGTAACATTGTTCCGGTAAAGTTTATTTTGGGAATATCGTACCTCCAACTGGATCTTTCAAGTTCTCAGAAATTCAATTGACTGGGATCAGATTTGCAGACAAGGACCAGAAGCGAGGAAGGTTGATAAATCAGCTTCGCGGTTGGAAAGGACACCTGTCCTTCACAGTCTCTCAAATTTATTGCAAAGGAGGCCGTGTTGAATTCGCAGGACTGACTGTCATGTTCGTTTTGCTCATTGCTCTTGATTTCGGTGAACATTTAGCCGCTTGCTGATCCTCCCTTTGAGGTGACCAAGCGGACGAAGAATTGATCAAGGACTGTTCATATGTGGCACGTCAAGAAGCATTAAGAGGTTCACTTCTCCGGATAAGCTATAGCTTCGGGAATCCACGGCCCGTTAGCCCAGATTCAGCTGATCCGTCGGTCCCATAGGCCCCGCCCTTCAGGGCCAGGTACATGCTGAATATCATTGATGCATTTTCTGGTTACATCTATGTTTTTGCTCTGGAATCAAGGATGAAGCCCGGGGAAACTTATCCAGTTCTTTAAGCAGTTTGTGCCGGCTGCTCGCCGTGCTGTTGACGGCAAGGCCACCAAGCTTATTACGAACAATGGTGGTGAATTTATCCGGCACACTGGAAAATTTTTAGCAGACTGGGGCGTCATTCATTTTAACCGTCCTGATGAACACCAACAAAATGGGAAAATTGAGCGTGCCCCCGCACGCGTGAGATATCTATAGAGCCGATGCAGCCGACACTCTGGGCCAATATCTACTGGGACTCTGCCTGGCTCTACGCTGTGCAGGTATATAATTTCTCCATAGTTAATAAAGCCGGTATCTCACCTTATGAAGCCTTTACGGGCAGAAACCACCTATAGCACTAGTGACACATTTGGCTGCCTAGTTTTTGCATAAATCGGGAGTCTCAGAAACTCAAGGGACCCTTCAGCCCGGGGCGACCCTTCCCTTTTTCTGTATTTGGTCCGACCCGTTAAATCCTAAGAATTTTTTTATGCATTACGAGGAACAAGCGCATTCGGCGCTGTGTACACGGCAACTTTCGGACCATTCTTGCCTGGCGTTAAATTTTGGCGAAAAGCCAATTCACGAGGGTGACATCTCATTGACTACAGTGAGGTTGGAAATCGTACCTGACTACAGTGATCTTCCACTGATGAATCAGAAAGTGAAGATGAATCTGACTCGACGACTACTCTCCCACTTCACCTCTGGGTGGGGGTGGTGGTAACTTGGCGGGACTTATGGGCTCTGGGGGAAGGGCCAAGATCCAGCAGTTTGGGAGGACCAGGATTCTACTTCTACACCACCGACCCCTATAACTGAAAACTTTTCAACCGTTGGAAGATGATGATGTGGAGCTGTGCAGATGAACCAATTATGTTGGTGACGACAAAGATACACTTCAGTCTGAGGACCATATATTGCTCGAAGATTCTGCTGTTGATGATGTGATTTGAGATCGGTGAACTCCAACGTAGCTGGTCGCCCGGTTCCGAAGATATAACGAAGTTTTTTCTCACGAAAATTCATTTTCTGAACATATGGTAAAGCTCCAGAAAGCCTTTGCTCCAGGAACTCAGTCGCCCTCAGTTGGCTCATCAAACAAGTCCGGACTTTTCCCCAAACAACTACATTTGGATGAGGATAAAGGTGGATCGGCTGTCGGGAACGCGGGAACTTCCCCGCGAGGTTCAGCTGTTGAAACCGCTAGCCAATCTGGTGATGACAATCAGGATGCGGTTGACTCCAGAAACCAATGATGAAGACATGGATGGGCCCTGGAACATATACTGGGTTGACGAATTGGAAGACTCATCAGATTCTGAATTTCGTCTAGCGACGTTGTCAGGGATTCTCTACTGTTGGAGGAAGCTCCTGCGAGAATGTGGGCCCGCAAGGTTTAGGTGACACTCGGTACGCACAAGCACAAATAATCCCGCCAGCAATCAACTGGTTTTGGCGGCGGCGGAACTGTACGGGCCACCACCGATTAGAGAAACTACGACGTCTGAAATCGGTTCAGAATGGCTGAGGGGCGGTAGTGGGAAGAGGCATCTAAATTTAGCGAGATTAAAATCTGCGTGGAACGTGCTGGTCAGCCGAAAATCGTCGTTTACTGCCGGTAGGCGAGCCAAGTGGCTGGCTCCTCAGGTATACGGCAGGAGCTCTGATACCCCAGCGCCCTCCTCGGGAGAGGCTGTTGCTGGAGCTTGGTTCTGGATACTGTATACTCCCGTGGGAAGTGGCGTGAACGGGAGAGCACTGCTGAGAATGATGCCCACGCTACCGCCTGCACCATCTACCAGAGGCTCCTGCTGAGTATGGGCGAGCAGGGATGCTAAAGCTTTGGGGACAATAAGCGACGTGCGGCACAGCCCGTGCAACAAAATCGACATATGCCACTTCCGGCTCCACCCTTTGAGACGGTTTTGTGGCAGCTCTCCTCCGTCTTTCTGAACATGATTCGCAAACTGCTGGGCAAGTAGTTGTTCGACAAACAATTTAAAACTCAGCCGGCAGAAGCCCAACAGCCCTCTTGCTAATACTGGAAGAATTACTAGGTCTGCTGGGTACTGCGGGTGCTGCGGGTGCCTGCGGTGCTGCGAAAGTGCCCGCTCCGTCGTCCAGACACCGTCATCGAGAAACCGACACAGTTGTTGTTAACAAAAGATTGCTGATTTGATTGAGCAAAATGGCTATTATGTTCCTAACAGGCACTTCAGGGGCTGGGCGAAAGAAATTCTTCATTAATTTTAAATCGCACAAATTTAATTACCGCCTACTGATAACCTTCCACTAGTAAATGGCGCGGCTTTGAAAAATAAAATTTTCCACCACTAAATACCGAATTTTCTTCGGCTACTAATTTATTACAGAAATATCCCAGAAATTGACTTCGCTCTTCACCAAGATTGAAAATGAAGCCACGAATGATTCTCCACAACAACTTCTACTCCGCTTCTTTGTCCTCGGAATCATCTGCACATTCGGTGCCAGTGGTTACTTCGCCAACCTCCTCGCTGTGACGTTCCACATTAGAAAGCCTTTTTTCTCGTCGTGATCATCAAACCACTCCTCCCTCGTCCGAATCGCATGCTGTCAATAGCACAACGCAATATCTACGCAGCCCCTGAAGCCATCTCAAGAATCGACTTAGGAGCTTTTAAGAAATCTGCGAAAAGAAATCGCTCTGCAAGCCCAACCACTACAGCATCGGGCTTACTTTGGGGCCTCGCTCCTCTGATCGGCACAGTGATAACTGAAACTCTCCGAACTCTGAGTCAGCTTTGGACTGGACCGGTCATGCACATGGTTGCCACCTCGTGACGTTCAACACGAGAGCCCACACGGCCACCTCCAGGGTACACCGGGTCTTAGATTCAACCCCCCCCCGGGTGCAGTTCCCTTTTTCACACTCACTGGCAACAACAATGTCCCCACTATCAACATCAGTGGATGAAGACTCAGTCGTTAGCACTGACTGCCGTCCCACTCTCCCGCCTCCACACCCGAAATTGAAGTTGAGGTTTCAAGCGATGAAATCTTAACCGCAGCACCCTACAATTCGACTCCAGGGCTCATCAGAACACTTAGCTGACGGCATTGATTTCTTTTCATGAACCTTTGTTTCTCGCCCGCTGATGATGAAATTATTTTGTTGATGAATCGGCAAGCCCATCAGGAGATCCGTCTGCCGGGCTGCCGACGATGTCATTGGCATTGGCTGCATCTACTGAACTCTGAAGAACCAACTGGAAAGCCCCCATGGCGTCTGGAAGACTTGCACACTCAACGCTATTAACATTGCTTCCATTTGAGAAATGACATCAAAGTTCAGAACCAGCAAACCAGGTCTCTACTTTACGGTCCTGATGTGGAGAATGTTAGAGCCTTATCAGCGACAGAGATTGGGCCGATCTTAGGATCGCCCTGCCTTCATTCGATTTCCGAATGTGGGAGTGGCGCTGCTCGACCCCGGCAAGAAGCTGAAGGACCCCCGGTCACTGGAAGCCAACAACAGAGAAGATAAGCGCTCTGGTTTGATGCGGCCTATTCGAATTTGCTGCCATTGATGGAAATCATGTCTACCAAGTTGTGCCCTCCCGGCGGGTCGAGCCCTTTTGGGACCAAAAAGGGGGCTGAAGAAGAAACCAACACGATGGTTCAATTGAAATACAAGGCTCGTCTTTTTTTCAGGGTTTCGTCAGAAGTTTGGTGTTGACTATGTTGACACCTTTGCGCCAGTGATGAGATTCAGCACTGTTCGTCTCATTTTCGCCCTGTGCGGCGAAGAACTGCGAGATGCACCACGTCGATGTTAAAATGCTTTGAATGGAGATCTAGAAGAAGACATCTATGTCAAGCCACAACAGGAATTGACCATAATACCCCTCCTGGCATGGTCTGGAAGCTGAATAAAAGCTTATATGGACTGGGAAACAAGCCCTCTGTTGGAACAAGAAGCTTGTTGACAAGTTAACACTGGTTACAAAACTGCCAAGAAAGAACCCCTGTCTCTTTACAAAATTAATGGCAAAAACTTCAGTATTATAGGTCTTTATGTTGACGACATCTTAACGGGTCAAATGTACCGGGAGAATTCGAGCGTTTTTCAAGGGCCTATCTGGTTACTTTGCCATCAAAGATGAAGGTGGTGTTAACAAATTCTTGGGAATCAGAGTCCGGACCGACAGGACAATATCTCTGGATCTGGGAACATTATATTGCTGACATGATTGAGGGTTTTTAAATTGGAGAATCAAACAGCTAAGTCGATACCGTTTCCCAAGAAACATGGCCTTTGATTTCCACAGGGCCTCGATGCTCGTCCAGCTAACCAAACGCTGTATCGCAGCATTCTGGCAAGCTACAGTTTGCTGCACAGACGGCCCGTCCGACATTTCCTACGCTACAGGCAAGCTTGCTCAGATGCGAGTGACCCTAGAGCTATTCATATGGATAGAGCATATCATGTTCCCGGGGCTACCCAAAAGGGACCAAGGACCTGGCAATTGTCTATCACAAAATGTACCAGGGCCCCCTCCGGCTTCTGAGAGGCTGGTCAGATGCCGATTGGGCAAACGATCCCGACAGGAAGTCTATCCCAGGTTTTGCATTTTTCTCACGGTCCTTCAACCTTCTTGGAAGTCGGCCAAACAGAAGTTGACAGTAACTTCCACAACCGGGGGCTGAGCTGATTGTCGCTTTCTGCCACGGGGAGGCAGTTTACTCGAGATCTTTTGGAAGAACCGGTGAATCTCAACCAACGACTGTCATCATGGAGGACAACAAAGGTGTCCTGGGTCTCATGAAGGAACAACATCACGAGCGGACTAAACACATTGATACCAAGTACATGCGCACCAGAGACCGGGCAAAGCGGCGATACCCGTCTTGAAGTTGCTTAGCAGATAATGTGGCAGAATTTTTACCAAAGCTCTGGCTAAGCCGCAGTTTTTATATTTGAGGAATCTTCTGATGAGTACCCCTCCTCAAGTTGAGGGGGGGAAAAGGGCTTGATGCAGTGCTCGTCTCGTCAAATAAAACTCCATCGTTACGCTGCAGTCATTTTGAAGACTCGAGACGCAAAGATCAAAAGGGTTGAATCTTTATAACGGGCTATTGTTGCAGGGGCTGTTGAATATATGTCAATGGGAATCGTGTATTTCAACAATCCCATAATATTTTTTTTTTCCCAATTTCACTCTTACATTGTTACATTATTCACGCAACTACTAGCCCATTTCCATTGGGGTTACATAATTTTTACAAGCAAGACTCCTATTGCTAAAGAATTTTCAAGATGCTCTTTAAATTTCTTCATTACAGAACCTTTCTTGTTTTTTTCTTTTCTCGCTACCTAAATTTACGCAAACTGTTTTATTAAATACTCTTCAGCTTCAGCTTATCAATCGTATTTACTTATTAACCTTTGCTTTAGGTATGATAGCGAACTTTTATTATTTTATTATTTTATTATTTTATCATTTATAATTTTATATATACTTTTTTTAAAATTTTCGCAAAACTGTTTTTTTTAAATCCCCTTTCAGCTTTCAGCTTATCAATCGTATTTACTTATTAACCTTGCTTTAGTCTTCTCCCCATGTCTAATCACGGAAACACTCAGAGTCAATGAAGGACCCCCATCCTTTTGAGTCAGCCAGCACTGGAAGTTCTGTTGCCCACTCAACATCTGAGACCCATTCAAAGAACAACGCCAGTCTATGGGGACATCTGCCGATCTCCTGTTCATCGTCAAATTGATCTCGCTGACCGTTCTGGATTTACCGTTAGACAATTAACCATTGCCAACATACCAGTTTGTTCCGAAGGATGTGAAGCTGAATTAAAAGTCTTAGCAGACTTGACAGCTTACATTAGAAACTCAAACTTCAAAGCTAGTCCTCCCCCATCTCAAAAGTGACAACACTAACACCAGCTTGGTCAAGAGAATTAACAAGATCAGACGAAGGAGATTCTTGACTAAGTGGCACTACTTCCAATTCAACAGAAGGTGGTGGAATGGGAGACGAAGCAATGATAGACGGTTGAAACCCAATATCACCCCCTCGTTGCGAGATCCCAGAATCACCTGAAATATCAGATTCATTAATAGATGGACCAGCTTCAGATAAGTCTAATTGTGAAGGAATATATTCCGAAGGAGAAACAATAGGACTTGAGTCAGGAGAGATAGAGACATCATGATCTGAAGGTGGAAGAATAGGAGAACTAGGAAGAGATGGAACAGAAGGAATAGAAGGAAGAGTAGGAGACTCAAGAGGAGCAGAAGGTGTAGACAAAATGCGACGAACAGAACGAGGCTTATGAACAATAATAGAAGAAGAAGAAGAAGAAGGAGGCGCCGACGGAGAATGAGAAGGAGAAGAAGACGGAGACGGAGACGGTAAAGCACAAATAGAACCAGAACCAGAACCAGAACCAGAACCAGATGAGGATGCTGGTAAAGATCTATGAGACCCAAAACTAGAACCAGAACTTGAATCAGAACCAGCAATGAATTAACCCTAACATTAGATCCTAAACCAGACCCCTTAGAATCAAAACAAGGCCTGACATGGACCCTGAACCAGAACCAACACTAAACCCAACACCAGTACCATTAATAGACAAGTCCTTATCACTTTTCATAAATGGAAACTTGGACTCATCAAAGTAAACACTCCTGGCTTCAACAATGCTTGAATCAAGAAGAACTCGATAAGCTGTAATGATCCAAAGAATACCCAACAAAACACCAGTTTCAGTATTTGAACTTAACTTGGATTCTCTTTAGCACCAGGAAGAACAACTGTAGCTTGACAACCAAATACTTTCATATGATGATAACTAGGAGGTTTACCAGTCCAAAGTTGAAGAGGTGCAACACCACCAGGGGTAGACTAGGAAGACGGTTCCTAATATAATTAGCAGACTTGACAGCTTCACCCCATAAGTATTAGGAGCAGAGATAAAAAGATAGACTTGGCTTTCAAATAAGGGCGATTCAATCGCTCAGCAACACCATTTTGCTGAGGAGAAGAGGAACGGGAATAAGTATGCTTGATACCCTTAGTCACAAAGAACTGTCCAGGTGTTGGAATATATGTCATGGTACTATCGTGATTTCCCAACATTATCCCATAATATTTTTTTTCCAATTACACTCTTTACATTGTTACATTATTCACTAGCAACTACAGCCCATTACCATTGGAGTTTAAAAATTGTTACAATCAAGACTCCTTGTAAAGAAAATTTTTCAAGATGCTCTTAAATTTTCTTCATTACAGAAACCTTCTTTTTTTTCTCTTCTTTTCTCGCTACTTCCAATTTACGCAAACTGTTTTATTAAATACTTTTTCAGCTTTCAGCTTATCAATCGTATTTACTTATTAACTCTTGTTTTTAGTCTTCCGCTATGTCAATCACGGAAACACTACAGGAGTCAATGAAGGACCCTCATCCTTCGAGTCAGCCAGCACTGGAAGTTCTGTTGCCCACTCAACATCTGAGACCCATTCAAAGAACAACGCCAGCTCTTATGAGACATTCGCCGATCTCCTGTTCATCGTCAAATTGATCTCGCTGACCGTTCTGATTTACCGTTAGACAATTAACCATTGCCAACATACCAGTTTGTTCCGAAGGATGTGAAGCTGAATTAAAAGTCTTGGCAGACTTGACAGCTTACATTAGAAACTCAAACTTCAAAGCTAGTCCTCCCCCATCTCAAAGGTTATGAGCTCCTTTGACGCTCCTCAAGCGCCAAATTTCAAACAATTCTCTACAAAAGTGAATTGGATTTTTGGATATACGGTCTTATTGGGCAAATTAACAGCTGCGGCCGGAGTTTTGGAACAACTATATCTATAAGCCAATTGTTGGCCATACTGCCCTTCAGCTTGGTTACGGTATCAGGTTTGAGAGGGCCCCTTGATGAACTACTCAAGGTTTACATTTTAAAACCACGCCTGCAGCTAACCTGGCTGCAGCTGAACAGGCCCGGTGGGACACGTCGCCCGAGTTTCTAAAAACTCCACCTATGGATTCGGCGTCTGTGCGGGAAGAAGCCATGGGGTCCTATTTGAACCAGGAAAAAGAATGGCCCGTATAGATCCTGAAATCCTAGAGCCCGCCGACCTGGGGCGAGTGCTCTCATTTTACCAACGTCTTAATCATATTGGTTTGCGCATATCCCCAAGCCCTGAGCTTAACATTGTATTTGCGATGACGCAAGCTATCTCAGTAGGAGTTCCAGGTCCTAGTTATTTCTCCGGGCTCACCAGCAGTGAAATTGAAACCAAAATACAAGCTACTGTTACTGAAGCTTCCAAGTGGGCCTCTGTAGTGGAGCAATATTTCTTTAACAACCCGGATGGCACCTTTCACCGTGACCTTATCTTAGCAGTACTGAATAACAACAAGGTTTCAGCAGCTGCTCGCGAAGATCCTCAGAGTCATCTCTGGGGGATTACCAAGTTTGTCGACATTTTCAAGTCAAGATCTGGAGGATGGAGCCCCTGTGATTCAGTTGAAATCCCAGCGCTAGTTGAAGCAACTTCAGCAGCCTTCGTAAAAGGTCGAAGAATTATTGACGGTTCAACAAAAGTGGTGCCAAAGCAGGAACCCAAGCAAGAACCCAAGCAGGAATCCAAGCAGGAAACCTCGAAGAAAGCTGGCCACTCTGATACCAAGCAAGGAAAAGGGAAGCAGTGGTCCAAGGGGTCCGGTGGCAACAAGAGGCGCAACAATGAAGACAAGCAAGCTAGAAAGTCGAACTCTGATGGTCAAAACAGAGTTGCTGCCTTGAAAGCTACCGAATATCTTGAGGTGGCTCGCGACGATGTTGAAACTCTTTGCTCTGTTGCTCGGGCTATCCAAGACGTATTTGATAATGACGGCGGAAGCAGTGATTATTCTGTTGAGCATGCAATGTTGTCGCAGACTAGTGCAGTTGATAATGCACGTGAGTTTGGGTGGGAAACTATGGTTGACAATCTATGTTTATTTTAGTTTTAGCCGCATTAGGTTTAAGCCCTTATATGACTGTGGTTACCCTCCTTAATTTGTTACAAAGTTGAAGTGTAATACAAACCCATTCAACTTTGGGACAAACCCAAATGAAAAATTTTCACCACTGCAAATTTTTCTTTCCCTTGGGTATATAAGGAAAGTTTCTTCCCCAACTTTTATAATTTTTCTTTTCCTTTTTCTTTCTTCTTATACAACTGTTTTATCTTATATATTTCAATATATACTTTTCTTGGATAATATTTTCTATTATTATCATGACTTCCCGTGTCACAGTTCAACAGGTTATGGGCCGCACTTCGGCTTATATTAATCTTACTTCCTCTGAAAAACTCACTCCTCTCAACTATCATGTCTGGGCTACCAAAATTCTTTTGGGTCTTCGTGCTATGAATAATGGTGTCCACCTTTATGTCGAAGCTGGTACTGTCAATCCAGCTGCCAATGAATCCCTTGAAGACCTCACCGCCTCGCTTGATACCGTCGTCCATGATGTCATCCTCAACAATATTTCTCCTGAGTTGATCGAACATGTTAATGATGTGGCCATTAGAGGCCGTGACCTCTGGCTTTACCTTCATCAGGAGTATAGTCAACTCCAACCCGCCGATGTCATCTCACTTATGAAATCCCTCTATGCTGGCAATATTGATGTTGGTCCAAAGTTTGTTTCTTCTGTTCGCTCTTATGTTGCTACCTGGCGTTCCATCTACCCATCATTGTCGCCTGATTCGGTCGTGGCCTTCAACGCTTTGGCTTCAATGGGTCCCAATTGTGAGCGCTTCATCCAGTATGCCTTGGAGCACCGCTTTGATAGTAACAACAATACTGACAACCTTGATATTAACAACTTCATCCGAACACTGATAAATGGGCCAAGTTGTTGAAGATTACTGGACCCCTGCTACTCTTTCGACTGAAGCGTTCGTTGCTTCATCAAAGAAGTACAATAACAAATCTAAGGGTGATGGTATTAAATGTTTCCGTTGTAAGAGGCGTGGTCATACTTCCAACAATTGTCATGTCTCTTGGGAAGAGGTTCAGGCTGCTCGCCAAGATAATAAGGATGACAAGGAATCTAAGGAGGCTAAAACCTCAAGAGGTTGGTTTGCTGAGACTATTGATGAATTTTCTGAGATAGTTGATGATGATCCATTTGTGAGTTCCGCTTTTGTGTCCGAGACATCTGTTGTTTCTGAAAGGTTTGTTAACAGTTGCTCCGAGTCGTTTGATGATTTGGAACCGAACTTTTGATTCTTCTGAGCCGTGTATCGGCGATGAAGATTGTTTTGTTGGTCAAGTTTCTGAGTATTGTTCAAACTCAGGACTTGATATTGATTCAGTTGGTAAACCGTTTGTTGGTTCCACTGATGATTCTTGTTTTATTTCTGAACCGTATGTCGGTTCTACTGTTGTTTGTTTGGAGTCTGAACCGTGTGTCAGTTCAGCTCCTATTTGTTTTGATTCTGAATCGTTGGTCGATTCGGATATTGTTCCTTTTGATTCTGAACCGTTGGTCGGTTCTTCTTTTATTTCTTGTTCTGATTCTAAACCGTTGGTCGGTTCTGATGATGATATTGTCTTACCTTCTTTTGATTTTTTGGTGGATTCAATTACTGAACCTTCTCCGCCTATTGTTAAACCTATTGTTACACCAAAATCCCGTTTTTCTCCATTCTTTTACTTATCTTTGTTACCATCATGTTGTTTTCCTTGATTTTAATTGTCGTCTGGCATCCTTCTTCAATCTTGGATTTAAGTCATTCAGTCCATCACGTTTTGTTGCTGAATCTACTACTTCTGCTGAGGCCAACTTAGTTGTTGGGTCTGATTCTTTGACTTTATCCATGATACTGGTGCTACCAGTCACATTTGCAATAACATCTCATATTTTTTTCTCTTCGTCCCACTTCGGCTACCATTCGTGGTCTTGGTTCTGCTACTGCTGAGGGGGTTGGCGACATTGTCGTTGATCTTCTTGGTAAAGATGACCAGCCTTGTGACCGCGTTGTTCTTCGAGATGTTTTATATGTTCCTAAGATTCCTCGCAATTTATTTGCTGCTCGTCGAGCTACTGCTGGTGGTTGTAGGTTCATTCAAGACCTTAACCATATTTCTGCTGTTGAAAATGGCAAAACTCGAGTCCACGCCATTGCCATGGGTGATTTGTACTTTTGTCGTTTCCGAGTTGTTTTGCCTTCCAAGCCAGTCCATGAGGTGTTTGCTGTTGAGTCGTCTGCCAATCTTTGGCACAAGCGACTTGGTCACGCCAGTGTGGACGTTCTCAAGAAATTATCTAAGTCACTTTCTGTCAAGCCTACTCATTTTGAGGTTGTGGATAGTCATAAGTGTGACGCTTGCTTGGGTGGCAAAGCCACAGCATTGCCATTTAATGGTACCACAGAAAAAGCTAGTCGTCCTTTGGAATTATTTGTTTCTGATTTGAGCGGTCCTCATTGTTGAGCATGCAATGTTGTCGCAGACTAGTGCAGTTGATAATGCACGTGAGTTTGGGTGGGAAACTATGGTTGACAATCTATGTTTATTTTAGTTTTTGCCGCATTAGGTTTAAGCCCTTATGTGACTGTGGTTACCCTCCTTAATTTGTTACAAAGTTGAAGTGTAATACAAACCCACTCAACTTTGGGACAAACCCAAATGAAAAATTTTCACCACTGCAAATTTTTCTTTCCCTCAGATATTTAAGGAAGGTTTCTTCCCCAACTTTTATAATTTTTCTTTTCCTTTTTCTTTCTTCTTATATAACTGTTTTATCTTATATATTTCAATATATACTTTTCTTGGATAATATTTTCTATTATTATCATGACTTCCCGTGTCACAGTTCAACAGGTTATGGGCCGCACTTCGGCTTATATTAATCTTACTTCCTCCGAAAAACTCACTCCTCTCAACTATCATGTCTGGGCTACCAAAATTCTTTTGGGTCTTCGTGCTATGAATAATGGTGTCCACCTTTATGTCGAAGCTGGTACTGTCAATCCAGCTGCCAATGAATCCCTCGAAGACCTCACCGCCTCGCTTGATACCGTCGTCCATGATGTCATCCTCAACAATATTTCTCCTGAGTTGATCGAACATGTTAATGATGTGGCCATTAGAGGCCGTGACCTCTGGCTTTATCTTCATCAGGAGTATAGTCAACTTCAACCCGCCGATGTCATCTCACTTATGAAATCCCTCTATGCTGGCAATATTGATGTTGGTCCCAAGTTTGTTTCTTCTGTTCGTTCTTATGTTGCTACCTGGCGTTCCATCTACCAATCATTGTCGCCTGATTCGGTCGTGGCCTTCAACGCTTTGGCTTCAATGGGTCCCAATTGTGAGCGCTTCATCCAGTACGCCTTGGAGCACCGCTTTGATAGTAACAACAATACTGACAACCTTGATATCAACAACTTCATCCGGAACACTGATAAATGGGCCAAGTTGTTGAAGATTACTGGACCTCCTGCTACTCTTTCGACTGAAGCGTTCGTTGCTTCATCAAAGAAGTACAATAACAAATCTAAGGGTGATGGTATCAAATGTTTCCGTTGTAAGAGACGTGGTCATACTTCCAACAATTGTCATGTCTCTTGGGAAGAGGTTCAGGCTGCTCGCCAAGATAATAAGGATGACAAGGAATCTAAGGAGGCTAAAACCTCAAGAGGTTGGTTTGCTGAGACTATTGATGAATTTTCTGAGATAGTTGATGATGATCCATTTGTGAGTTCCGCTTTTGTGTCCGAGACATCTGTTGTTTCTGAAAAGTTTGGTAACAGTTGCTCCGAGTCGTTTGATGATTTGGAATCCGAACTTTTTTGATTCTTCTGAGCCGTGTGTCGGCGATGAAGATTGTTTTGTTGGTCAAGTTTCTGAGTATTGTTCAAACTCAGGACTTGATATTGATTCAGTTGGTAAACCGTTTGTTGGTTCCACTGATGATTCTTGTTTTAATTCTGAACCGTATGTCGGTTCTACTGTTGTTTGTTTGGAGTCTGAACCGTGTGTCAGTTCAGCTCCTATTTGTTTTGATTCTGAATCGTTGGTCGATTCGGATATTGTTCCTTTTGATTCTGAACCGTTGGTCGGTTCTTCTTTTATTTCTTGTTCTGATTCTAAACCGTTGGTCGGTTCTGATGATGATATTGTCTTACCTTCTTTTGATTTTTTGGTGGATTCAATTACTGAACCTTCTCCGCCTATTGTTAAACCTATTGTTACACCAAAATCCCGTTTTTCTCCATTCTTTTACTTATCTTTTGTTACCATCATGTTGTTTTCCTTGATTTTAATTGTCGTCTGGCATCCTTCTTCAATCTTGGATTTAAGTCATTCAGTCCATCACGTTTTTGTTGCTGAATCTACTACTTCTGCTGAGGCCAACTTAGTTGTTGGGTCTGATTCTTTTGACTTTATCCATGATACTGGTGCTACTAGTCATATTTGCAATAACATCTCATATTTTTCTTCTCTTCGTCCCACTTCGGCTACCATTCGTGGTCTTGGTTCTGCTACTGCTGAGGGGGTTGGTGACATTGTCGTTGATCTTCTTGGTAAAGATGACCAGCCTTGTGACCGCGTTGTTCTTCGAGATGTTCTATATGTTCCTAAGATTCCTCGCAATTTATTTGCTGCTCGTCGAGCTACTGCTGGTGGTTGTCGGTTCATTCAAGACCTTAACCATATTTCTGCTGTTGAAAATGGCAAAACTCGAGTCCACGCCATTGCCATGGGTGACTTGTACTTTTGTCGTTTCCGAGTTGTTTTGCCTTCCAAGCCAGTCCATGAGGTGTTTGCTGTTGAGTCGTCTGCCAATCTTTGGCACAAGCGACTTGGTCACGCCAGTGTGGACGTTCTCAAGAAATTATCTAAGTCACTTTCTGTCAAGCCTACTCATTTTGAGATTGTGGATAGTCATAAGTGTGACGCTTGCTTGGGTGGCAAAGCCACAGCATTGCCATTTAATGGTACCACAGAAAAAGCTAGTCGTCCTTTGGAGTTATTTGTTTCTGATTTAAGCGGTCCTCATGTCGCTACCCCTGTGGGTCATCGTTATGTCTTAACCATTATGGATTATTATTCCAGGTACTCTTATGTGGAGTTGTTGGTTAGGAAAAGTGATGCAAGTCTTGCCATTCGTAACTTTATTGCTAGGTGTGAATCTTATTTTTCTGGTGATTCTGCTGGTGATCGAGTTGCATATTTTCATTCTGATAATGGCGGCGAATACATTTCCAAAGACCTGGAGCAGTTCTTTGTGTCTAAGGGTATCAAGCATACTTATACAGTTCCTCATACTCCTCAACAAAATGGTGTTGCTGAGCGATTGAATCGCACATTATTTGAGAAAGCCAAGTCTATGCTTTTATATGCTCATGCTCCTGAATACTTATGGGGTGAAGCTGTCAAGTCTGCTAATTATATTAGGAACCGTCTTCCTAGTCGTACCACTGGTGGTGTTGCACCTCTTCAACTTTGGACTGGTAAACCTCCTAGTTATCACCATATGAAAGTATTTGGTTGTCAAGCTACAGTTGTTCTTCCTGGTGCTAAAAGAGAATCTAAGTTAAGTTCAAATACTGAAGCTGGTGTTTTTGTTGGGTATTCTTTGGATCGTACAGCTTATCGAGTTCTTCTTGATTCAAGCATTGTTGAAGCCAGGAGTGTTTACTTTGATGAGTCCAAGTTTCCATTTATGAAAAGTGATAAGGACTTGTCTATTAATGCTACTGGTGTTGGGTTTAGTGTTGGTTCTGGTTCAGGGTCCATGTCAGGACCTTGTTTTGATTCTAAGGGGACTGGTTTAGGATCTAATGTTAGGGTTAATTCTATTGCTAGTTCTGATTTAAGTTCTGGTTCTAGTTTTGGGTCTCATAGATCTTTACCAGCATCCTCATCTGGTTCTGGTTCTGGTTCTATTTGTGCTTTACCGTCTCCGTCTCCGTCTTCTTCTCCGTCTCATTCTCCGTCGCCGCCTCCTTCTTCTTCTTCTTCTTCTATTATTGTTCATAAGCCTCGTTCTGTTCGTCGCATTTTGTCTACACCTTCTGCTCCTCTTGAGTCTCCTACTCTTCCTTCTATTGCTTCAGTTCCATCTCTTCCTAGTTCTCCTATTCTTCCACCTTCAGATCATGATGTCTCTATCTCTCCTGACTCAAGTCCAATTGTTTCTTCTTCGGAATATATTCCTTCACAATTAGACTTATCTGAAGCTGGTCCATCTATTAATGAATCTGATATTTCAGGTGATTCTGGGATCTCGCAACGAGGGGGTGATATTGGGTTTCAACCGTCTATCATTGCTTCGTCTCCCACTCCACCACCTTTTGTTGAGTTGGAAGTAGTGCCACTTAGTCAAGAATCTCCTTCGTCTGATCTTGTTAATTCTCTTGACCAAGCTGGTGTTAGTGTTGTCACTAAGGATGATACTCAAGCTGTTTTGCCTAAATCTCGATCTCGTGTTGTTGCTGTTCGTTTACCTTCTATAACTCCTGCCAAACGTCCGAGTTCTGATGACATTGTTTCACCTCCTTCTAAACATCTTTGTGAAAATTCTTTGAAACAATCTCCAGTGTCTGCAACACCTGCAAAACGTCCAGCTGAAGAAGAGTGTATTTCTTATCGTCGTCTCAAATCTCTTCGTTTTGAGTATGATGATGTGGCTTTACTTGTTTTTACAGATCCTAGTAGTTTTGAAGAAGCTATGTCTAGTGAAGAAGCTGAGTTTTGGCTTGAAGCCTGTGTTATTGAAATGTCGTCTCTTAAACGCAATGGTACTTGGGAATTGGTTGATCTCCCACCTGGTCGCAAGGCTATCAATAGCAAATGGGTATTTAAAGTTAAGCGCAAAGCTGACGGTTCAATTGAACGTTACAAAGCTCGTCTCGTGTGTATTGGATTTTCGCAAGTTGAAGGTATTGATTATACTGAAACTTTTGCTCCCGTTGTTCGTTACGAGACTGTGAGGATTGTTCTTGCTATTGCTGCTCAGTTTGGGTTCCAGGTTCATCATATGGATGTCGAGACTGCATTTCTTAATGGTGATCTCAAAGAAGATATTTATATGAGACAACCTAAAGGCTTTGTTGTCAAAGGTCAGGAATCTAAAGTGTGTCATTTGAAGAAGTCTTTATATGGTTTAAAGCAAGCTCCTTTGTGTTGGAATGAGAAGATTCATGGTGCTCTTGTCAAACTTGGGTTTATTCGTAATGAAAGTGACTACGGTGTGTATACCAAAGGATCTGGGTCTACCATGGTTATTATCGCACTGTATGTTGATGATTTACTTATTTCTGGCAATTCTTCTGAAGTCATTGCCAAAACCAAGTCTTCTTTGTCATCTATGTTTAAGATGAAAGACTTGGGCCCAGTCGAGCAGTTCCTTGGCATGAGAGTTAAGCAGTCACCTTACCATATTACTGTGGATGTTTCGCGTTATATTTTTGATATGTTGGAGGAGTTTGGTATGCAGAATTGTTCAAGTGTCAAGACTCCTTTACCCACTCGTGATCTTTCTGATTTTTCCGAGTCTGACTCTGCTACCGATGCCTCCATGTATCGCAGTATTATTGGTAAGCTGATTTATGCTGCTAATTGTGCTCGTCCTGATCTTGCTGTTGCTGTTAGCTTTCTTTGTCGATATATGCAGAGTCCTAAGTCTATTCATATGGAAGCTGCTAAGCATACTCTTCGTTATCTTAAGGGTACTGCTGAACTTGGTCTTGAATATCGAGCTCAGAAAGTCTACAAGCTTGTTGGCTATAGTGATGCCGACTATGCACAGGACAAGCAGGACCGTAAGTCCTTTACTGGGTATGTTTTCATTCTGTCTGGTGGTCCCATTACTTGGGCTTGTCGAAAGCAAGTTAGTCCTGCATCGTCCAGCGTCGAGTCTGAGTACATGTCATTGTCTGATGCGTCTAAGGAATGCTTCTGGATTAATCAGTTGTTGTCCCTTTGCAAGATTCCTGTTCCGTTGCCAGTGACTATGTTTGAGGACAATCAGGGATGTATTGCATTGGCTCAGAACCCAGTGTTTCATCGTCGCACCAAGCATATTGATGTTCGATATCATGTTGTGCGTCACTATATTCGCAGTGGAGTGATTCATCTGGAGTATCTTGATACTCAAGTGATGTTGGCAGATATGTTCACTAAGAATCTTGGTCGTGTGAAGTTTGAGACATTAAGGGGACTACTTGGTATGAAGGCAGTAGGTGATTCTGCGACAAGGGGAGGTGTTGAGCATGCAATGTTGTCGCAGACTAGTGCAGTTGATAATGCACGTGAGTTTGGGTGGGAAACTATGGTTGACAATCTATGTTTATTTTAGTTTTTGCCGCATTAGGTTTAAGCCCTTATGTGACTGTGGTTACCCTCCTTAATTTGTTACAAAGTTGAAGTGTAATACAAACCCACTCAACTTTGGGACAAACCCAAATGAAAAATTTTCACCACTGCAAATTTTTCTTTCCCTCAGATATTTAAGGAAGGTTTCTTCCCCAACTTTTATAATTTTTCTTTTCCTTTTTCTTTCTTCTTATATAACTGTTTTATCTTATATATTTCAATATATACTTTTCTTGGATAATATTTTCTATTATTATCATGACTTCCCGTGTCACAGTTCAACACTCATGTCGCTACCCCTGTGGGTCATCGTTATGTCTTAACCATTATGGATTATTATTCCAGGTACTCTTATGTGGAGTTGTTGGTTAGGAAAAGTGATGCAAGTCTTGCCATTCGTAATTTTATTGCTAGGTGTGAATCTTATTTTTCTGGTGATTCTGCTGGTGATCGAGTTGCATATTTTCATTCTGATAATGGCGGCGAATACATTTCCAAAGACCTGGAGCAGTTCTTTGTGTCTAAGGGTATCAAGCATACTTATACAGTTCCTCATACTCCTCAGCAAAATGGTGTTGCTGAGCGATTGAATCGCACATTATTTGAAAAAGCCAAGTCTATGCTTTTATATGCTCATGCTCCTGAGTATTTATGGGGTGAAGCTGTCAAGTCTGCTAATTATATTAGGAACCGTCTTCCTAGTCGTACCACTGGTGGTGTTGCACCTCTTCAACTTTGGACTGGTAAACCTCCTAGTTATCACCATATGAAAGTATTTGGTTGTCAAGCTACAGTTGTTCTTCCTGGTGCTAAAAGAGAATCTAAGTTAAGTTCAAATACTGAAGCTGGTGTTTTTGTTGGGTATTCTTTGGATCGTACAGCTTATCGAGTTCTTCTTGATTCAAGCATTGTTGAAGCCAGGAGTGTTTACTTTGATGAGTCCAAGTTTCCATTTATGAAAAGTGATAAGGACTTGTCTATTAATGGTACTGGTGTTGGGTTTAGTGTTGGTTCTGGTTCAGGGTCCATGTCAGGGCCTTGTTTTGATTCTAAGGGGTCTGGTTTAGGATCTAATGTTAGGGTTAATTCTATTGCTAGTTCTGATTCAAGTTCTGGTTCTAGTTTTGGGTCTCATAGATCTTTACCAGCATCCTCATCTGGTTCTGGTTCTATTTGTGCTTTACCGTCTCCGTCTCTGTCTTCTTCTCCGTCTCATTCTCCGTCGGCGCCTCCTTCTTCTTCTTCTTCTTCTATTATTGTTCATAAGCCTCGTTCTGTTCGTCGCATTTTGTCTACACCTTCTGCTCCTCTTGAGTCTCCTACTCTTCCTACTCTTCCTTCTATTCCTTCTGTTCCATCTCTTCCTAGTTCTCCTATTCTTCCACCTTCAGATCATGAAGTCTCTATCTCTCCTGACTCAAGTCCTATTGTTTCTTCTTCGGAATATATTCCTTCACAATTAGACTTATCTGAAGCTGGTCCATCTATTAATGAATCTAATATTTCAGGTGATTCTGGGATCTCGCAACGAGGGGGTGATATTGGGTTTCAACCGTCTATCATTGCTTCGTCTCCCACTCCACCACCTTCTGTTGAATTGGAAGTAGTGCCACTTAGTCAAGAATCTCCTTCGTCTGATCTTGTTAATTCTCTTGACCAAGCTGGTGTTAGTGTTGTCACTAAGGATGATACTCAAGCTGTTTTGCCTAAATCTCGATCTCGTGTTGTTGCTGTTCGTTTACCTTCTATAACTCCTGCCAAACGCCCGAGTTCTGATGACATTGTTTCACCTCCTTCTAAACACCTTTGTGAAAATTCTTTGAAACAATCTCCAGTGTCTGCAACACCTGCAAAACGTCCAGCTGAAGAAGAGTGTATTTCTTATCGTCGTCTCAAATCTCTCCGCTTTGAGTATGATGATGTGGCTTTTACTTGTTTTTACAGATCCTAGTAGTTTTGAAGAAGCTATGTCTAGTGAAGAAGCTGAGTTTTGGCTTGAAGCCTGTGTTATTGAAATGTCGTCTCTTAAACGCAATGGTACTTGGGAATTGGTTGATCTCCCACCTGGTCGCAAGGCTATCAATAGCAAATGGGTGTTTAAAGTTAAGCGCAAAGCTGACGGTTCAATTGAACGTTACAAAGCCCGTCTCGTGTGTATTGGATTTTCGCAAGTTGAAGGTATTGATTATACTGAAACTTTTGCTCCCGTTGTTCGTTACGAGACTGTGAGGATTGTTCTTGCTATTGCTGCTCAGTTTGGGTTCCAGGTTCATCATATGGATGTCGAGACTGCATTTCTTAATGGTGATCTCAAAGAAGATATTTATATGAGACAACCTAAAGGCTTTGTTGTCAAAGGCCAGGAATCTAAAGTGTGTCATTTGAAGAAGTCTTTATATGGTTTAAAGCAAGCTCCTTTGTGTTGGAATGAGAAGATTCATGGTGCTCTTGTCAAACTTGGGTTTATTCGTAATGAAAGTGACTACGGTGTGTATACCAAAGGATCTGGGTCTACCATGGTTATTATTGCACTGTATGTTGATGATTTACTTATTTCTGGCAATTCTTCTGAGGTCATTGCCAAAACCAAGTCTTCTTTGTCATCTATGTTTAAGATGAAAGACTTGGGCCCAGTCGAGCAGTTCCTTGGCATGAGAGTTAAGCAGTCACCGTACCATATTACTGTGGATGTTTCACGTTATATTTTTGATATGTTGGAAGAGTTTGGTATGCAGAACTGTTCAAGTGTCAAGACTCCTTTACCCACTCGTGATCTTTCTGATTTTTCCGAGTCTGACTCTGCTACCGATGCCTCCATGTATCGCAGTATTATTGGTAAGCTGATTTATGCTGCTAATTGTGCTCGTCCTGATCTTGCTGTTGCTGTTAGCTTTCTTTGTCGATATATGCAGAGTCCGAAGTCTATTCATATGGAAGCTGCTAAGCATACTTTCGTTATCTTAAGGGTACTGCTGAACTTGGTCTTGAATATCGAGCTCAGAAAGTCTACAAGCTTGTTGGCTATAGTGATGCCGATTATGCACAGGACAAGCAGGACCGTAAGTCCTTTACTGGGTATGTTTTTATTCTGTCTGGTGGTCCCATTACTTGGGCTTGTCGAAAGCAAGTTAGTCCTGCATCGTCCAGCGTCGAGTCTGAGTATATGTCATTGTCTGATGCGTCTAAGGAATGCTTCTGGATTAATCAGTTGTTGTCCCTTTGCAAGATTCCTGTTCCGTTGCCAGTGACTATGTTTGAGGACAATCAGGGATGTATTGCTTTGGCTCAGAACCCAGTGTTTCATCGTCGCACCAAGCATATTGATGTTCGTTATCATGTTGTCCGTCACTATATTCGCAGTGGAGTGATTCATCTGGAGTATCTTGATACTCAAGTGATGTTGGCAGATATGTTCACTAAGAATCTTGGTCGTGTGAAGTTTGAGACATTGAGGGGACTACTTGGTATGAAGGCAGTAGGTGATTCTGCGACAAGGGGAGGTGTTGAGCATGCAATGTTGTCGCAGACTAGTGCAGTTGATAATGCACGTGAGTTTGGGTGGGAAACTATGGTTGACAATCTATGTTTATTTTAGTTTTAGCCGCATTAGGTTTAAGCCCTTATATGACTGTGGTTACCCTCCTTAATTTGTTACAAAGTTGAAGTGTAATACAAACCCACTCAACTTTGGGACAAACCCAAATGAAAAATTTTCACCACTGCAAATTTTTCTTTCCCTTGGGTATATAAGGAAAGTTTCTTCCCCAACTTTTATAATTTTTCTTTTCCTTTTTCTTTCTTCTTATACAACTGTTTTATCTTATATATTTCAATATATACTTTTCTTGGATAATATTTTCTATTATTATCATGACTTCCCGTGTCACAGTTCAACATATTCGCCAGTTGCTTTTCTTCCACCTGCCAACCAAATCGCCTCTGTGGGTGAAACAAATCTTCCAAATGTTCTTGATTCTGGAAATGCTACTGGTCATCTTATCTCAGACAACAGCTACTTTGTGTCGTATGAGAAATACAGCAGCCCCAAAACCATCAGCTCTTATGGTGGTTCCGACATCGTGTTAGAAGGGGAAGGTAAAATTGCTGTTGTATTAAAAGGTGACGGTGGCACCAATATTTGCCATATTGCTGACGCACTTTATTTTCCTGCTGGGTCTAGCAATTTGTTTTCTGATTCTGTCTGGCGCACGCACGATGTTTCTTTTCATACGGTCCCAAGTGGGGATTGTCTGGCCTATTTTGGTGAGGAAAAGGTTGGTAGGGTTGGCGGTGCCAGAGATGCCAAGTCTCACATTTGTGCCAACATTGTTCCGGTAAAGTTTACTAGGAATATCGTACCTCCAACTGGATCTTTCAAGTTCTCAGGAAATTCAATTGACTGGGATCAGATTTGCAGACAAGGACCAGAAGCTATGAGGAAGGTTGATAAATCAGCCTTCGCGGTTGGAAAGGGACTACCTGTCCTTTCACAGTCTCTCAAATTTATTGCAAAGGAGGCCGTGTTGAATTCGCAGGCACTTGACTGTCATGTTCGTTTTGCTCATTGCTCTTTGACTTCGGTGAAACATTTAGCCAAGCTTGCTGATCCTCCCTTTGAGGTGACCAAGCGTGACGAAGAATTGATCAAGGACTGTGTCATATGTGGCACGTCAAGAAGCATTAAGAGGTTCACTTCTCCGGATAAGCATATAGCTTCTGAATCCACGGCTCCGTTAGCCCAGATTCATGCTGATCTCGTCGGTCCCATAGGTCCTGCCTCTTCAGGGGCCAGGTACATGCTGAATATCATTGATGCATTTTCTGGTTACATCTATGCTTTTGCTCTGGAATCTAAGGATGAAGCTCCTGGGAAACTTATCCAGTTCTTTAAGCAGTTTGTGCCCAAAGCTGCTCGCCGTGCTGTTGACGGCAAGGCCACCAAGCTTATTACTGACAATGGTGGTGAATTTATCTCTGGGACACTTGGAAAATTTTTAGCAGACTGGGGCGTCATTCATATTTTAACTGCTCCTGATGAACACCAACAAAATGGGAAAATTGAGCGTGCCCACCGCACACTGCGTGAGATATCTACTAGAGCCTTGATGCAGTCGACACTCTGGGCCAATATCTACTGGGACTCTGCCTGGCTCTACGCTGTGCAGGTATATAATTTCTCCATAGTTAATAAAGCCGGTATCTCACCTTATGAAGCCTTTACGGGCAGAAAACCACCTATAGCACTAGTGCACACATTTGGCTGCCTAGTTTTTGTCATTAAATCTGAGTCTCAGAAACTCAAAGGGACCCTTCAGCCTCGGGGCGAGCCTGCTCTGTATTTGGGTCCCGACCCGTTAAATCCTAAGAATTTTCTATGCATTACGAGGAACAAGCGCATTCGGCGCTGTGTACACGGCAACTTTCGTGACCATGTCTTGCCTGGCGTTAAGTTTTTTGGCGAAAAGCCAATTTACGAGGGTGACATTCTCATTGACTACAGTGAGATTGGAAATCGTGACCCTGACTACAGTGACTCTTCCACTGATGAATCAGAAAGTGAAGATTGTTGGAATATATGTCATGGTACTATCGTGTATTTCAACATTATCCCATAATATTTTTTTTTCCCAATTACACTCTTTACATTGTTACATTATTCACTAGCAACTACTAGCCCATTACCATTGGAGTTACAATAAATTGTTACAATCAAGACTCCCTATTGCTAAAGAAAATTTTTCAAGATGCTCTTTTAAATTTTCTTCATTACAGAAACCTTTCTTGTTTTCTTTCTCTTCTTTTTCTCGCTACTCTAAATTTACGCAAAACTGTTTTTATTAAATACTCTTTCAGCTTTCAGCTTATCAATCGTATTTACTTATTAACTCTTGCTTTTAGGTATGATAGCGAACTTTTATTATTTTATTATTTTATTATTTTATTATTTTTATCATTTTATATAATTCTTATATACACTCTAAATTTACGCAAAACTGTTTTTATTAAATACTCTTTCAGCTTTCAGCTTATCAATCGTATTTACTTATTAACTCTTGCTTTTAGTCTTTCCGCTATGTCTAATCACGGAAACACTACAGGAGTCAATGAAGGACCCTCATCCTTCGAGTCAGCCAGCACTGGAAGTTCTGTTGCCCACTCAACATCTGAGACCCATTCAAAGAACAACGCCAGCTCTTATGAGACATTCGCCGATCTCCCTGTTCATCGTCAAATTGATCTCGCTGACCGTTCTGGATTTACCGTTAGACAATTAACCATTGCCAACATACCAGTTTGTTCCGAAGGATGTGAAGCTGAATTAAAAGTCTTAGCAGACTTGACAGCTTACATTAGAAACTCAAACTTCAAAGCTAGTCCTCCCCCATCTCAAAGGTTATGAGCTCCTTTGACGCTTCTCAAGCGCCAAATTTCAAACAATTTCTACAAAAGTGAATTGGATTTTTGGATATACGGTCTTATTGGGCAAATTAACAGCTGCGGCCGGAGTTTTTGGAACAACTATATCTATAAGCCAATTGTTGGCCATACTGCCCTTCAGCTTGGTTACGGTATCAGGTTTGAGAGGGCCCTTGATGAACTACTCAAGGCTTACATTTTAAAAACCACGCCTGCAGCTAACCTGGCTGCAGCTGAACAGGCCCGGTGGGACACGTCGCCCGAGTTTCTAAAAACTCCACCTATGGATTCGGCGTCTGTGCGGGAAGAAGCCATGGGGGTCCTATTTGAACCAGGAAAAAGAATGGCCCGTATAGATCCTGAAATCCTAGAGCCCGCCGACCTGGGGCGAGTGCTCTCATTTTACCAACGTCTTAATCATATTGGTTTGCGCATATCCCCAAGCCCTGAGCTTAACATTGTATTTGCGATGACGCAAGCTATCTCAGTAGGAGTTCCAGGTCCTAGTTATTTCTCCGGGCTCACCAGCAGTGAAATTGAAACCAAAATACAAGCTACTGTTACTGAAGCTTCCAAGTGGGCCTCTGTAGTGGAGCAATATTTCTTTAACAACCCGGATGGCACCTTTCACCGTGACCTTATCTTAGCAGTACTGAATAACAACAAGGTTTCAGCAGCTGCTCGCGAAGATCCTCAGAGTCATCTCTGGGGATTACCAAGTTTGTCGACATTTTCAAGTCAAGATCTGAGGATGGAGCCCCTGTGATTCAGTTGAAATCCCAGCGCTAGTTGAAGCAACTTCAGCAGCCTTCGTAAAAGGTCGAAGAATTATTGACGGTTCAACAAAAGTGGTGCCAAAGCAGGAACCCAAGCAAGAACCCAAGCAGGAATCCAAGCAGGACACCTCGAAGAAAGCTGGCCACTCTGATACCAAGCAAGGAAAAGGGAAGCAGTGGTCCAAGGGGTCCGGTGGCAACAAGAGGCGCAACAATGAAGACAAGCAAGCTAGAAAGTCGAACTCTGATGGTCAAAACAGAGTTGCTGCCTTGAAAGCTACCGAATATCTTGAGGTGGCTCGCGACGATGTTGAAACTCTTTGCTCGGTTGCTCGGGCTATCCAAGACGTATTTGATAATGACGGCGGAAGCAGTGATTATTCGCCAGTTGCTTTTCTTCCACCTGCCAACCAAATCGCCTCTGTGGGTGAAACAAATCTTCCAAATGTTCTTGATTCTGGAAATGCTACTGGTCATCTTATCTCAGACAACAGTTACTTTGTGTCGTATGAGAAATACAGCAGCCCCAAAACCATCAGCTCCTATGGTGGTTCCGACATCGTGTTAGAAGGGGAAGGTAAAATTGCTGTTGTATTAAAGGTGACGGTGGCACCAATATTTGCCATATTGCTGACGCACTTTATTTTCCTGCTGGGTCTAGCAATTTGTTTTCTGATTCTGTCTGGCGCACGCACGATGTTTTTTTTCATACGGTCCCAAGTGGGGACTGTCTGGCCTATTTTGGTGAGGAAAAGGTTGGTAGGGTTGGTGGTGCCAGAGATGCCAAGTCTCACATTTGTGCCAACATTGTTCCGGTAAAGTTTACTAGGAATATCGTACCTCCAACTGGCTCCTTCAAGTTCTCAGGAAATTCAATTGACTGGGATCAGATTTGCAGACAAGGACCAGAAGCTATGAGGAAGGTTGATAAATCAGCTCTCGCTGTTGGAAAGGGACTTCCTGTCCTTTCACCGTCTCTCAAATTTATTGCAAAGGAGGCCGTGTTGAATTCGCAGGCACTTGACTGTCATGTTCGGTTTGCTCATTGCTCTTTGACTTCGGTGAAGCATTTAGCCAAGCTTGCTGATCCTCCCTTTGAGGTGACCAAGCGTGACGAAGAGTTGATCAAGGACTGTGTCATATGTGGCACGTCAAGAAGCATTAAGCGGTTCACTTCTCCGGATAAGCATATAGCTTCTGAATCCACGGCTCCGTTAGCCCAGATTCATGCTGATCTCGTCGGTCCCATAGGTCCTGCCTCTTCAGGGGCCAGGTACATGCTGAATATCATTGATGCATTTTCTGGTTACATCTATGCTTTTGCTCTGGAATCTAAGGATGAAGCTCCTGGGAAACTTATCCAGTTCTTTAAGCAGTTTGTGCCCAAAGCTGCTCGCCGTGCTGCTGACGGCAAGGCCACCAAGCTTATTACTGACAATGGTGGTGAATTTATCTCTGGCACACTTGGAAAATTTTTGGCAGATTGGGGCGTCATTCATATTTTAACTGCTCCTGATGAACACCAACAAAATGGAAAAATTGAGCGTGCCCACCGCACACTTCGTGAGATATCTACTAGAGCCTTGATGCAGTCGACACTCTGGGCCAATATCTACTGGGACTCTGCCTGGCTCTACGCTGTGCAGGTATATAATTTCTCCATAGTTAATAAAGCCGGTATATCACCTTATGAAGCCTTTACGGGCAGAAAACCACCTATAGCACTAGTGCACACATTTGGCTGCCTAGTTTTTGTCATTAAATCTGAGTCTCAGAAACTCAAGGGGACCCTTCAGCCTCGGGGCGAGCCTGCTCTGTATTTGGGTCCCGACCCGTTAAATCCTAAGAATTTTCTATGCATTACGAGGAACAAGCGCATTCGGCGCTGTGTACACGGCAACTTTCGTGACCATGTCTTGCCTGGCGTTAAATTTTTTGGCGAAAAGCCAACTTACGAGGGTGACATTCTCATTGACTACAGTGAGGTTGGAAATCGTGACCCTGACTACAGTGACTCTTCCACTGATGAATCAGAAAGTGAAGATGAATCTGACTCTGACGACTACTCTCCCACTTCACTCTCTGGTGGTGGTGGTGGTAACTTTGGCTGGACTTATGTGGGCTCTGAGGGAAGGAGCCACAGATCCAGCAGATTGGAGGACCAGGATTCTACTTCTACATCATCGACACCTATAACTGAAAACTCTTTTCAACCGTTGGAAGATGATGATGTGGAGCTGGTTGCAGATGAATCAATTAGTGTTGCTGACGACAAAGATACACTTCAGTCTGAGGACCATATATTGCTCGAAGATTCTGCTGTTGATGATGCTGATTTGAGATCGGTGAACTCCAACGTAGCTGGTCGCCCTGGTTCCGAAGATACTAACGAAGATTTTTCTCACGAAAATTCATTTTCTGAACATATGGTAAAGCTCCAGAAAGCCTTTGCTCCAGGAACTCAGTCGCCCTCAGTGGTGGCTCATCAAACAAGTCCGGTGACTCTTCCCAAACAGCTACACATTTTGGATGAGGATGACAGTGTGGATCTTGCGCTGTCTGGAACTGCTGAACTTATCCGTGAGGCTTCAGCTGTTGAAACCGCGAGCCAATCTGGTGGTGACAATCAGGATGCGGTTGACTCAGAAACCAATGATGAAGACATGGATGGGTCTGTGGAACATATACTGGGTTTCGACGAATTGGAAGACTCATCAGATTCTGAATCTTCGTCTAGCGACGTTGTCATGGATTCCTCTACTAAGTTGGAGGAAGCTCCTGCGAGAGATGTCGGGGTGCCGCAAGGTTTAGGTGACACTCAAGGTACTGCTACAAGCACAAATAATCCTGCCAGCAATCAACTGGTTTTGGCGGCGGCGGAACTTGTACGGGCCACCACCGAGCTAGTAGAAACTACGACGTCTGCAAATCGGTCTGCCAGAATGGCTGAGGCGGGCGGTAGTAGGAAGAGGCATCTAAATTTAGCGAGATTAAAATCTGCGCTGGAACGGGCTGGTCAGCCAGAAAATCGTCGTTTACATGCCGGTAGGCGGAGCCAAGTGGCTGGCTCCTCAGGAATACGGCAGGAGCTACTGAGCTACCCCAGCGCCCTCCTCTGAGAGGCTGTTGCTGGGAGCTGGTGGTTCTGATACTGTTACTACTGCTGCATCTGGAAGTGGCAGTGAACTGAGAGACACTGCTGTGAATGATCGCCCACGCTTACCGCCTGCACCATCTACTCAGAGGCTCCTGCTAGAGTATGGGCGAGCAGGGGACGCTACAAGCTTTGGGGACAATGCAAGCGACGTGCAGCACAGCTCCGTGCAACAAAATCGACATATGCTACTTCCGGCTCCACCTTCGAGACGGTTGTTGTTGGCAGCTCCTCCTTCTTCTGAACATGATTCGCAAACTGCTGGGCAAGTAGCTGTTCGACAAGCAAGCCAACACTCCGCTCCGACAGAAGCCCAACAGCCTCTTGCTGATACTGAAAGAATTACTAGGTCTGCTGCGGGTGCTGCGGGTGCTGCGGGTGCTGCGGGTGCTGCGGGTGCTGCGAAAGTGCCTGCTCCGTCGTCCAGACACCGTCATCGAGAAGCTTCTCGGGACACAGTTGTTGTTAACAAAAGATTGGCTGATTTGATTGAGCAAAATGGCTATTATGTTCCTAACAGTGCACTTCAGCGGCTGGCGCGAAAAGAAAATTCTTCATTAATTTTAAATCGCACAAATTTAATTACCCGGCCTACTGATAACCTTCCACTAGTAAGTGGCGCGGCTTTGAAAAATAAAATTTTCTCCACCACCACACAATCTAAAAATTTTTCTTCGGCTACTAATTTATTACAGAAAGTATCCTCAGAAAATTCGACTTCAAGCTCTTCACCAAGATTGGAAAATGAAGCCACGAATGATTCTCCTACAACAACTTCTACTCCTGCTTCTTTGTCCTCGGAATCATCTGCACATTCGGTGCCAGTGGTTACTTCGCCAACCTCCTCTGCTGTGACGTCTCCCACATTAGAAAGCTCTTCTTCTCGTCGTGATCATCAAACCACTCCTCCCTCGTCTTCGAATCGCATGCTGTCAATAGCACAACGCAATATCTTACGCAGCGCGGCTGAAGCCATCTCAAGAATCGACTTAGGAGCTTTAAGAAATCTGCGAAAAGAAATCGCTCTGCAAGCCCAACCACTACAGCATCGGGCTTACTTTGGGGCTCTCGCCCTCTGATCGGCACAGTGATAAACTGAAACTCTCGAACTCTGAGTCAGCTTTGGACTCGGAACCTAGGTCACTGCTACATGGCTTGCCACCTCGTGAGCGTTCAACACTGAGAGCCCCACACGGCCACCTCCAGGGTACACCGGATCTTAGATTCAACCCCACTCCCGATGCAGTTCCCTTTCTTTCTCACACTCACTCGGCAACACACAATGTCCCTACTACTTCAACATCAGTGGATGAAGACTCAGTCGTTAGCACTGACTCGCCGTCCCACTCTCCCGCCTCCACACCCGAAATTGAAGTTGAGGCTACAAGCGATGAAATCTTAACCGCAGCACCCTACAATTCTGACTCCCAGGGCTCATCAGAACACTTAGCTGACGGCATTGATTTCTTACATGAAACTTTTGTTTCTTCGCCTGCTGATGATGAAATTATTTTTGTTGATGAATCGGCAAGCCCATCAGGAGATCCGTCTGCCGGGGCTGCCGACGATGTCATTGGCATTGGCTGCATCTACTCGAACTCTGAAGAACCAACTGTGAAAGCCCGCATGGCGTCTGGAAGACTTGACACACTCAACGCTATTAACATTAAGCTTCCAATTTTGAGAAATGACATCAAAGTGTCAGAATCTAGCAAACCAGGTCTCTACTTTACGGCTCCTGATGTGGAGAATGTTAGAGCTCTTATCAGCGACAGAGATTGGGCCGATCTTAAGGATCGCCCTGCCTTCATTCGATTTCCGAATGTGGGAGTGGCGCTGCTCGACCCTGGCAAGAAGCTAAAAGGGACCCACGGTCACTTGCGGAAGCCAACAACAGAGAAGATAAGCGCTTCTGGTTTGATGCGGCCTATTCGGAATTTGCTGCCATTGATGGAAATCATGTCTACCAAGTTGTGCCTCCCGGCGGGTCGCAAAGCCCTTGGCACCAAATGGGTGCTGAAGAAGAAACTCAACACGGATGGTTCAATTGACAAGTACAAGGCTCGTCTTGTTGTTCAGGGGTTTCGTCAGAAGTTTGGTGTTGACTATGTTGACACCTTTGCGCCAGTGATGAGATTCAGCACTGTTCGTCTCATTTTCGCCCTAAGTGCGGCGAAGAACTGCGAGATGCACCACGTCGATGTTAAAAATGCTTTCTTGAATGGAGATCTAGAAGAAGACATCTATGTCAAGCCACCAACAGGAATTGACCATAATACCCCTCCTGGCATGGTCTGGAAGCTGAATAAAAGCTTATATGGACTGAAGCAAGCCCTCTGTGTTGGAACAAGAAGCTTGTTGACAAGTTGGAAGCACTAGGTTACAAAGCTGCCAAGAAAGAACCCTGTCTCTTTTACAAGATTAATGGCAAAGACTTCAGTATTATAGGTCTTTATGTTGACGACATCTTAACGGCGTCAAATGTACCGGGAGAATTCGAGCGTTTTTTCAAGGGCCTATCTGGTTACTTTGCCATCAAAGATGAAGGTGGTGTTAACAAATTCTTGGGAATCAGAGTCCAGGACTCCGACAGGACAATATCTCTGGATCTGGAACATTATATTGCTGACATGATTGAGGTTTTCAAATTGAGTAATCAAACAGCTAAGTCGATACCGTTGCCCAAGAAACATGGCCTTGATTTCCCACAGGGCCTCGATGCTCGTCCAGCTAACCAATCGCTGTATCGCAGCATTCTTGGCAAGCTACAGTTTGCTGCACAGACGGCCCGTCCGGACATTGCCTACGCTACAGGCAAGCTTGCTCAGTATGCGAGTGACCCTAGAGCTATTCATATGGATAGAGCATATCATGTTCTGAGCTACCTCAAAGGCACCAAGGACCTGGCAATTGTCTATCACAAAAATGTACCAGGGGCCTCTCCGCGGCTTCTGAGAGGCTGGTCAGATGCCGATTGGGCAAACGATCCCGACAGGAAGTCTATCCCAGGCTTTGCATTCTCTCACGGTCCTTCAACCTTCTCTTGGAAGTCGGCCAAACAGAAGTTGACAGCAACTTCCACAACCGAGGCTGAGCTGATTGCCGCTTTCTCTGCCACGTGTGAGGCAGTTTACTTCCGAGATCTTTTGGAAGAACTTGGTGAATCTCAACCTTTTGAGATGGGGGAGGACTAGCTTTGAAGTTTGAGTTTCTAATGTAAGCTGTCAAGTCTGCTAAGACTTTTAATTCAGCTTCACATCCTTCGGAACAAACTGGTATGTTGGCAATGGTTAATTGTCTAACGGTAAATCCAGAACGGTCAGCGAGATCAATTTGACGATGAACAGGGAGATCGGCGAATGTCTCAAAAGAGCTGGCGTTGTTCTTTGAATGGGTCTCAGATGTTGAGTGGGCAACAGAACTTCCAGTGCTGGCTGACTCGAAGGATGAGGGTCCTTCATTGACTCCTGTAGTGTTTCCGTGATTAGACATAGCGGAGAAGACTAAAAGCAAGAGTTAATAAGTAAATACGATTGATAAGCTGAAAGCTGAAAGAGTATTTAATAAAAACAGTTTTGCGTAAATTTAGAGTGTATATAAGAATTATATAAAATGATAAAAATAATAAAATAATAAAATAATAAAATAATAAAAGTTCGCTATCATACCTAAAAGCAAGAGTTAATAAGTAAATACGATTGATAAGCTGAAAGCTGAAAGAGTATTTAATAAAAACAGTTTTGCGTAAATTTAGAGTAGCGAGAAAAAGAAGAGAAAGAAAACAAGAAAGGTTTCTGTAATGAAGAAAATTTAAAAGAGCATCTTGAAAAATTTTCTTTAGCAATAGGGAGTCTTGATTGTAACAATTTATTGTAACTCCAATGGTAATGGGCTAGTAGTTGCTAGTGAATAATGTAACAATGTAAAGAGTGTAATTGGGGAAAAAAAAAATATTATGGGATAATGTTGAAATACACGATAGTACCATGATATATATTCCAACAGCCCCCCTGCAACAATAGCCCGTTATCAAGATTCAATCTCTTGATCTTTGCGTCGTCGAGTCTTCGAAAATGACTGCGGCGTAACGATGGAGGTATTATTTGACGAGACGAGCACTGCATCAAGTCCATTTCCCCCCTCAACTTGAGGACGGGTACTCATACCCAGAAGATTCCTCAAATATAAAAACTGCGGCTTAGCCAGAGCTTTGGTAAAAATGTCTGCCACATTATCTGCTGAAGCAACAGCTTCAAGACGGGTATCGCCGGCTTTGACATGGTCTCTGGTGCGCATGTACTTGGTATCAATGTGTTTAGTCCGCTCGTGATGTTTGCTGTCCTTCATGAGATCCAGGACACCTTTGTTGTCCTCCATGATGACAGTCGTTGGTTGAGATTCACCAAGTTCTTCCAAAAGATCTCGGAAGTAAACTGCCTCACACGTGGCAGAGAAAGCGGCAATCAGCTCAGCCTCGGTTGTGGAAGTTGCTGTCAACTTCTGTTTGGCCGACTTCCAAGAGAAGGTTGAAGGACCGTGAGAGAATGCAAAGCCTGGGATAGACTTCCTGTCGGGATCGTTTGCCCAATCGGCATCTGACCAGCCTCTCAGAAGCCGCGGAGAGGCCCCTGGTACATTTTTGTGATAGACAATTGCCAGGTCCTTGGTGCCTTTGAGGTAGCTCAGAACATGATATGCTCTATCCATATGAATAGCTCTAGGGTCACTCGCATACTGAGCAAGCTTGCCTGTAGCGTAGGCAATGTCCGACGGGCCGTCTGTGCAGCAAACTGTAGCTTGCCAAGAATGCTGCGATACAGCGATTGGTTAGCTGGACGAGCATCGAGGCCCTGTGGGAAATCAAGGCCATGTTTCTTGGGCAACGGTATCGACTTAGCTGTTTGATTACTCAATTTGAAAACCTCAATCATGTCAGCAATATAATGTTCCAGATCCAGAGATATTGTCCTGTCGGAGTCCTGGACTCTGATTCCCAAGAATTTGTTAACACCACCTTCATCTTTGATGGCAAAGTAACCAGATAGGCCCTTGAAAAACGCTCGAATTCTCCCGGTACATTTGACGCCGTTAAGATGTCGTCAACATAAAGACCTATAATACTGAAGTCTTTGCCATTAATCTTGTAAAAGAGACAGGGTTCTTTCTTGGCAGCTTTGTAACCTAGTGCTTCCAACTTGTCAACAAGCTTCTTGTTCCAACACAGAGGGGCTTGCTTCAGTCCATATAAGCTTTTATTCAGCTTCCAGACCATGCCAGGAGGGGTATTATGGTCAATTCCTGTTGGTGGCTTGACATAGATGTCTTCTTCTAGATCTCCATTCAAGAAAGCATTTTTAACATCGACGTGGTGCATCTCGCAGTTCTTCGCCGCACTTAGGGCGAAAATGAGACGAACAGTGCTGAATCTCATCACTGGCGCAAAGGTGTCAACATAGTCAACACCAAACTTCTGACGAAACCCCTGAACAACAAGACGAGCCTTGTACTTGTCAATTGAACCATCCGTGTTGAGTTTCTTCTTCAGCACCCATTTGGTGCCAAGGGCTTTGCGACCCGCCGGAGGGGCACAACTTGGTAGACATGATTTCCATCAATGGCAGCAAATTCCGAATAGGCCGCATCAAACCAGAAGCGCTTATCTTCTCTGTTGTTGGCTTCCGCAAGTGACCGTGGGTCCCTTTTAGCTTCTTGCCAGGGTCGAGCAGCGCCACTCCCACATTCGGAAATCGAATGAAGGCAGGGCGATCCTTAAGATCGGCCCAATCTCTGTCGCTGATAAGAGCTCTAACATTCTCCACATCAGGAGCCGTAAAGTAGAGACCTGGTTTGCTAGATTCTGACACTTTGATGTCATTTCTCAAAATTGGAAGCTTAATGTTAATAGCGTTGAGTGTGTCAAGTCTTCCAGACGCCATGCGGGCTTTCACAGTTGGTTCTTCAGAGTTCGAGTAGATGCAGCCAATGCCAATGACATCGTCGGCAGCCCCGGCAGACGGATCTCCTGATGGGCTTGCCGATTCATCAACAAAAATAATTTCATCATCAGCAGGCGAAGAAACAAAAGTTTCATGTAAGAAATCAATGCCGTCAGCTAAGTGTTCTGATGAGCCCTGGGAGTCAGAATTGTAGGGTGCTGCGGTTAAGATTTCATCGCTTGTAGCCTCAACTTCAATTTCGGGTGTGGAGGCGGGAGAGTGGGACGGCGAGTCAGTGCTAACGACTGAGTCTTCATCCACTGATGTTGAAGTAGTAGGGACATTGTGTGTTGCCGAGTGAGTGTGAGAAAGAAAGGGAACTGCATCGGGAGTGGGGTTGAATCTAAGATCCGGTGTACCCTGGAGGTGGCCGTGTGGGGCTCTCAGTGTTGAACGCTCACGAGGTGGCAAGCCATGTAGCAGTGACCTAGGTTCCGAGTCCAAAGCTGACTCAGAGTTCGAGAGTTTCAGTTTATCACTGTGCCGATCAGAGGAGCGAGAGCCCCAAAGTAAGCCCGATGCTGTAGTGGTTGGGCTTGCAGAGCGATTTCTTTTTCGCAGATTTCTTAAAGCTCCTAAGTCGATTCTTGAGATGGCTTCAGCCGCGCTGCGTAAGATATTGCGTTGTGCTATTGACAGCATGCGATTCGAAGACGAGGGAGGAGTGGTTTGATGATCACGACGAGAAGAAGAGCTTTCTAATGTGGGAGACGTCACAGCAGAGGAGGTTGGCGAAGTAACCACTGGCACCGAATGTGCAGATGATTCCGAGGACAAAGAAGCAGGAGTAGAAGTTGTTGTAGGAGAATCATTCGTGGCTTCATTTTCCAATCTTGGTGAAGAGCTTGAAGTCGAATTTTCTGAGGATACTTTCTGTAATAAATTAGTAGCCGAAGAAAAATTTTTAGATTGTGTGGTGGTGGAGAAAATTTTATTTTTCAAAGCCGCGCCACTTACTAGTGGAAGGTTATCAGTAGGCCGGGTAATTAAATTTGTGCGATTTAAAATTAATGAAGAATTTTCTTTTCGCGCCAGCCGCTGAAGTGCACTGTTAGGAACATAATAGCCATTTTGCTCAATCAAATCAGCCAATCTTTTGTTAACAACAACTGTGTCCCGAGAAGCTTCTCGATGACGGTGTCTGGACGACGGAGCAGGCACTTTCGCAGCACCCGCAGCACCCGCAGCACCCGCAGCACCCGCAGCACCCGCAGCAGACCTAGTAATTCTTTCAGTATCAGCAAGAGGCTGTTGGGCTTCTGTCGGAGCGGAGTGTTGGCTTGCTTGTCGAACAGCTACTTGCCCAGCAGTTTGCGAATCATGTTCAGAAGAAGGAGGAGCTGCCAACAACAACCGTCTCGAAGGTGGAGCCGGAAGTAGCATATGTCGATTTTGTTGCACGGAGCTGTGCTGCACGTCGCTTGCATTGTCCCCAAAGCTTGTAGCGTCCCCTGCTCGCCCATACTCTAGCAGGAGCCTCTGAGTAGATGGTGCAGGCGGTAAGCGTGGGCGATCATTCACAGCAGTGTCTCTCAGTTCACTGCCACTTCCAGATGCAGCAGTAGTAACAGTATCAGAACCACCAGCTCCCAGCAACAGCCTCTCAGAGGAGGGCGCTGGGGGTAGCTCCGGTAGCTCCTGCCGTATTCCTGAGGAGCCAGCCACTTGGCTCCGCCTACCGGCATGTAAACGACGATTTTCTGGCTGACCAGCCCGTTCCAGCGCAGATTTTAATCTCGCTAAATTTAGATGCCTCTTCCTACTACCGCCCGCCTCAGCCATTCTGGCAGACCGATTTGCAGACGTCGTAGTTTCTACTAGCTCGGTGGTGGCCCGTACAAGTTCCGCCGCCGCCAAAACCAGTTGATTGCTGGCAGGATTATTTGTGCTTGTAGCAGTACCTTGAGTGTCACCTAAACCTTGCGGCACCCCGACATCTCTCGCAGGAGCTTCCTCCAACTTAGTAGAGGAATCCATGACAACGTCGCTAGACGAAGATTCAGAATCTGATGAGTCTTCCAATTCGTCGAAACCCAGTATATGTTCCACAGACCCATCCATGTCTTCATCATTGGTTTCTGAGTCAACCGCATCCTGATTGTCACCACCAGATTGGCTCGCGGTTTCAACAGCTGAAGCCTCACGATATAAGTTCAGCAGTTCCAGACAGCGCAAGATCCACACTGTCATCCTCATCCAAAATGTGTAGCTGTTTGGGAAGAGTCACCGGACTTGTTTGATGAGCCACCACTGAGGGCGACTGAGTTCCTGGAGCAAAGGCTTTCTGGAGCTTTACCATATGTTCAGAAAATGAATTTTCGTGAGAAAAATCTTCGTTAGTATCTTCGGAACCAGGGCGACCAGCTACGTTGGAGTTCACCGATCTCAAATCAGCATCATCAACAGCAGAATCTTCGAGCAATATATGGTCCTCAGACTGAAGTGTATCTTTGTCGTCAGCAACACTAATTGATTCATCTGCAACCAGCTCCACATCATCATCTTCCAACGGTTGAAAAGAGTTTTCAGTTATAGGTGTCGATGATGTAGAAGTAGAATCCTGGTCCTCCAATCTGCTGGATCTGTGGCTCCTTCCCTCAGAGCCCACATAAGTCCAGCCAAAGTTACCACCACCACCACCAGAGAGTGAAGTGGGAGAGTAGTCGTCAGAGTCAGATTCATCTTCACTTTCTGATTCATCAGTGGAAGAGTCACTGTAGTCAGGGTCACGATTTCCAACCTCACTGTAGTCAATGAGAATGTCACCCTCGTAAGTTGGCTTTTCGCCAAAAAATTTAACGCCAGGCAAGACATGGTCACGAAAGTTGCCGTGTACACAGCGCCGAATGCGCTTGTTCCTCGTAATGCATAGAAAATTCTTAGGATTTAACGGGTCGGGACCCAAATACAGAGCAGGCTCGCCCCGAGGCTGAAGGGTCCCTTTGAGTTTCTGAGACTCAGATTTAATGACAAAAACTAGGCAGCCAAATGTGTGCACTAGTGCTATAGGTGGTTTTCTGCCCGTAAAGGCTTCATAAGGTGATATACCGGCTTTATTAACTATGGAGAAATTATATACCTGCACAGCGTAGAGCCAGGCAGAGTCCCAGTAGATATTGGCCCAGAGTGTCGACTGCATCAAGGCTCTAGTAGATATCTCACGAAGTGTGCGGTGGGCACGCTCAATTTTTCCATTTTGTTGGTGTTCATCAGGAGCAGTTAAAATATGAATGACGCCCCAATCTGCCAAAAATTTTCCAAGTGTGCCAGAGATAAATTCACCACCATTGTCAGTAATAAGCTTGGTGGCCTTGCTGTCAGCAGCACGGCGAGCAGCTTTGGGCACAAACTGCTTAAAGAACTGGATAAGTTTCCCAGGAGCTTCATCCTTAGATTCCAGAGCAAAAGCATAGATGTAACCAGAAAATGCATCAATGATATTCAGCATGTACCTGGCCCCTGAAGAGGCAGGACCTATGGGACCGACGAGATCAGCATGAATCTGGGCTAACGGAGCCGTGGATTCAGAAGCTATATGCTTATCCGGAGAAGTGAACCGCTTAATGCTTCTTGACGTGCCACATATGACACAGTCCTTGATCAACTCTTCGTCACGCTTGGTCACCTCAAAGGGAGGATCAGCAAGCTTGGCTAAATGCTTCACCGAAGTCAAAGAGCAATGAGCAAACCGAACATGACAGTCAAGTGCCTGCGAATTCAACACGGCCTCCTTTGCAATAAATTTGAGAGACGGTGAAAGGACAGGAAGTCCCTTTCCAACAGCGAGAGCTGATTTATCAACCTTCCTCATAGCTTCTGGTCCTTGTCTGCAAATCTGATCCCAGTCAATTGAATTTCCTGAGAACTTGAAGGAGCCAGTTGGAGGTACGATATTCCTAGTAAACTTTACCGGAACAATGTTGGCACAAATGTGAGACTTGGCATCTCTGGCACCACCAACCCTACCAACCTTTTCCTCACCAAAATAGGCCAGACAGTCCCCACTTGGGACCGTATGAAAAGAAACATCGTGCGTGCGCCAGACAGAATCAGAAAACAAATTGCTAGACCCAGCAGGAAAATAAAGTGCGTCAGCAATATGGCAAATATTGGTGCCACCGTCACCTTTTAATACAACAGCAATTTTACCTTCCCCTTCTAACACGATGTCGGAACCACCATAGGAGCTGATGGTTTTGGAGCTGCTGTATTTCTCATACGACACAAAGTAACTGTTGTCTGAGATAAGATGACCAGTAGCATTTCCAGAATCAAGAACATTTGGAAGATTTGTTTCACCCACAGAGGCGATTTGGTTGGCAGGTGGAAGAAAAGCAACTGGCGAATAATCACTGCTTCCGCCGTCATTATCAAATACGTCTTGATAGCCCGAGCAACCGAGCAAAGAGTTTCAACATCGTCGCGAGCCACCTCAAGATATTCGGTAGCTTTCAAGGCAGCAACTCTGTTTTGACCATCAGAGTTCGACTTTCTAGCTTGCTTGTCTTCATTGTTGCGCCTCTTGTTGCCACCGGACCCCTTGGACCACTGCTTCCCTTTTCCTTGCTTGGTATCAGAGTGGCCAGCTTTCTTCGAGGTGTCCTGCTTGGATTCCTGCTTGGGTTCTTGCTTGGGTTCCTGCTTTGGCACCACTTTTGTTGAACCGTCAATAATTCTTCGACCTTTTACGAAGGCTGCTGAAGTTGCTTCAACTAGCGCTGGGATTTCAACTGAATCACAGGGGCTCCATCCTCCAGATCTTGACTTGAAAATGTCGACAAACTTGGTAATCCCCCAGAGATGACTCTGAGGATCTTCGCGAGCAGCTGCTGAAACCTTGTTGTTATTCAGTACTGCTAAGATAAGGTCACGGTGAAAGGTGCCATCCGGGTTGTTAAAGAAATATTGCTCCACTACAGAGGCCCACTTGGAAGCTTCAGTAACAGTAGCTTGTATTTTGGTTTCAATTTCACTGCTGGTGAGCCCGGAGAAATAACTAGGACCTGGAACTCCTACTGAGATAGCTTGCGTCATCGCAAATACAATGTTAAGCTCAGGGCTTGGGGATATGCGCAAACCAATATGATTAAGACGTTGGTAAAATGAGAGCACTCGCCCCAGGTCGGCGGGCTCTAGGATTTCGGGATCTATACGGGCCATTCTTTTTTCCTGGTTCAAATAGGGACCCCATGGCTTCTTCCCGCACAGACGCCGAATCCATAGGTGGAGTTTTTAGAAACTCGGGCGACGTGTCCCACCGGGCCTGTTCAGCTGCAGCCAGGTTAGCTGCAGGCGTGGTTTTTAAAATGTAAGCCTTGAGTAGTTCATCAAGGGCCCTCTCAAACCTGATACCGTAACCAAGCTGAAGGGCAGTATGGCCAACAATTGGCTTATAGATATAGTTGTTCCAAAACCCGGCCGCAGCTGTTAATTTGCCCAATAAGACCGTATATCCAAAAATCCAATTCACTTTTGTAGAGAAATTGTTTGAAATTTGGCGCTTGAGAAGCGTCAAAGGAGCTCATAACCTTTTGAGATGGGGGAGGACTAGCTTTGAAGTTTGAGTTTCTAATGTAAGCTGTCAAGTCTGCTAAGACTTTTAATTCAGCTTCACATCCTTCGGAACAAACTGGTATGTTGGCAATGGTTAATTGTCTAACGGTAAATCCAGAACGGTCAGCGAGATCAATTTGACGATGAACAGGAGATCGGCGAATGTCTCATAAGAGCTGGCGTTGTTCTTTGAATGGGTCTCAGATGTTGAGTGGGCAACAGAACTTCCAGTGCTGGCTGACTCGAAGGATGAGGGTCCTTCATTGACTCCTGTAGTGTTTCCGTGATTAGACATAGCGGAGAAGACTAAAAGCAAGAGTTAATAAGTAAATACGATTGATAAGCTGAAAGCTGAAAGAGTATTTAATAAAAACAGTTTTGCGTAAATTTAGAGTGTATATAAGAATTATATAAAATGATAAAAATAATAAAATAATAAAATAATAAAATAATAAAAGTTCGCTATCATACCTAAAAGCAAGAGTTAATAAGTAAATACGATTGATAAGCTGAAAGCTGAAAGAGTATTTAATAAAAACAGTTTTGCGTAAATTTAGAGTAGCGAGAAAAAGAAGAGAAAGAAAACAAGAAAGGTTTCTGTAATGAAGAAAATTTAAAAGAGCATCTTGAAAATTTTTCTTTAGCAATAGGGAGTCTTGATTGTAACAATTTATTGTAACTCCAATGGTAATGGGCTAGTAGTTGCTAGTGAATAATGTAACAATGTAAAGAGTGTAATTGGGGAAAAAAAAAAATATTATGGGATAATGTTGAAATACACGATAGTACCATGATATATATTCCAACACAACCAACGACTGTCATCATGGAGGACAACAAAGGTGTCCTGGATCTCATGAAGGACAGCAAACATCACGAGCGGACTAAACACATTGATACCAAGTACATGCGCACCAGAGACCATGTCAAAGCCGGCGATACCCGTCTTGAAGCTGTTGCTTCAGCAGATAATGTGGCAGACATTTTTACCAAAGCTCTGGCTAAGCCGCAGTTTTTATATTTGAGGAATCTTCTGGGTATGAGTACCCGTCCTCAAGTTGAGGGGGGAAATGGACTTGATGCAGTGCTCGTCTCGTCAAATAATACCTCCATCGTTACGCCGCAGTCATTTTCGAAGACTCGACGACGCAAAGATCAAGAGATTGAATCTTGATAACGGGCTATTGTTGCAGGGGGGCTGTTGGAATATATGTCATGGTACTATCGTGTATTTCAACATTATCCCATAATATTTTTTTTTCCCAATTACACTCTTTACATGGTTACATTATTCACTAGCAACTACTAGCCCATTACCATTGGAGTTACAATAATTGTTACAATCAAGACTCCCTATTGCTAAAGAAAATTTTTCAAGATGCTCTTTTAAATTTTCTTCATTACAGAAACCTTTCTTGTTTTCTTTCCCTTCTTTTTCTCGCTACTCTAAATTTACGCAAAACTGTTTTTATTAAATACTCTTTCAGCTTTCAGCTTATCAATCGTATTTACTTATTAACTCTTGCTTTTAGGTATGATAGCGAACTTTTATTATTTTATTATTTTATTATTTTATTATTTTTATCATTTTATATAATTCTTATATATACTCTAAATTTACGCAAAACTGTTTTTATTAAATACTCTTTCAGCTTTCAGCTTATCAATCGTATTTACTTATTAACTCTTGCTTTTAGTCTTCTCCGCTATGTCTAATCACGGAAACACTACAGGAGTCAATGAAGGACCCTCATCCTTTGAGTCAGCCAGCACTGGAAGTTCTGTTGCCCACTCAACATCTGAGACCCATTCAAAGAACAACGCCAGCTCTTATGAGACATTCGCCGATCTCCCTGTTCATCGTCAAATTGATCTCGCTGACCGTTCTGGATTTACCGTTAGACAATTAACCATTGCCAACATACCAGTTTGTTCCGAAGGATGTGAAGCTGAATTAAAAGTCTTAGCAGACTTGACAGCTTACATTAGAAACTCAAACTTCAAAGCTAGTCCTCCCCCATCTCAAAAATCTTGGCTTTCTACCTCGCCAACCTGCAATGATCCGTCCACCATTGGATGCTCGTACACCCTCAAACGTGGAAAGTCTACAAGTCAAACTGAAAGCTATTCTGTTACGTACTCAAGAGTACATGAGTTTCTCACAGTTGAGTCAACAACGACAAGCTGACAAGCATCGTCGTCCTGTGGAAATTATAGTTGGTGATTCTGTTCTTATCCACCACACTAGTTTTCAGAGCCCTAGCAATAGGATGCTGCCACTTTTCGTCGGTCCATACACCGCCGTTAAAGCAATTGGGGGAGGAAATGCGTTTGAATTGGACTTACCCACTACTGTGAAGAACAACCGTGTTTTTAATGTTTCGAAATTACGAAAATATGTCAAATCTGATGAATACCCTGCTGAGATTAGACCTACTGAGGATTATGTTAAGAAGAACTTGAACCGCATTGCTAGTGTAGCCGCTATGCAAAATGGTCTTGTCTATCTACAGTTCACAGATAGCCTACCTGGACATTGCGTCGCCATTTCAACAAGTTTTTGGAATACTATGCCTGCCGAAAAAAGGATACCATTATTCAAAGCTTACATGGCTAGAATCAAAGCTCGGGACGAGCCTTTATGAAAGGAGGGAAAGTTGTAAAAGATTAACAAGCAACAACCAAGACAAATAATTATAAATGTCTTAAAGATCAAACTTGCAATCAACCAAGACAAATAATTATAAATGCTTAAAGATCAAACATGCAATCAAAATAAATCATTATCGATAAATGCTTGAGAATAAAAATACATTAATCTAGATTAAGATTAAGAAGTGATTAAGAAGGAATTATTAAAGAGAATTGTACGAATATATATAGTCATATATTTCCATAGTTTTTATCAGTATCTAAAAAGATATTTACATCAATACAATAAGTTTTATATTAAATGTTTGTTTGTTTTTATTCAAAGTTTTATATTAAACTATGTTTGTTTTTATTCAAGGGTTATAGAACTATATAACATCAGCATCTGCGCTATCCTTTTATTGTCTGACTATGTGACTTGCCGGTTTTCATTTGTACCTTTTTAGTACTGGTGGTTTCTGTTCTGTGCGTCTCCGGTAGCCCGGAAGATGGGCCCTGATGCCAGCTTACGAGGAACAGGGAGAACCAGTCTGTCGGTCCCAAAACCTTCCCAACCCATTTCCACTTATCTTCACGGACGCCCATGTATTTCTTAATCTCTTCCGTCAGAGATACGGCCCGCAATCACCTGCAGGCTATTTAGACTGTACGGAAGAGTCGGCATTCCTGTAACCAGGGTAGCCTATGGTTTTTCAGTCTAGGTGTATACTCCCGTACACATCCTCAGGAAAAGGGGGTATTCTGGGAATCGAACCCAGTATCTTCCGCTATCGAGCGAACGTGTTCCCTATATTAAACTATTGTTTGTTTGTTTGTTTTTATTCAAGGGTTATAGAATTATATAACATCAGCATCTGCGCTATCCTTTTATTGTCTGACTATGTGACTTGCCGGTTTTCATTTGTACCTTTTTAGTACGGGTGGTTTCTGTTCTGTGCGTCTCCGGTAGCCCGGAAGATGGGCCCTGATGCCAGCTTACGAGGAACAGGGAGAACCAGTCTGTCGGTCCCAAAACCTTCCCAACCCATTTCCACTTATCTTCACGGACGCCCATGTATTTCTTAATCTCTTCCGCCAGAGATACGGCCCGCAATCACCTGCAGGCTATTTAGACTGTACGGAAGAGTCGGCATTCCTGTAACCAGGGTAGCCTATGGTTTTCAGTCTAGGTGTATACTCCCGTACACATCCTCAGGAAAAGGGGGTATTCTGGGAATCGAACCCAGTATCTTCCGCTTTCGAGCGAACGTGTTACCCTTTACACCATCCAGCCCTTTCCCCCTCTATATTAAACTATTAGCTTGGTTCTTTCTTTGGACAATCCGACTTTACTCTCATACGATAACTCCATTACACTTTCAACAAGTTAAAAGGTCTCTTGGCCCAGTTGGTTAAGGCATCGTGCTAATAAACAAGCAACTTCTTTGTGATACGCGAGGATCGGCGGTTCGATCCCGCCAGAGACCATTGTGTTTTTAGATCTTTATATACTAGCCTTTTTTTTTTTTTTTGCCTTGGGGTGAGATTTTTGAAAGAGTTGAATAAAGATGTTGAGGTAAACAGTTATAAAGTTCAGTGTGTTCTAGTTGTGAAATGTTCACTATATTTACTAAAAATTATAAATATAGTGGTTACCATTATAAACTAAGATTGTTGAACGGTATTGAAATGAAACCCCCATTCTCATTATTGTGATAGCTATTTGATTGTTGTATATGTAAATAATTAGTTGAACTATTGGCATATTTTTTTAAAAAATACAATTGTATTAATTGTTAATATACCAAATAAAATACAATATGGTTTAATATCACTTTTTTTTTAATATTTCAAAGTATATATATAAGTCTTATTATGCATCACTTCCAACTTGCCAATTCTCCTTCAAGATTTTATGATGCCAAATTTCTAACCCATATTCGACAATTGGTCTCACGCAAGCAATATACAGTGATCTAACTGCAGACCCCCGCATACCTTTTTGCACGCCACCAAGATGCCAAATAGCACCAACAGCTTTTCTTGCTTTATTGATTTTATTCAAAATATGAGATTTAAAATTAAGCAGATTGTTCAAAGTAATTCCAAGCAATTTAACTTCCTTCTGGGGTTCACGAAGTTCTCCATTAGGTAAAGTAAGTTGCACTTTCTCATCTTTAGGTTTCACATTTTTTGTAAAATGAATAAAACCCAATTTATCATCCAAATCAATTTTGGTCATTCTTGATTTAGCCCAATTACAACATTTTTCTAATATGTTGCATCTCTGAATTTATTGGGGATCCCAGTAAGGATAAATATCTGGCCATTTATAACCATTGCATTAAACTTATTCCAGAGGAGAGTTTTTCTTTGAATTTTCCAAAAAGTATTGATCCTGTGTCTATGAAAAAGTTGATTGCTTATCTTCCTAGAACATTTTCAAATAATAAAATTACTCGTGAAGCAGGGCTCTATAAAAGGCAAGTTCATGTTGAAAAGAATAAAGTTAATAACCCTAAAAGATCTTTATTGTATCTTTTTACTTCGGAAAAAAAACTAAAGGCAAGCCAAATACTAAGATACTGAATCCATCTGATATGATATCAACTTTGCAAGACTATTCTAAAAAAGGAGAAATTAAACAATCTGCTCAGTCATGGGACACATTTATAGCTACCAGACTTAACCAAAAGTTTTACTATTTTTCTAAAAAACTGGTTCGTTTCATTTTTTCAAACAGAAATGTTAATAATACAAATGATGAAGCGACTTCAAGTTCTTTTTCTTCAACTTTTAATTCAGAATTAGAAATCGAGGAAGGAACAGCCGAGGAAAAATTCAACAATTTAAAATATATAATTCTAGGGATTTTAAATTTTTTAATAAAACGATGAACTCATGGACTTGTTTTTGTAAACTTAAAAAGTAAACTAATTATGATTTAATATTTTTTCTTTTCATTTATATCAGTATATTAGCCCCAAAAATCAATTTTATGGATGTTGATTTTTTTTTTTTTTTTTTTTTTTGAAATGGTCAGGCCAATCTTTAACGCGTTATGATACCAATTTATTTTATAGTCGAGTAGCTAAAACGGTCATTAACGGGATTCAGTATCCGGCTACTAAATTGCCACCCTACTGTAAACAAAAATATGTATTTCCATACTCACTAACACCATCAGCAACACCCCGAGTTGATATCTAGGAAAGATGAATTACGATAATAAGAAGAGGAAAAAGGCTCAGAATAAAATTTTTAAAAGAAAAGTGGGACTCATTAGCTCAGAAATTAGTTAGTATAAACTTTTTTGTGTGGCTTTATTTCATTCAACTAACATAAAATGAAAAGAGTTTTGGCTATGTATTGATTCGATCGACCCTCCAAAAGAAAATTACGATCCGCACGAATTTTTTACAAATGCTTGCAAAGATCCAGATCGCTCTACTTTTTGTATTGATAAGTGGAAGAATATATATACTCCAAAACTACTCCTTGAGCTGTGTGGTCCAGATTTTTCAAGTCCTTCACAAATTCGAGCTATGGACAATTGTTTTCGGGGATTTATGACAAACAACACGTCAATCTTCGATCTCTTTGATACATGGATTTGCAGTAAAACCCATACTGCGGAATACCGAAAAAAAATGGGCCTAGATAAAAGAAACTGGCCTCTAAGTGATATTGAAAAAGCGAAGATTTTGTTTGCGCTTTTAAAGGCCATTGGTGAACCATATCATGGACTTTCTACAAAAATAGTTTTTAAAGACCTTGGAATTTATGATCCGGGAAAGGTACTTGAATACTATAATGAGCGATACAAAATTAACAAAGATTCAGTTGCAAATATTGCCACACGCTTGTTATATGATGATAACGGGAAAAGTCAATTTCGTCATAATTTTAATACACCCGATGAATGGAGGATTGATCAACTAAAGAGATGGGCCGAGAATTTTAAGAATAGATTCAGCAATAAATATGATCCCGAACTCATAAAACAAACGCGGAATGAGGCTCTAAAAATTTTTTATTATTCTGGACCTTGAGTATTGATTTCAAAGCTTTGGAAAAATATGCTACAATATTATTGAAGGAAAACAAAACCGAAGAACAATTTGTTCACAGAAAAAAAATGGATTTGTTTTATTAACATTTGTCTGAAGCTGATCCCAAAGATTTGGATATACTTCTTAACATTTATTTATATGACTTTCTGAATGAACTTGAGAAAAATGGAGAAGGTAAGATTTAATATAAAATTAACAAAATTAAGAAATTTTCATTTATTTATTAACATTTTTGATATAGATTCGGCGGAGAAACTCAGCGAAGAAAATATATTGGAAGATGATGATGATGAAGAAAAAGAAGGAGAAGAAGAAGAGGAAGAAGAAGAAGAAGAAGAAGAAGAAGAAGAAGAAGAAGAAGAAGAAGAAGAAGAAGAAGAAGAAGAAGAAGAAGAAGAAGAAGAAGAAGAAGAAGAAGAAGAAGAAGAAGAAGAAAAAGAAGAAGAAGAAGAAGAAGAAGAAAGTAAGATCTAATAAAATTAAAAAATTCCATTTATTAACTTTTTTAATATAGATTTCACAGAGCAACTTAGCGAAGAAAATATCTTGGAAGATGATATACCGGATTTTGAAGACCAAGATTTAGACTTTTTAAATCTTGACCAAAAATTCATTGAAGATGATGAGTTTTATGACAACATTGTTGATGAATACTTTAAACCACAACAAACAGTTATTATCGCAAGTGACTCAGCAACTACTCTGGCCGATTCTTCGGTAAAAACCAAGGCACATGCTATTGAAAGCACTCAATCTAACTCTGATAGCGAAACTTTTCCAAATTCAGAGCCTAATCAAGTAGAAGTTGATGATAGTCAAATCTCTGAGCTTTTATCTTCAGTCATTGAAATGATTGCTCTTCAAGATAAAAGATTCTCACACGTTCCTAGACTTTCCAATAAAAAGAATTATGCTTCTGACAAATGGATTAGAGGGCCCAAACTTAGAGCTCTTCGTCAAGAACTTATATCATATGTTAAGATGCATGAAAGTTTACCAGGTGGTATTTCAGTATTAGAAATGCTTTGTACATATTTTGAGTCTCACAGCAATGTTTCATTAAACCAGGCCATCAATTTTGTTTCAACATTTTTAAAATGCAAAAATTTGGATCCTGATTTTATAAAACAGTGTTTTCCAAGATCAAGAAGATTTGTCATTTTACTGTTAAAACTGGAAAAGTTAATCCGAATTCTGAGCCTATCATTTCGTACACAACATATAAAGTTAGAGCCAAAGAAGCTGGAATTAGGTATACAAAGGCCAGTGCATTAAAAGGATTTCCAGAGCATAATAATAGAGAAAATCTCAAAGAACTTTTTCCCAAAGCTAAATTTGTTGAAAGTGATGGTGTAAAAATGTTACGCCGTGGTGACTGGTCTACAGGATTTGAAGTTGTTTATTTTTGCAGCAATAGATGCATGGCATTTACGGGTTCTAGTAGTGATTTGACAGAATGTGCCCAATGTGGGAAGGCTCGTGATCCGATGTATAGATATTTTTACTTCTCACCTCGTGAAAAAGTCAGAGATTTTTTTGAAAACACAGGCTTGTCTAGGGTCATTAAGGATGCCCACAAGCGACAAAAAAATGAAGGAGAAGTAGAAGACTTTTTTGATGGCCAACTTTATAAGCTTCTTTCACAGATATTCATTCAAAAAGCTCAATTAGGTGAAAATTATCAACAAAAAATATCTCTCAAATATTTTGAAAGTCCGTGGGATTTAGCTTTTTTGATATCGTTTGATGCTGTTCCGGTGAAGTTTGGCAACTCTTCTTATAATATTGTTGTTGCTCGATGCTTAAATCTACCTCCTGAGAAGCGTAATAAACCATCAAATACAATAACATTGATGGCATTTCCCTCTGGAATTGATCTAGCTGCTAAAAAAAAGAAAAATCAGCAGTAAAAGATTGAGATTCATTTTTTTCCCCATTTATTAAGGACAATGCATTAGCCAGCACACTAGGATATACGGTTTATGATGAGGACATAGGGATCATGAAAACTGTAAGGCATCATTTTGTTTTATCAGTTGCAGATACGCCGGCTAGCTGTGAGTTGTCAAGGTTAAGTGGACAAACGTCAGATTCTCCTTGCCGTTACTGTTTAGACGAGAAAATTACAGCAATAGCTTTTCCATCAGAGGAATCTATCACACATATGCCAGAATAATCAGGTCCATTACCTCAAAGTTCGAAAAAAAATAAAAAATGGAGAGGGCCTGGACCCTAAGGTGGAAGAGTCCATAAACAAATAAAAGGATTAGCGACATTCCGTCATAATAATTTACTCCTTTCCAAACCCCACACATATCAAAACTCAAAAGCTCGCGACATTGAGCGGTATAATACTATATTTAAAGACATTGTGAAGAATCTAACCAATTTGGTTTCAAACCGCTCGCAATTTACTAAAAGAGGCTTAAGCAGAATTTCGACCATATTTTGTTTGGGTTCAATGGTGCCCGATATGTCGTTTCCGCCTGATTTAATGCATTTGTTGTATCCAAACACTGCGACTAAAATTATCAATACCATATTTTATGGTAAAGATGGCCCAGATATTTACAGGTCTGAAGCACTGGAATCAATTGTCAAATTTTTGGAGAGTTTCAATAATATTAACTATAGTTTTGATGAAAGGAAGTTCAACATGGCAGAGATAGCCGATGGGATTAAAACCTCTAAACCAGTTAGGCTTACCGCACACCATACAAAAAAGATCATTTCATTTTTATTTGGTGTTGTTATGGAGTTAAATTATAAATATAATATAAATATAATAGTTATTTATATATTGTTACAGGGCTGGTGCAACTTCTTCGATTGCTCTCTTTGCCTAAATTTTCAGAAAATGTATTGAAAAGACTTGAAAATGGAATAGAAAGTTTTTTAAGGGTTTTTTGAGGAAGTATATCTAAAGGATGCTAACAATCTAACTTTCCTGACTTTACCAATACATACGCTACGTCATATGATTAAAGCCATTTGAGAGGTGGGTCCACTTAGGGAAATATGGTGCTTCCATACTGAAAGAGCTTGCGCTGTATTAAGGTGGCAAATAAAGTCGGGAAAGACTCCTTTTTTAACTTTCTTATCGATATGCTTATGAATCAATACTTGAAAATTTTAGTCCATCAAAGTATGATTGGTCAGTAGGTTCGAGAAAGTTGCAGAAAACTTTGCGCAAACTAAAGTTTGAGGATGACAAAATCATACGTGAGAAGACAGTTGAAAATATCAATAAGCTTATCATTGAGGAGAAAATCTTTGAATTACTATCAGGTGGAACTTCAGGCAACAGAAGCATCAGCATCACAATCAAATTTTATGAAAAAATCAATTTTTTTCAGAGGCAGTTGAATGCTTTTATTAAACAATATGCCCGTGTAAGAGATAAAGACAATTCATCTTATCATGTTATTATTGACGATATCATTGAAATCGACTTTTTGGGAAGCGGAGTTTCAGGACAATTTGTCTTGGTGAGGAGGTTTCTGCCAGGTATTGTCCTACCCTGCGATTACAGGATGCAATTTTTTAATGACAGTAGCAATATCAGATATACGACAATTGGCTATTATATTGAGAAAAAAGAATTCATTACCACTCCTGAAAACTTTTTTGAGACAGATAGCTACTTGGTACTTGTAAGAGATATCATTTGTCCTTTTTGGTTGATTAATGATGGCAATCTATCGATATTTGTTGATCCATCTTTTGTGGAGGAATTCAGGACAAAAGACGGTAAAGTTGTAAGGACTGAAGAGTATGATGACGAAGAGGATTACTATAACGTGTGTAAACCATATATGAACATTTAAATAGATCGGCATATAATATATTTAATAATAAATTTTATCAGATAATAAAAGTCCTTTCAGATACATGGGAGATTTATTTGAAGTTGTAAATGGTTTTTCTGAGCACTGGCAAAGCGTAAAATGGAAGTAGATTTTTAAAGTTGAGAAAGTATATATTAGTGTGGCATTATTGACAACCTTGACATCATTCAGAAATGGGTGGTGTGGCTGTTTTATTGACGATATGAAAAGTGGGATTTGGTGGTGATTGTCAATGTTGAAAAAAAAAAAGTATTTTTCGACGTTTTGTTGATTTAACTTGAGTGAAAAAAAGATGGTGTGGTTGTTGTGTTGATGATAATAAAAAGGGATTTTGTTGTTGTTGTGAACGTTGAACAAAACAGATTTTATCAATGAAACTGAAATTTCGCAACATTAAGAAAGCTGAGAAATTTTTTTCGATATTGTTGTTTTTTCCAATTTTTTAAACAAAATGGAAATTTGTCGTCGTTGTTTTGAAAAATGTCAAGAAAAAGATTTTTACGTTTTGTGACTTTAAATTTTTTCCCAAGTTTTCTCTTTCATCTCAACAATAAGATTAAAGAGATTTCGACTACATCTTTACGTAAAGAAGAAGTGACGTCAAAATTCGTTTTGTTAACGTCAACAACTTGTACTTTCACCTTTCATCTCTTTAACATATAACACAACATCAACAAAAGAACACAAAACAAAATGAAATGAAATTTTCAAAGTTTAGTTTTCCCTGGTATCTTTTAAATTTAGTGCCTAGAACTAAGATTATAGATAAATTGCAATCTATGAAAAAACGATTTAAAATTATTTTTTTTTCTAATTGAGGAAACGATTTAAAAGTGAATCTTTTAATTAAAAGATTTAAACTAACTCCTTATAAGCAGTTAGTTTAACTTAAAAATGAAGCTCTAAATTTTAGCTGGAAAATACGTGTAATTTACTAAAAAAAAATCATAAAAAACAGGAGAATCAGAATTGATTTTTGCTCTGCCAAAACTTGGTGAAAATAAACTTAAAGAAAATCCCAGCGTCAATTCGGCGTTTAAGTAAAATCTATCTTCTTCAGCTTATCAAGTGTTGCAGTCAACCAACCTTATCTTTTCTTAATTTATTTGTTTGTGATTCTGTGACATTAGTTATTACAAGACAAGACATTGCAAGATCTGTTGTTGTTTTTGTAATTAAATTATATCAAATGCAATATCATGTGAAGGTTCTCTATATATATATATATATAATAAAAGGATGATTATATAATGATTATAAATTAGTATTATAGTTATTTGAGCCTTCAGAGATTGAAGAAAAAGAGAGAGAGAGTACTTATTATTATTATTATATTATTATTATTATTATTATTATTATTATTATTATTATTATTATTATTATTATTATTATTATTATTATTATTATTATTATTGTCATAAATTAGTAATAATCACTACTTTATTATGTAATGATTACTGTTCAGAGGAGGATAGTCATTTCTTTGATTCTGATCTCCCCCTCCATTAGTAATAGGTTATTGGGCCAATTTTTCTTTTTGTGTTACAAAAATACTAAATTACAAGCCTTAGTGACTTCAATACTGTTTACTATATAACAGTATATTTATATATATATATATATATATATACAAGATCGGTCCCATACTAATCCAGACAAACATTTTTCTTTAAGAAATAGTGGATCGTTACGCTCACATCAAGACAGGCGTAGTTTTCTATTAATTTTTTGAGGGTTTACCCTAAAAATTTATATAGTATATATATATATACAATTCGAAAAAAAGTGAAAAAAAAAATTATAGGGAAAGAAGAATATATTAATTATAATATAGATATTTGTAATAATAATAATAATAATAATAATAATAATAATAATAATAATAATAATAATAATAATAATAATAATAATATATCGTATCGGAAGATTAACTTAACAATACTATATATAGTATTATTAGTAAATGATTAATTAATTAAATCATTCATCACTTGTCCTCGCCACCATCTTATCTCAGACCTTTTTTTTTTTTTTTTTTTTTTTTTTTCGTACCATCAATTTTTTTTTTTTTTTTTTTGGAAAGAACAAAAACCTTCAATGGATTATTGATATTATTATATATATATATTATAAATTTGTATATTCAATATCTCTTCTTTTCTTTGTTTTCCTTCTATCTATTTTTTTATATATATCTTTATTATCTTCAAGTATCTCCAACTTTTGGTCTTTTATTTTTCTTTCTTTCTTTTTTTACTTATTGACTTATTAACTTATTAACTTATTGATTTATATTTAAAAAAAAATGTCTTCAATATTATCTATTCAGCCGACCACTAAATCAGCTGCAGCAGCTACTGCTGCTGCTACTACCAATACTGCTAATTCTACCATCCCTTCTTCTACAAAAACAATCACAACAGTCCTTCATCTTTTTACAACCAAAATCACTGTGAAGTTTTCTACGACTAACTTTACACCCGAAAATCTTCATCGGGAAACCCGCAAAGCTCTCAACATCCCCCAAGACACTCCAATTGCGGTATTTCGGAATTCCAAGTCAGAAAATGCTTATACTTACATTTCTTCCCCAGAGTCCTATGCTAAGCTTTCTCGAGCAATTCGGGCCAAGAATCGTGCGAAACTCATGGTGGTACCACTAAGACCTTTTTTGTACACCCCACCTCCAGGCTCTTCTACTATTGATAACCCCATTGCTTTAAGTCCAAACAAGGTTGACAGCTCTAATGTTAAGGAGGGTGGCGAACTTAATAGAGCTAATAACAAAGCTTCCCCGCAACACAAAGACCTTCCTAAGTATACGGCATCAAAATTGGCTGTTGACGTTGACACACTGAAGCAGGCTATTGTTTCACAGGAATGTGTTGATGCTCTTAAAAAATCACTCTTGTCGTCTAAGGACTTTATTGATGACATTTCAAAAGAGTTACAGTCTAAAGATACCCTTAAAAATGATAGCAGCTTCAGTGGCAATGCTTCTTCTCCACCCCTCTTTAAAAAGCTCAAGGTCCATAATGCTATTTGCGATTATTGTGATTGCTCCATCAAAGGAAATAGATACAAATGTCTGGACTGTCCTGACTTTGACTATTGTGAGTCATGTCATAATAATTCTGGGGACTCTGGAGTCATTGAAAAACATCTTTTTTCTCATTCTTTTGTAAGAATAAAGGCTCCTAACGATTATATTTCTGTGAGTAAGAAACTTGTTTCTCATCCTCATATTCATTGTGATGGTGAATCTTGTGCGAATTCAACAAGCTCCATTGTAGGTGTTCGTTACAAATGCCTCGTTTGCGATGATTTTGACCTTTGCTCTTCGTGTGAGGCTTTGCCTGCAAATCCACACAACCCTCACCATCCAATGATTAAATACAAGTTACCTGCTTCTCGTATTTGTCCTTTCGATGTAAAGGTTGAAAGTCTTATTGCTTCTACCAATTCAACCACTACTGCTACTGCTACTGCTACTGCTGTTGCTGCTGCAACTGCCGCCGCTAATGCCGCTGCCAATGCTTCATTTTCTGCTACAAATACTTTTGTTGCTGCCCCTACTTCAGATTCCGTTTGTGTTTCTACTCTTACATCGATCCCTGCTCCTATTAAAACCTCTGACAATGCACCTGCCCTCACCTGTGAACAATTAGTTAAAGAAGCTGGATCTTCTTCAAATATTTCTGAGCCCTGCTCTGATGTTGTTGAACCCAAGGACATTGAAATTGCTGGGAAAGTCTTAACAATGACTGAGGTTGGTATTGAAAAAGAGCTGCGCCGTTTTATTGTTTCTGTTGAAAACTCTTCTCTTGATGCCTGGCCAGCAAATACTGTTTTGAGCATTACGTGTGAAGGTTCTTCTTTTATTACCAAGGTGGGTCATACTATTGATGTCACGGAGCCATCTCAAAGTGCTTGCTTTATCGTTTCCGTCCCAGTTTTGGTCGAGCCCAAAGATGTTTTCTTTTCTCTTGTTGTTGAAGAGTCCAAATACCCTGTTGATGTCTCGCAGGCCGAGATTAAACATATGATTCCTTTTGTTGAAGATAACTCCAAACCTTCTGCTTCTCCATATTTGTCACCTTCTTCCTCATCAGAAGGCCTTACTTCAGCTTCTGTTTTGCTCACCGCTAAAGTATCCCCAAGTTCTTCTCTTGACTCTTCTGAAGTCATTCTTCCTAAAATTGTTCTTGAACATTCCTTATCGCCTGTTGTAGTCTCTGAGACATCTGAAGAACATGTCGAATCGACACCTGATACGGATCAAGTGTTGGAATCAAACTCTGAACTATCACGCAGTGCGACCCAAACTTCTTTTGAATCCAATTCTTTGTCTAACTCTCCATCTGCCAATACTATTGAAGACCATGTTTATGATTGGTCTGATTCATCGGATTCTGAATATGAATTTGTTTAAAATCTAGCTAATTCTTTTATTTTAGTTTTTATCATTTATATGCTTATTATATTGTTATTTAGTTTAAGGAATCTTTATTAGGCTTTTTTAAAAATCAAAGATATTTTGTGTAAAACAATAAATAAATTTAAAAAAATAAAAAAAAAAAAAAAAAACGAAGGGGATGTATATATTGATTATACCAAGTAACTATATCTATTTACTGATACCAAGAGAAACTTTTGGAACAAGTGATGCAGCTTTAGCAACTTTTGGACAGTAGTGCTTTTCCAGTAAAACAGTTTCCCAAAGGGTTGCAGCCTCAGGATTACTATGTTCGGGTTCATCAATATCCATGCGGAAAACACCATTAGTAATGCGATCTTCGGTTGAATATAAACCACCAAGAACAGCATATCGGCGAGTCATTTTGGCGAGTGTTTTTAATGCAGCCAGAGAAGATTTTTCGGGCATATGAAGACCAGAAATCATAAGGCGCTTTGCAAAAGCCTCAGCACGAAGGGTGTTAGCTGCTCTATTTTTGAAAAAAACAAAATCAAAAGACTTGACCACCATTTCCATTTCAGTAGCAACGTTGACCTTTTTGGGCAAGTATTCACAGTCATCATCTTGGCGGACCTTTTTCAGTAGTAGTGGGTCTTCCAGCCGTAAAGTTTTTCCCGCAGCATATTCGACATCTGGGTTAAGACCAATAGCATATAAAGAAGAGTAAAAGTGGTTGATAAAAAAGGTTAAATCAAGGTTCATGGACTCGCCAACATTTTTGGAGGATTGGCCACTAAGAAGTGCAAACGCAGTGACAATACACAAAAGAGCTTCACGGGTTGTGCTTTCCTTAAACTTGAGCTCGCCATTAATGTCCCAAGTCTGGCGTTCTAAAATGAGCTCGCGGAGGACTTCCAGCAAGTCACCAAAAAACTCGGCATTGATAAGGTGGGCAAACTTAGCCAGGCCCTCCAAGGTAACGGCCATCAAGGGTGCAGCGACACGTTCTTTTAAAATGTTAAAGTAAATGACAAAAACAGTTTTGAGAGTTTCACTTTGAATGCGCTCGCGTTCTTGAGCAGATATGGTTGCTTCTGTTTTGCGGATTTCTTCTTCAATGGCCTTGTTTTCCTTGCGGATCTTGCGCTCACGCTTGGACAAATGCACACGGTCCTTCTTTTTAATTTTGGGGGCATCATCATCATCTTTTTCAATGCCATTCAAGCCAGCCTTGACAACACCGCCAAGTTCAGTCAGTAGTCGCAGATACAAGAGGGTTTCTATAATGACCTCATGAACCTTAAACTTCCGAGCCTTGATCATCTTGGAGAGCAGTCGGACAACCTCATTACTGACATGGCCTTCCTCATCAGCCTTGAAAACTTCTTGGATGGTTTTTACTGCTTGGGCAAACGACTTCCCGTCAAGGGTGGCGTCTTGTTTCCTGCTGAGCTTGTCGACAACAATCTCAATGAGCTTAGTTCGGAAGTTGAAGTGAGCAGCTGCTAAAAGCATTTCACAGGCCGCTCTAAGAGCAGCACCTCCAAGCATGTATTCAGGATTAGAGTCGTTGCGGGGGGCGTGTGTTTTAGAGCCTTTGCGAGAAAGTACAGAAAGCAGATCGACATAATCTCTATACTGGGAAACAAGAGTTTCTTCAAAGTTTCTTAGTCGCTTGACTTCCTTTGTGGCTTTGGCATTTTTCTCAAGTTCGGTTAGTGGACGGATGCGGTATCCGGGAATGAGGCCCTTGAAAATGGGAACGAGGGAAAGAATGGTGATTTGCTTGACCTTGGGATATTGGGCTTTGTCGATAATGTCACGCAAGTCGCGGAGCAGACCGATATTTTCTTCAGGGTCTTCCGTGACCAATTCAGCAACTTCTGCAATTTTTTCCTGAGCTTTTAAAAGTTCTTCACGCTCTGAGATTTGGGGTATCTGTTTCTGTTGTTCTTGTTCCTCGTTGTCTTCTTCTTGTTCTTCTTTTTCGTCTTCTTGTTCTTCTTCTTCGTCATCCTTTTTCTTGTGTTTGATATCTTGCTTTTTTAAAGTAGGATCTGATGTGACCACTCGGTGAATCTTTCCGTCAGACGACTTGATGGGCAAACGTTCAAAATCTTTTTCATCGTCATTGGGATCGGCCTTAAACTGGCGCGGCTTGAGCTCGTAGTCTTCAATTTCGTCCTGACTTTCATCTGCATCATTAAATGAACTCCAGCTAGAGAAAAGCTTGTCGTCTTGATCACTTTTGACTTTCGCACGTTTCTCTAAAGTTTTTTTGGCAGATCGCGATCGTTTGGTCATATTGTTGATGGTATTAGTATTTTGTTGATAAGATTTGAAAAGTTGAAAAAAAAAAAAAAAAAAAAATTTGTCTAAAAAAAAATTTTTTTTTATTTGAAAAATAACTAGCCGTATAAAAAATAAACTGATTCGCGAACCACATCACATGACTTTACATATCACTACACTTTTTTTTTATTATTATTTTATTTTTTGCACACCCCAACAACAACAACAACTACAACATTAACATTAACATTAACATTAACATTAACAACATTGACAATAACAACAAACTCCACAACAGCTAACAACGTTCTATAATGACCAAACCGCTTGAAATCCCGGAATTGGAAAACTGGGAGTTTCTTTACAACAAGTCGACTCCATTAGTTGGTCCATCCGGGTACCTTAGGCCATATGCAATAGTGCGCAAGTCTAACAAGCAAAAGTTCACTGCGGGCGACGACGTGTTGATAGAGTCCGGGAATCCTGACCGGCCGTTTGTGGGCAAAATCATGGACTTTGACTACAATGCTGGTGGAGATTCTGGTGGCACGCCGTTTGTTGAAATGACCACAATC